TACTCTTTCAATATGCTTGCAATCATTAGATTTATCTGCTCACGGAAGGGATCCGAAGCACAACCAATGTTACAGAATGTTCTTTCACACATGCAATTACACATTTTTACCAGAGATGTCACCAAATCCCCAAAACCTATATAGTGTAGCCTTAAACATCTACCTTACAGGAAGAAATACAAAGCCACTTAGACAATACCAAAGTTTTTTTTTCAGTTTAACTCTTTGACAGCAAAAAGAAATTGTACACAGCAGACTTAATGCTGAATGGCTACTAGTTCTTATGTCAGTGTTATTTCACTTTATGTTGAACCACAAACAATTCTGTGATATTTCAGGCCAGATTTCAGATCATAAGTAGATGTTAATTATTTCCTTCCCGGCCGTCTCTATCTTTGGCCTCCATTTCCATGGAGATTGCCGAGCTCCACAAGTCTCGTTCACCTGACTGAAGCGTCCTACTATCACGTGAAGAATGTGGATCTCTTAAAGAGGATAGGAAACCGCTGCAGTCTCTAAACAAAACTTGGCAAATCCTGTCTGGTGGCTCCTGAAAGCAGAAGTCTAACAGGCAGAGAGGAAGCTTTAAAGAGAAAGTAGATAGGGATCGGAAGCAAGCAAGTGTTTGGCCCTATAAACAGACAGATGAGCAGACAGAGAGCAGACGGACAGATGCACATGCTTTCCACACAGTGAGGGTCAAGCAGGTGGCTCACTACACTAACGCCATGTGTCTAAGTCTCCTCTGCAGCCTCAAAGCTGCTTTCTGTTGCAAAGCTTCTTATCAGCAAACCCGCCCTCCCAAGTAGTACTACAGATGTAGAGACTACTTACAGTGTTTCACTGATACTGGAACCCCCCTCCCCAGTCAGACTGGCTTCATTCCGGGCCCTCTGCTGTTGGAATGACTGTTCGACCAAACATCAAATTTGCACAGTTTCTTTCTTCCCCTATCAGCCATAGCATCCCACAGAGTGTATCATCATCACACACATGCCCCAGATTGTATTGAGTAATCTCAAACAGACCTGCTTATGAAGCTCAAAACTGTATCCTTACTGTTATCTAAAAACATGGATAAAAATATATTTCTTAACAAAAAAACAGTAGTAGCAGCCAACTGGAAGCTTGAATTTTGTCAATATATTTTTAAAATAATTTAAAATAATAATTAATAATTATTAATGCAAGCAATGAGGGCTGCACAGTCAACAGTAACTTGTTTAGGCCTGCAATGACGGAATGGATCAAATTATCTCACGTGTAGCGCTAGAGTAACATAATTAGGTTGGCAAGAGCGTAGTGTTAAAAGCCCTACAAGTGCTTTCCTGTGCTGGGCTTGAACACTACTCTCTCACTACTCTATTAATTATTATTAGCCTGTCAAAATGCCTCATATGTGATTATTCTCAGCTTCAGATTTTTATGTAAAACGTTTGAAGCAGTAACTACTGTATTTCATTGTTTGCATTTTCCACAATTGACCATTTTTGAACAGTTCAGGGAAAAATGGTGCAAGTGCCAGTGTTGCAACGTCCCAACAGATGGTGTTAATTGTACTACACTGAAGGATTAGATATAATATTCTCTAGAAAAGTCTGGTGAACATTACTAATTCAATACAATTCTATGTTCTTTCAACCAGACAAGCTAAATACATAAAAATATATCCAAAATGAGTATGACTGGTGAAAAGAGAGTATACCAAACACTACAAATTTATTTTGACCACAATATAGGAAATAGCACAGTTGAATTTAACTATTTTGAACTTACATATAGGAAATGAACTGTTCTTATTTTTTTTATACTAAAGAATCTGTTCTTAAGAGTTTAAACTAACCCCATCGTGTGGAGGCTGTACTTCAGCCTGGCTAGCTCTCACTGTACTGTAGCTCTCACAAATTGATTTTATGCTTCAATACTATATTACAGCACCAAAACAATTATTCAGATAATATAGTTTAAATTCCTTGACTTTAAAGCTATAGAACATGTTGATTTATGTTTTTATGATATCACACAACCTCATCTGTTCTGTTGCTTTTATACAACAATTCTCCAAGATCAGAAAAAATAAAGCAAAGAAGTCCTGAACAAAGGTGCTTTAAGATTGACTGTTTCTTTGGCCCAAAAAAGTAGTAGCTTAAAAAACTGCTATATCAGGTTCAGCTCAGCTCTGTTCCAGCCAGACCGTAAAGCATTTCATAGCCCATCTTGTTTGCTGAATTGTATTCTGATTGTTTGTTGCTGGTTCCAGTTTGTTTAGTTGTTCCATGGTGGTTCAGAATTTGATGTAGACCTGTTCTCCTACAGAATTTGACCAAATTGACTGCAGGTCAAATATTATGTTCTAGAAGTTCCATGATGAGTGCATTTTTTTTGTATGTGCTAAAATAGAAACCGCCGCAGTGTAAAACGACTTGCTAATTAGCAACCTGTGCTCAGAGGAATGATACAGGTATTATAAAAAAAACATACTGTTATCACAAATAGCATCATGGGTAGAACACTTCTTAACCAATCAGATCATGCTGTTGTATAAACACAGCTCATAACCCAAAACCACTTATGATGATGGTTTTCTTTAACAGTGAATTTTGGGGAATATCTGTCCAATTTCTGTAAAAAATCACAGAAGACAAAGATATAGAAATACAAGAAGATGCATGAGCAACAACATGTCCAGCTTGAACCTGTTCCATTACACAAAAATATCTGTTACATTTTACCTCATGTTAGGTTGTGCCTCTTCATAATACTACATAACAAGGTGCCATACAGTTTCAGGAACTACATAAGCAATTTTTTTTCTCATTACCTAATAACACAGTTTGAGGCAAGTGATGTTTTAGATTTGCAGTTGGTGTCCATATCTTGTTAGCTATATTAGCCTCGTAGCTCCAGTGCAAAACTACAGAAGCAAAGTTCTGACACCAGACATGTCTTGGCAGATCAACTATATTTGAGGTAAGGGGAAAACTATGTGCATTTGAACTATCGCTTTAAATAGAAGATGATGCACTCCCGTTTCTCAGTTATGTGAATTTTTCATTGGTACACCACAGTTCCAGTATATTCATTCAGGACTGTATCCCATTATCATTTCTAGCTTGCTGAATTTTTTAAATGAACAAGGGATCTTACGTGGAAAAAGTGCCATTGTCAGGGATTTTGGAGCTTTGTCTTCAATTCCCGTGTGATAATTCTGCAAAAAGTCCCGTTAATAATTGAAGAGCTTTGGTGCTTTTGTGCTTTTTTTCAGGCCCGTGGATGTGGCGTGTTTGTATGCATGTTTGTGCGTGTCTGGATGTGACTCTACTATTGTTAGCAGGTTGAATGGAGTCTTTTATGAATTTTTAAAGGGCAGTAGTTTGACACTTGTGCCAGATGTGAGATGATAAGCAGATAATCTTGGAAAGGAAGGAGGGGCAAACAGTAAGTGGAGGACAATGGAGACGAATGGGGTCTGGAAGTGCAATCGGTTCAGAAAATGTTCAGAAATGGTTGGAGAGCAGTGAGTGAGAGCGTGTGTTGGAGGCTCTTATCAAGAGCGAGTGAGAGGGGCTCTTCGTAGATGAATGACCTTGCCAGCTTCACATGCCTTTGGTTACATAACAGCGCTCTTATAGAGGTTAACCCTTTCCTTCCTCTTCCTCTGCCTGCTTCAGTGCAGACACGTAAGCACACAATCCGCATGAGCAGTCATCTGAACTGCAACAGCTGTTTTCTGGTGGGAATCACTGAAGGCCACAAGATATGATATCATAATACCTGAGCCCTGATGTGGTTCTACTATGAATTTTAACAGGAGTTCTAAAATTTCTTGCCAAATTTCTTTATAATTTTGTGGTGTAGATGTCATTCAGAGTGTTTTGATGTGAGATGGTCCATTATAGAGAAACTTACCAACACAGATTTCTATACAGTGGTGGTGACAGGAACCAGCAGTCGCAATGTCTACAATGCAAATACAGTCATTGTATTTGCTATCCACATGACCCATGCTCCTCCAAAAGTGGTGGGACAAAACTTATTGCCATGCTAGTGGAACTGCAGCTGAGTGACTGAGTGACCAACAAATGACAACTAAGCCATTGACACTCTAAGACTAACTTTTTCAGCACTGCATATATCATGATTATAATATAATATAATAACATTCCAATACAACAATAAACCTATTCATAACCAGTACTAGTGTTTTCACACATGCACTTTTACTCAGAAATGGTAATTAATTTTGAGTAAAGTTAACATATAGTTGTGTGCATCCTGGTAAAATACTGTTAAAGGGCTGCATGTGTGAATGATGTAAGGACTGAGCGTTACCGGTAAAAGTATCCCGATAATGTTTTGAGAGTAAAAAGGGCTCATGTTTTAACCTTGGGCATTTCACTGGAATCGAATTTTGTTAAGAGCATTATGTTTTAGTTTTGCAAGGTATTGGTAAGAAATATTAAATAAGTAGTGAAGAAGTTTTGAAGAAATATTGAATTTAGTAAATTTACATAGTCTGGTAACAAACTGTGACCAAGCACATTTGTGTATCTGCAGCTCTTTTCACTAAGATGTCCATTGGTTCTGCTGCTGAGTTTGACTTTGTGTTCGTGCCTGTAGGTCAGCAGTCCACACAAGACAGTGCATAGTGCAGACTTGTATTTGAAACATGCTCATTCCACAAAGACGCTGATGCCAGTTCAGAGGTGCAGCATGTCCACGTAATGAGATAATTGCATTGCTTGGAAATGAAGGCTGTCCCATCTGTGTTAGTGGTTACTTTTGGGCTTAGTGGAGAGACAATTCGCCAAGCTCTTAGTGCTCTTATGGGAAAAGTCTGGAGTGCAGTGAAATGACTGAGAAAGGTCATGTGCTGTTTATCTTAGCTCATTTATTCTCACTGGAACGGTTCAGAATTTCAAGCTTTTAGGATACGTACTTTTTTTCTGCACTTATTTCAAATGTCTCTCTCTCTCTCTCTTTTTTGCTTTTACTCTCAGCTGGGCTTTGCTGACCTCAACATGGCGGAATTTGCAGGTTCAGGCTCCACCGTGCGGTGCTGTATACTGGAAGGCTATGACACCAAGAACACTCGGCAAGACAACTCCATCCTGAAGGTGAGTCTGTGAAACATTTCAAATACGTAATAATTAAATGTTATAGCTAAAGAGGTGGACAGAAAAGATCCATCAGAATGTATATTTATACTTAAATAATTTATATCATGAACATTCAGCAACCTGGACATGAAAATCATGTGATTTCCATAGGCTGAATATCCAGTGAGAGCAATAGTGGGTGCAGCCAATATCATAGGAGTTCCAACTCTGTGACTGTGGGCTCTTGCTTTCATTCTTGTTCATAGAGCTCATGGATCCTTGTTACAGTGAAAACACTCAAAAAGAACTGTAGCATCCACTTTGCTGTTGCTTTTATATAAAAGCTATATTTGAACAAGAGGGCTACAGTCATGGATTCTATCATAGCAACTTACAGCAGATGGTTCACAGGTCAGACTAGGAAAATGCATTTACTAATTAATGGCATTAGTAGTCATGTAATAAGCTGTGTATATAGGACAAACAGGTAATCGTGATTAACTACAAATCAACGCATGTGTGCACACACACACACACACACACACACACTATCTAAATCACTTATACTCCTAGCACACAGGGGTGGTACTGGAGCGGTCAATGGGCAGAAGGCAGGAAACACCCTGTCCACAGGGCAGACATATACATGACATATACATTCACACCTAGGGGCAACGTAGCACATTTAGCACATGGGAACTGGACCCTGGTCAGGTAATCGAACCCAAGCCCTCCTTGTGGTGAGGCAACAGCACTACCGCACCACCGTGCCACCCAAGTCAATAGTTGATCGTGATTGCCTGCACAAAATAATGCATATATGTAATGTGTGTCTTGGGCTGTTCCTCCAGCTGGAAACCATCACTCTGTGTTCCATAGCTTTGTCTCACAAAGAAGTGGTTTGAGTAAAAGACAATTTTAGCCATTTTACGTCTCTGTCTATTTTAACTCCAGCCTGGGCACCAGGAGTACCTCTTTGTGTGGAAATATCCATGCATGCTGTTCCCCATAATCACAGCGCTCATTTGCATCCACTTGTTGACTGTGTGGGAAACGTGCGAACGAACCGACCCACTCACAGCCAATTTTGAATTTGAATGCTTTTTTTTAGCCTGAGTCACTGTCTGGTCTATTTTGTGAAAGCTGCATTTTGCACTGAAAGAGAAGTTCTGTTTTGAGTCAGTTATATTTTTGTTCAGTGTAATTGATGGCATTCATTTTAGAAAGGTGGAAATGATGCTTTGGGGTTACGGTACTATAAATATGCTAATGTGTTGGTAAGTTTTGCTTTAAATAATAGTGTTCTGTTTGTTTTCTTTTTTGTTTTGTTTGTTGTTTTTCTTAAGGTTACCATTGGTATGACTCTACTCTCCGGGGACCCTTGCTTTAAAACGTGAGTCATCCTTTTCCTGGATTGGATTTGGGGGGGTTTTGAAAGATCTTTGTGTGGAACCTAGCATGAGGTTTCATTTATAAGTACGCGGCTTTGGAACAAATACATAACCACCTCTATACTGAGCTGTGATTGTGTGTTGAATCATCCTGGTCTGAATTATCTTCTCGCTAGAATCTATGAGAAGTTCATAACTGCCACCATACTTGTTCATGTAGTGCCACCTGCTGGCATGTGATGAGTTTTTTAGCTGAAACACCCTTTAGTTTATTTAATTTCTAGTAAAAACAGATTGAGTTTTTCAGTTATTCAGAACTTTTCAGTGAAAAAAAAGCAGCAAATATATATTTAACAGAAAATTACACAGAAGCCTCCAACACTTCAACAAGTGTAATATAAAAATTTGTCCACTGTTTACTTTTGAGCACCCTATTGTTTCTGTCCATCCTTTGACTGTGAGTCGCCTCAACGCTATGGGTCTGAAAGGCTGCCGTGGCAGGAAGCTGTTACCGAGAACAACAAATTCGCACTAGAATACAGAAAAGCAGAAAATGCAGTCCACTTCTAAGACTGAAGTTGTGGAAAAATATCCCTGCAAATTTCTTTTAATAACTGACATCAAGTCTCCTGAAAAGAATGGAAGACTGCTGTGTAATTTTCTGTTTGCTGCTTTTTTCCTGATGCTGAAAAATAATTCAAATTACTGGTCATTTTACATGTAAATTAAATTAAATTACATTAAAAAGGTAGCGTCTGACTTTTACACAATATTCTGGAGAGCTCTATGGAAACATAGATGAAAAATAGATGGAGAAATAGAGAAATGGATGGATAGATTTAGTTCCTATCAGAGCTCCCAGTTATTGCTTCTCTGCAGTGTTGAGTAACTGAATGTATGTGTTCCCCATGTCCCAGGCCTCCGAGCACGGCTAAAACCACAGCCTTCGCTGGCCAGGACCCGTCTTTGCAGCTGGACTGTAAAGGAGAGGGCACTGGCGACAAACCAATTGCACCAGCGGGCATCAACCCGGGCATCAGCACCAGCCGGACACTCAAACTCAGAGCCTCCGCACCCTGCTCAGGTCAGCTGAGACCACTTGTTAATAACTCAGTAACACTGAGTGTGTGCATTTTGCTCCAAACCTGACTCTATATGTGTGTGTGTGTGTTTGTAGGTCTGCCAGAGGTGTTAGATGAGAACCTCTCCAGTCCAGATGAGGTGTTTCACACAGGCCACTCGAGGAATTCCAGCTACGCCAGCCAGCAGAGCAAAGTCTCAGGTGAGACTCCATCACAAGTCATGCATGTGATTGGACCATTTATTCTCTTATCTACTTCAAATATGTGGAATGCATTTGTAATAGGCTTATTACCTAATATTAACAGTCCTCTGAGTTTGTTGTACACTCTTAGTAAAAAGGTTCTTTATAGTATCAAAAATTGTTTGGTGACTCTATGCTGAACCCTTTTTGGGAGTATGTAGAACCATTTTTAAAATGTTCTTTAAAGAACTGTATCCAACAAGACCAACATAGAAGGAACATTTTACCATAGAAATAAATGTTTAAGCCCTCATGGTTCTACATGTAGCTACATATTACACTCATGGTTGAAGAAGAGTCCATTTTTCCAAGGTTCAAAGTTTTTAAAAGTGTTCTTTTAATTAATTATGACCATTCAGCATCGGTTGTATTAATAATTGTTAATTTATTAAAATCATATAACAATTAATATAATGTGTGTTGAAATATTATAAACTAGACACTAAAAGTATTTGCAGGTTTTTGGGGAACAATAAGAATTAATTGATTGCCAAGTCATTTTCTGTAATTATCATTTTATAGCAATTTCTTGTCAGTTTATCTTCCATGAGGATTGATCACCATTTATGAGATAAACATGAGGCATTCTGGATCTTAATGTCATTTTAACTTTATTTTCAATGTCATGCAGTTCTCCCAGGTATCATCTCAAACTACAGCTCTATATAGTATAATTGTGAACATTTATCTGTAGCAAAATTGGTTTTCATGTTATTGGCAACATAGATTTTAAACATGCATGGTGGTATTTATCCTTTCTGTCTTCTCTGAAATGTAAAAAAAATGCTGAGTTGTTACCTCAAAGAACGACTTTTAAGTTTTTTAAGATATTCTCACACTTAGCCCCTCAAGTGCCTGGTAACTGATTTGTGGCATATGTTGGTCCTCCTTGCAGGCTACAGCACAGAGCATTCCCGCTCGTCCAGCCTGACGGATCTGAGCCACCACAAACGGAACACCTCCACCAGCAGCAGCAACACTTCAACAGGAGCTGCAGCAGCTAGTGAGAGCCCCCCGGAGCCAGAGAAAGAGCCAGTGAAATCGGAAAAGCCTCCACGCCCACCACGGCCTGCCCTGCTCCCAAACCGACCATCCAGGTAACAGCCATGACCCTGAACCCTCAACACTCAGCAACACCCTTTTACTGCTGACTGTTCCACAGGCATTACATGCAGGTGACAGGTTAAACAAATAGCACTACAGTAGGAAAAGGGGTATTTGTTAGGGTTGTTGAACAATTCAGTCTGATTACAATTTAGGAAATGATTCAGTGCATCATAAAATTTCCAATTTCACAACAATTCAATACATTGATTAAATATATATGATTCAGAATTAAAAGTAAGCATACAGTGAATACTCAAGTATAACTGAAAGAATTATTTACACAGTAGTGGAACAAACACTCAAAACATTTTTTTTTTCTTTGGATTTTGAGATTTGACAGTAGAATGAGATTTTTCATTTTGGCCAGCATGTTATGATTATTATGAATAATAATCGATTCTAAATGTCTGCAATCAATGCAGTAGAATTACCACCTTCTGACTGAAGCACCATGATGCATTTTTACACCCATATCATTTACTGAAAAAGTAGATGAAATAAAGTGTATGGTTATCCCAGTGCCTGCTGTCAGCTACGTTTGATGTATTAGCCTCTGCTTTCTTTCTCTCTGTAATATGACTAGCTCTGCTGTAAGTGTATTTACAAGTATTGACTCTCTTGTAGGAGAAAGAAGGACTCTGTGGAGAACCACCCCACCTGGGTGGATGATACGCGCATCGATGCTGATGACATTGTGGAGAAGATCGTCCAGAGTCAGAACTTTGCCGATGCCAGCAACAATGAGGGTGTGTAGAACATCACACAGGTGTCAAAAACGGTTTTAAAAATCAGAGATGTTGTGTCCACCCTAATGAGTCCCAAGCAATTTCTTGAAAGCCTTGTTCTGATTCAGTTATAATTACAGATTAAAAGACTTGAATTTGAAGCTCTCTCAGTGATAGTAGTCTTGTTCCAATACACCTAATGCTACTTTAGGAACGAAACTTGCTAAAGGAGGCAGCCTTGTACAGCCTTTTTATTATTATCGAGCGTGGCACCAGAACATGAAATGAACATCCGGGCTTTGACTTTTCAGACTGGGCTGTCTGTGGGAATCTGGTGGGGCATTACACGTTATCATATATGAATCAGTAAGGCAAATCCCATACAAAATGACAGTTTTACTCTCTCTGGTAAGATTAATCCAGCACCCGTGATTTACAAAAGGTCATAAATGAATTCCATTACATTGTATAAGATATCATATTTAATTTTATGGAGTTGCAACAGATCTACTATTGGTTTGTACTGTTGCAAACCCTATTTTGGTGGTAAAAAATAACTATAGTAAAGTTTTATTTACTATATAGGCGTAACGGCCCTTAAGCACCCAGAGTAAGATAAAAGGCGCAGATGATAATATATACTGGCTTATTTTTGATGCCATTGTTGCTCAGAGGCGCCTGTCCAACAAAATTGATGTTTGTTTCCGCAAGCTGGCAAAAAGTTGCTGGATGTTTTTTTCTGGTTTCTGGCAGCAGTATTTCAAGGGCTGGCTTATGTTTTACCTCTCAAAATGTTGAATCATGGTTTCTCAAAATAATTATACCTTCTTAAAGAGTAATAAATCATTATTTTGACATACTACAAAATCTCTAGACATTGAGTCATTTTTTCAACACAAGTCAAGCTATCAAGACAGCAGTCATTAGTATGCAGTCATTCATTTTGAAATGAAAACTTTTGATACTAAGAGTAAACATCTGTTTTATTACCTGTCAGAAATGGACTTCCATACAAAAAGGACATGAGCAAAATGGGTTTATATTGTTCTGGTCATATGGTAATTATATAGTTATGAAGTTATTTGCATGGAAGTTGTTCGTGTATAACCTGCTGAACTGGCCACCTCCCCAGTGCAAACTGTCTGTACACCATCTGTAATCAGCATCATTTTTAGTAACTCCCCCACTCATGTTCTTCTGTATCACTGTTTTCTCTCTTCCTCTCTCTCTCTCTCTCTCTCTCGCAGATAGCAATTTGCGACTGTTTGTCAGTAGGGATGGTACCACTGCCCTTGGCGGCATCCAGCTGGGCAACAGGTGAGCCAGTCCAGTGGCATCTTTAACTGGATTATGCTTAAATTATATCCTTATCACCCATCTTATTGCAAGCCCTGCAAAATATTGAAATAAAGTAAATAAAGAGTAACAAATGTGTTTCCATTTTCCGGCAGGGTGTCGGCAGGTGTCTTTGAGCCGGTTGTGATCGAGAGTCATTAGTGTCATCATGGCATCCAAGCACTGTCTGTCCAACTGGGCTCTTCACATAAAGAGGATGGTCCAGACAAGTGAGGATCATCAAGGCAGAGTGCACGTCAGGCGTCCCACTGACAAGTTGTTTTCTACTTGCGTTTGTCTCTTTTTTTATTATCTTTACTGATTACTGATTTGTGTACTCACACACTACAATAATAACACCTTAAATCTTATGTCACATTTATGGAAACGGTGGTGGGTAGTTCGTTATTATTATTGTATTGTAAAACCCCGTAATCAAAAAAAGATATCTTAATTAACACTTTAATGACACCTTATTGCAAGTAAACCAACTGGAAATGCCTTGATGAAATTAGGCATTGTGGGAAGTATAGTCTTAACACTGTGAAAAGCTGTCATTGGCCCATAAACCACCATGTTTATGACCTAAATGGCAGCCTTTAGTATTTTCAGTAGAAATATGATTTATATATTGCTTAGCCTTTCAGATATTATTTAATGGTTTCAACCTACGGTTTTCTTTCTCACCTTTTAGTTTTAACAATGCACAACCAAACCCTTTTAGTACAGGTTGTGTGTTCTGCCTGGGCTATATACCACTAAAATGTGTTAAAAAATGTCTTAGCATGAATGTTCCTAATGATCCTGCTTTTGCTTAACCACAGTCTTTTTACCTGCATCGGGAATGACCTTATTAATCCATATGACACAAAGGTGAATATACACAGTGCTGTATGGCTGGCCATACAGAATCAGTTCATGTTGAGGTGGACATGGAAGCTTCTGGCCATTCCTCCATAGATTAGGGCCTTCTGTTTTTGTGAATGTGTGTGTGTGTGTGTGTGTGTGTGTGTGTGTGTGTGTGCTTTTGGGGGTGTTAAATGTGTCAGTACATGTGATTCTCCATAGAAGTTCTCCAGCTGGCCTGGTGGAACCACAAGTCAAGTTTCTTCATTGGCATTCTTCTCCACATCTTCTGTCCATATGTCCAGAACGCACTCTCATTCCCCTCTTATTCTCTTGTTTTCGTATGTGCTGCAGGCAGCCTCAGAAATGAATGGGGGCCAAAAAATGCCCCAAAATTTTTAAAAATGCGCTTGACATGTAAAAGTGCCCCATGTTGTCCTGTATTTTTAAACATTTGATGCCTTCTTCATAGAATGTGGTCACCTGCACCTGAGTGCTTATGGCTTTGTTCCATTGCATTTGGAACTTCCGAGTTGGTACTTCTGACTTTTAATCTAAATGCTTTCCAAGCATGAAGAAACAAGCATTCTCATGGCAAACTGATGTTTGTATGGCAAATCATGGAATTTAGGTACACACTCACATTACTTCATCAAAGAGGCACCAATTTTGTCTCTTTGTGTGAATTGGATATGTATCCATTCTGGGACAACATATGAAGTGGCTCAAGTTCGACATAAAAAAAGATCAGATTTGTGTGTCCACATCAGATCTGGATCACAGAAAGGCACAACATCCAACTTGTGCCACTTGCACCTAGTAATGTGAATGTAGCCATATATATGTACATATGTGGCGCTCGATCCAATTCATATCTGATTTGTGAGTCCTTATTTCAGGACTCACATGCGTTCACACTGAAGACAGATATGCGTCAAATAAGAATGTGAACCATCAAGACAGAGAGATCAGGTCTGAAAAAAATTGGAATTGAGCAATAAGACTTGTAACATGAATGCAGCCTAATAAGCATCTTAAGAGAATCTACATTAATGCTGGGCTGTTACAGCACATTTTTATAACAGAAAACAAATGTAGTTTTTTATAAAATAAAAATCGATGATCCGATCACTTGGGTGGCCATTCCATTGCAGAGTCAAAGATTTCATTTCCTGAGTTCCGAGTCCAGTGGAATGCACAGTTAGTCCACACACTATTTTTTAAAGTTACTTGATAATTTGGCAATACCTGAGCGAATGATGTTGGTGAAACAAGGCACTCTTTTTTTATTTAAAAAGACCTAAACTGGATTCCTGAGTGGCGCAACCATGTAAACACTGGTTCTATCATCAGGAAAACACTAGTATGTTCCTTAATGATGCCACAGCCATCTGTAACCAGAACTCCAAGACTAATTGGTCTCACTTTTTCTGGGAGGGTAGGATGGCCTCCTTCTTTCCACATCACTAAGAACTGAACATGAATAAATTTCTGATAAAATTGGAAAAAATAAAAAATAATCTCAAAAAAACACTAATTTCTCAATCTGTTGCAACATCAGAGGAGGACAGGCATACTGAGCAACACACTGAGAACATAAATAAAATAACAGAATACAGTAAATTCGAATGGAATTGTTGTACTTAGAAAAACAGACTTGCTAAAAAATAACCTCCTAAACGTCAAAATTGCCCCTGAAAATCAATTTCAGAGGCCCCCAGGGTAAGTTATTTTCTGACACTGGCTGCTGGTTTCAGCCAGTAATGCATGAGTGTATTATACTACAGTGCTGTGCACTGGTCTCTTCTGCTTTTCAGCAGGCGTAATAGTCAGCGTGGTTTGGTGAATGGACCACAGCCAGTCCTGCTGCAAGGAAATGTGTTCATCATTACGAGCATGTGTGCTGTATAATGGAACGTGGATGGTGGAGGATGTGGCTGAAGAAACCCTTTGTTTGTTGAATTAGATCAGAGCAGATGACTCACAACCATGCGACTTGACTTGGCGACAGCACCTGGTGTGCGTCCAGAAACAAAGCTTTCCCCCTCTGTGTGTGTGTGTGTGTTAGTTAAAGGTCTGTATGCTGTTTCAGTTTTGTTTTTTTTTTGTTTTGTTTTGTTCAGTTTGAATGAGCTAGCCATGATCTTGGTCATGGAGAAAAAAAAGCCTTTCAGTTGATCTGAGAGAACAAACAGACTAGAGAATTTACACTAAGAGTCTCTGAGCTCTTTGCACGTCTAGTTCTGTTATTGTGTCTTTACATAAACAGTGCAATGTGGGCTTGATGCTTCATTAAAGGAGAATTTCACGCTAAACGCAGTTTAACAAACAGAATAAATAACAAACCCTTTGCATAATGAATAATATATGAAATAGCCCATGTCATGGAAAAATAGTATGTACAGTCGTGTGCAAAAGTTTTTGGCACCCCTGGTCAAATGAGGTTTTCTCTAGAGAGAACACACGTTTTTGCACGTTTAAGTGCATAGTTACTGTTTATTTGCTGAATTCAACATAAAAAATAAAACAGATGTGGAAAATATGGTCCGTGCTGGAGTACATTTGGCACTACACTCAATCTTTTACGCTTAATCTTTTTCCAATATGTTAAACAAGTAAATAGCGATCATGCACTACAATTTGCAGAAAAATGCCACATATTCAAGTGTGTTCTCTATGAGGATGTGTTAGCTTATTCTCACTTAGAAAATTAACAAAAATTTGAGCAGGAGTGTCATATATGACTGTAGATACTGTTAAAGTTTCAAAACATATCACTCACGCCTCGGTTCATACAGTCCATGTACAGAAACTAAGCTGTAAAACCATTTGAATTTGTTTTTGTGATGTCTTTTGTTTACATATAGCCACATTTTCAGCCTACAGCGGGTTAGCACCGCTCCAGTAAGGTTGAAGTTATAAAGAGTGGACTGCTTTTTGAATGAGGCACAATACACAGTGGTCAATTAAAACAGATATCACATCATATATATATATATATATATAATATATATATATATATATATATATATATATATATATATATATATATATATTTCAGTGTTAAACACGCATTAACAAAAAATAGTCCGTTTACTTCTAAAGTGTAAAGAGAGGTTGGAAAATTGCCAAGTAATAATGAATTAGGACTATTTTGGACACATGAAATCACAAAAAAGTGAACCTCAGGGGAAAAAGAATACAAGACAGATGTGGGATATGGGCCTTTTAGGGAATGGATGTCATGTGGAATACTCCTTTAATGCCCTTTTTATTGTAATATCTTGTGGTGAAGTCACTCATTATGTCCTAGTTAAGACCTTGTGATGGAGTGATGACTTTCTCAGGTTCTTCATCATTATACTGTGTCTTTCAGAAGTATTAGCACCCTTGGTAAATATGAGCAAAAGGCAAATATGAGAAAAATCTGAGCTTTTATTGAGGTAAAATGGCACAAAGAAAAAGTACATGCACAATTATTTATCATGAACAAAATCTAGCTGTATACTTTTCAGTGGTCATGTATTGTGCAAAAGTTTGGGCACCCCGTAGCCATGTACACACGGGGAGCGCAGTTAAATGTGGCACATTTCTGCTAATTTTAGTGCATAATTTCTGTTCGAAGGGTTTTGTTCCAGACCCTTTACAAGAAAGGTATTTTGGCAGTGGACTTTATACACGCAAGAAATATAAAATTTTCTTAAGACCTTTCTCAAGAACAAATTTAAGAAAAAACTTGGGAAAATATTGGTGAATGAGGCCATTTATGTTTTATTGTTTCTCAATAAGTGTGTTTTCTGTAGCAATGTTAACTTACTTTCACTTAGGAACAACAAAAAACATAATTTGACCAGAGGTGCCCAACGTTTACACAGGAATGTATATGAACGAGCACATAAGTCTTAAGAGTCTTGAGAGTCCCTTAGACTTATATTTATACAAGATTTTGATTAATAGAGCTATTTACCTCACTGAAAGCTTTGATTTGTCTTGGGTTTTCAGTGAACTGACTGAAACAAAGTTTCCTCAAAAAGGTGCCAATAATTCTGGTAAGCGTTAATTATATTAATATGATTAGACCATAGAGATCGCATTGATCTGAGTCTTATCTGGGCATATAAAGAGTGAGTGCTTTTCAATTAGGGTACCACACTAGCATCAAGGGAATCTCTGAAATGTTCTGTTTTCGAATGCACCCTTTCTTTTCATCTGTCTGTTGTTAGACAGGCATGCAGCCTGTTTGCTGTCTGTCTGTCTTTGCATCTCTTTTGTTCGCCAACGTTACGAGCGATTCGCTCATGCTTTATACTGTCCTGTTCTTTTGGATTTCCAAACCAGCGGGCTGGTTTATTTGAACCTTTCCCCACATTCAGTTGCCGTCACTGCTCTCTCTGTTGATTCTTTAGTGTCGAACGAACATTGTGACAGCATGAAATGGTTGATGTACTCACAACTTAAAGAGGCTACTTTTTGATGGTTGTTCTTTCTGTCTTTGTTTTCCTTGCATTGAAAAAAGAGCCTCTTGTGTCGTGCTATCATTTTCGGTCATAATGGACTGTAACCTGTGATTGATTTCTCTTTTTTTAAATTCACAAGGTAGATGTAAAGTTGATTTAAGATGCTGTTGTGGAGAACTGAACATAAAGGTATTGGGATGTTTGAGGGAAAATGGTTTTGTACATTCAGTATTTGTGTCATTTGCTGTTCTTTGTTATAAAAAAAGAAATAATGCTTGAAAGTCAGTGTAATTCACTCATCCTGGGGCAAGTCTACGTCGTTATTTACTCCTTGGAAATAATGGAAATTATAGGGTTATTTCCAAGAAGAAGAACGATTTGTTTTTTTAGTTCTTCTTGAACATGGTACAGTTGTGTGCAAAAGTTTAGGCACCCTGGTCAAATGACGTTTTGTTGATTTGTTGATGTAAAAGTAAGTGAACACATCCTCATCAGAGAACGCACTTGTGCACATTTTAATGCATAATTACTGTTTATTTGCTGAATTTAACCTGTTGGAAAAACAAAATCTGGCCTGTGCAAAGGTTTTGGCACTTTGTTATCTTTTATCTTTTTCCAGTATGTTAAACTCAACAAATAAATAGAAATTGTGTGCTAAACTTTGCAGGAAAATGCCACATCTAGATGATGTGTTTATATATTTTCACCTAGACCATCAATGAAGTATTTGACCCGGTGTGTTCAAATGTTTATGTTGTAATAGTGAGTATTAATTATAAATGAAATGCTAAACTACACTGTGATCTCCGGAAGGTCGAATCCTTGGCCAATGACATAACATTCACCGCAACGGCACTTAAATACTAACGTTTAAAGTATCAAGACCTGTAAAATCCTCCACAACTAATGCTGTTTGTCTCCTTTCTCTCTCATTTTGTAAAGGGTTGAAAAGCTATGCACTTGAGTCAGACAGAAAGACTCCGTTTTGACCACTATATTGGTTACAATTAACAAATTATCAATATATTGAAAGACTTCAGATTTCTATGAAAAGTCAGTACCTATATTTAACTTTACCACAGAAGTGATGAGTTTATTTTTCTGATTATATAAAAATTGTTGAATACGTATATTTTATGATCACACAAATAATTTCCAAAGTTTTCTTGACCTCATATTCGGTTTTATTTGGTGTATTACTGTCTCATGATGGAACTATATTTCTACACTTGAATATGGGTGTTTCGTATTCTGTAATGTAAATGTGTCTTTGGGGGTGTATTAATGTAATATTTTGGGGAAATAAAGCAAATGTTGGGCATCCAAAACAGTTGTTGTCTTTGTTGCTTACTCTGCTGTCAGCCACCAAGCAAACACCACAAGCTGACCTGAACATCAGAGCATGAAATGTGTCCACATTTGATGCCCTGTTTAAGAGAGAAAAATCTCCTAATGAGTGTTTTGAGGCTTAAATATATTAAGTCAAAGCTCATCATTAGCATAGAATATGAAACATATTACCAGTGAAAAAGTATGTATTTACATATATATGTTTTTACGAATACAAGCATTTTTACATACAGTGATTACATTGTGTCACAATTTCATGAGGACATAGCCAATTGAAGTGGTCCAAAATGACAAATAAATAGATCAATAAAGCATTGACTTACATTGACTTACATTGAACGTTAAGGTTTTTCCTTCTCCAGTAACATTACTTTTTTGGAGATAGAAGGTTTTGTTCTGACAGTAACGATGTGTAGTATTAATGTGGGAACATATACATTAGAGCATGGCAAAGGTTTGAGCTTAATCCAGCTTTTATTTTGGAGTATTTCAGATATTAATGTGAAAACATCTGCATTAGATCAAGGCTTTATGTTAATACAACTTTTATTTTGGAATATTTGAGATATTAATGTGGAAATGTACATTAGAGCATGGCACAGGTTTGATGTTAATACAACTTTTATTTTTGTAATATTAGAGATATTAATGTGAAAAACATACATTAGAGCGTGGCAAAAGTTTGATGTTAATACAACTTTTATTTTGAAATACTTGAACTTTATAAACATTAAAAAAGGTTTAAAAAATAATTAAATAAACAATTGTAATACAAAATGACGCTATGTTGATGAATTCCTATATTTACGCTTTAAAAACACGTATTAGTAGATTTCTGTCTCTAATACAAGCCACTGAACGCTCTGCACTCACATTACACTGTTTCTTAGAAAGATCCTGCGAAGTAAAAGTGAGGGGCTGTTCTTGCGGAGGTGTCGGTGAGCTTGAGTTCATTGATGGGATCATGAACTCAGAAGTGTGTGAAGGCTGTAAACCCGCAAGTGTCTGCAGATAAACTGCTCAGACAACCATCTGAACACAGCAGTTGCATTTTGAAAGGATCCTTCACCTAAAAGGAAAATAAAAGCGTTGGAACGGTCTGTTTAAAATTAGTGTCGCTTGGTTTAAGATGTTTTTGTTTCCTAACACAGTTAACTAAAGGTATTACAGTATGGCACAGATGTCGAAATTGTTTTTGGGCCACTGCATAGAATCATAACTGTTCGACACTCTTTCTCAGCTCTCTTTAGTCGTGCGTTGGCTCCCTCTCGTGGTGTTAGCCTAGCATGATCGTCTGTATGCGCTCAGTTCTGATAAACTACATTTCCCATCGTGTCAGTTGTACGCCGGAAATAGGAAACGCAAACGAAAAGACGTGTTTTAGAGAGTGACGCGTTCACCATGGTAAGATGAAATGATGATTTTTTGCTGTTTTTACTGTAATTTGTACATTACGTTTTCCTACTTAATAGTATACAGCGAAAGCTTGTTATATATTTATGATTCCGATCATTAAAATGCATTTAAAGTGTTTTAAAATTTCCCAGTGCTGGTTAACTTCACCGAAAGCTAACATTAGCTAACGCTGGCTAACTGACTAGATTAGCCCAGTCAGTGAGAAGATATTAAGAACTCGACTGTAAACATGCAGATTTAGGTGGGCTGAACGATTTGGGCAAAATATTTAATTGCGATTGTTTTCTGTAAGTTAAGGTTTAGGCCTTTTTTTTGTCAAGAAGACCAGAATATCCACTTGTTGTGGCATACTTGTTGTATGCCAGACAGCCAGTAAATTGTGGTGGTGATGTTACAACACATGTAGGTTTGGTAGGATCTCAGTTGTATTTATCTAGCAGTGTAGCGTGATATTGATTATAACTCAGTAATAACTGATTAACTCACATTTTCTTTTGAAAGGCAACCGGAGCAGATCAAGCTGTGGGTTTGGGCCTCGTTGGCTTCAGTCTATTCTTGTTCACATATTACACCATATGGGTTATTGTCCTGGTAAGTTAAAGTATTCTACATCGACTTTTAGTACCTCTGGAAAATGTTATTTAGATCCGCCATGTATAATATTCATCCAGAAGTGGGATAATCTAAATCGTATGGCCTCTTCTGGCTATTCTCAGTTACTCTCAAAAGCTTGCAGACACAAGAACGAAAACGACAATAAAATAAAAACATTATCTTATCTATTAGAGAGAAAGTTGTACTTATAACTGTGTTATCTTGTGATTTTTATGCTTTGATGTTTTTTGGAAAGCCATCTTAGACCTGAAATGACTGATAATTTATTTTGTGAATATAAACAATAGGAAATTTTGCACTTAATTACCAGAAGATGGATCACTGTATGTCCAAAAGTATCCAGACACTCCCTCAAATTAGTGAGCCCATCTACTTTAAGGTGCACCCAGCTGTTTAAGATCACACACGCTTGTACAGTCTCCATAGTAAAACACTGACCAACAGAATGGGGCATTCTCGAGCAGCCACACATGAACATAAGGTCACCATGCCCAACGGTTTAAAGCCTGAAACATCTGAACTGTGTTCTCTGGAGTGATGAAGCTCTATTCAGCACCTTTGGGATGAGTTGAAGTGGCGTTTGTGTTCCAGGACTTATCATTCAACATCAGTACCTGACCTTGCTAATGCTCTTGTGGCTGAATGCAATCAGACCCTCACAGCAATGTTCCAACATCTAGAGCAAATCCTGTCCAGAAGAGTAGAGGCTGTTACTGCAGCAAAGGGGGGAAAACTCTCTACTAACACCTGTGATTTCAAAAGATACACTGAATGACCAGGTGTCTTCAAACTTTTGGACATAAAGTGTGTTAAGTGGCTGGGAATTGTAGTCCTTCTGTGGAACTCAGTGGACGAATGCCACACCAGTTAAGGTTGTTGAGTTTGAGTTGAACAGTTTTGTACACAATGTATATAATAACTAGATCCCTTTCTGGTCTCTCTACAGCCATTTGTAGACAGTGACCATGTGATCCACAGTTACTTTCTTCCTCGAGAATACTCGATCATACTTCCTGGAGTAGCAGCTTTAATTCTCTTACTCTGTGTTGGTAAGTATAGAAAGCATGCTTCTGTAGATAATGAAACATTTCAGTTACATATGAAATCAAGATGCATAGCTAGCTAATATTGAAAATGATGGCTAAAACAAATTTCTCAATAGTCATGACTAGTGCTGCAATATATATTATATCGTCGCTCTCTTAATTTCCAATCTGAATTATCAATATTTTATACAGACTCACTCTGGAGCGTTTCTATTAGTAGTCAGTTTGTCCTGAAACTCAGATTATGACAGATTATTATGAAACTCAGATTATGACAGATTATGAATGACATTTGGAAATTTCAAATAATGTCAAAATTGGAAATATGTTTTGTGTTAACAGCAACAAGACTGTAAATCATTAAAATTATGGCTTCACAATTTACCATTTGTTAGTGTTGATTGCAATTTTGGCCTTTGCAATAATGATTTTTGCAGAATCATTATTGCAGGTATTGGTCATATTACAGATATGTGCTTTTGTAGATGGTTTAATTAAGGCATTTACCTAATCACATTTTTGTGTCGTTAATCTAATTTGCTCAAAACCAGAAGAAAGTTTTCCATTCAAAAAGCAGTGTATTTTGTCATATGAATAAGCAGAAAAAGCTTTAACAGAATTTATTCAGTACTTTGAAAAATTCAGTAATATTATATCATGTGAACGTAAAGATCACATGAAACTAATGAAGACAATCATGCAATATACATAGAGTGAAAGCAGTTTTCAGTTTTCAACACCAACATCCAGTGAGAGCAACAGTGGCTGCATGTTCCAACCAGTATATGTATGTATCATACATATCATATACACAGTCAGTGGTTCCAGCTTCTCCATGATTACAGACATCTTGCTCTCATTCATACAGTTCATGGATTTGAGAACTTTCCACTTTGCTGTTGCTTTTGTTAGTTTGCTTTGAGCGCTGTAAGGTGCTGAAACTATCACTTTAATTATTAGTATTAAGTGGCTGGGAAAATCTGATGTGGCAATATTATTTAATAATGCCACATCAGATTTACATCACTGTTTTTTATGTGTATTGCATTTGCAATATGTAACAGTATAATCACGATATGGTGTTTTATCCATATCATACAGCCCTAGGTGTATTTTGTTGTTAACACTGTATTCTAATATGTATCTGCCTTAAATAACCACATTAATTCTATGTTGTTTTATTTATTTATTTATTTATTCATTCACTCATTTATTTATTTATTTTTACAGGTACCTTCATTGGAGTAGTAACATGGAAGAATCGTAAACCAAAGAAAGTCGACTAAAGTTCCTCAGTGGTGGATCACTCAGCTGCCTAAGAATGGTCATGATAAAAACTAACCCTGCATACCAGCTACTGTCCTTCAGCCTCATGTGTAGCTGTTCTTTGAAGCTGAACTTTCCTATAGATTCCACCCAGCAGATTGGAATAGGAATACAGAAGAGGCTGAGGAAATGACCAATGACTTTGTAAGGGAGCCTGGCAACACATTCTCTCCACACAGTAGAGCGCCATATCCTAGTATTGAAAACCCAGCGACCACAACCTTGACCGCAGAACTAGTTATGTAATGATTTGGGATGATGTGACCCACTTGCAAGTCAAATAACTAATCAATTGAATTACTGTCCTAGCAGCTGTTACATTGTGGCTTAACTATCAGGACGTTATTGGATTCAGTGACCATTCAGACCACTGTTGTTATTACGCGTTTGTGCTGCTGCTTCCGTCTGAGACTGTAAATAGATTTAAATGTATGCTAGTAAATTATAAGGCGGCGCATCATGCCCACTGCTTATTGTCAACAGTAAGGGATTTGAAATATGCTGGGATGATGAGATCTCAGCTGTACACTTGTATTTTTTATATGCTGTAATAAAGAACTATTTCACCACTTTGATTTACATTTTTTCTGTTGCTTTAAAGCTAACATCAGAGCTGTTCTTAAATTAGTGCACTGTAGTTGAGCTTAACAATTAATTTAAATAACCAAAAGATATCTTTTCATACATCAGAAGACCATGTTGTGTATGCTTTCAGCTGTGCATCAGTTGCAAAGGCCATTAGAAGACACATAAATGGTTGATATGGAAAGAAGTTAATAAATATAATAACATAAAGCTCACATATTATTTCATTCGATATGCAATTAGCTTGCTGTCTCAATCAGTAGTTAATAAAACAGTTCAATTGATTCAATCTTCCAATTTTAGAAACTGAAAAGGACTGTTTACTTAATACCAGCCTTGTTTATTAACCAAATCCACACTGAATGCTCTTATCAGTGAGAGATGATCCCTAGCAATGGCCCATTCATTGGCACTTATCATACCATTCAGTTTCCAGTCCATATATGGAAATTCAACTGAAAACAGTTTGTCTTAATTAAAGATACTTGACTGATAAATTCTTTTCGTGATCTCACAAAAATCAAAACCTTTACATATAACCAAATATGAAGTCTACAGCAAGTCAGCTCTGCCCATGTATGTTAAAGTTATAAGGAGTGTTTCTACACAGACTGCTTTTGAAGCACAAAAGAGCAGCCAATCAGAACAGGGGTGATGTGCATATATCAGTATTAAAGGGACAGTAACAAGACCAGCCAGTTTATCTCTAAGGGATAAAGAAAGTTTGGAAAATTCTCACGTTTAAAAAAGGACAATTTTTTTTTTCAATATCAATTTTTATTTAATTTTCAATCATGGAAAAGAAAAGAGGAAAAAACAAACAAACAAAAAAAAACAAAACCCACAAAACAGAGGAGGGTAAGAAATTACTGAACCACCCACCCTACCCCATCCCACTGACAACAAGAGACAGCTTGCTAGACATAATGGTAGATATTCTAGACATTCCATTCAAAAACAAACGCATACAAATAAACGTAGCCATCCGCCTTAATAACATTGTCAAGCACAACATCTCGGCCAAACCTGAGCACATTTAATAATTTCACATATATGACGTGGAAGACTGGAAAGGAAGGGAGACCAAGTGCACTCAAATTCTGTATCATTACCTTTAACTCTAGCATATAAGCGCTCAAAGGGAAGAATTTTCATAATTTCATTATGCCAAAGGTTAATTGTGGGTGGTCTGTCATCTAGCCACTTATTTAAGATACACTTAGGAGCAATGAACAATAATTTGTAAGTGAGCTGGATTTTTAGTGCAGACTAGTACATTTCCCATATTCCTTATAAGCTCTGATCTTTATCTATTTGTGGTTTACCAAAAAAAGGACTATTTTTGGTATGTAAAAACCACACAGATGTCATAAGTGAACAATAGAAAAATATATAATACAAGAAAAATTGAGGTGTTGTTATTTTACTGACATTAAAGAGGCACACTGGCCAAAATTAGAAATGCAACCATTGCTAGATTGGTTGCAAACATGCCTACTCTCCTAATACTGTGATGCCACAATAGTCTGAGATTTCTTGGTTTAAAGACTAAGAAAACATCCTTCTGGTGATGTTTCTTGAAGATGGGAGGAGCCTCTGAGAAAAAGAGTATTGGGACGCATGCATTGGTTTTTCCCACTAGCTGGCAAATGCCAGATAGCTAACATTACTGCTCAGAAGTCAAATATCATGTCTGTGGCATGTTTACTAGCCTCTCTATCAGTGCATCACTGGATTTCTTTATCTCTGTCGGGGGGTTCTCAATAGTGCATGATGCATGCTGGGTATTGTGGTGAAAGAACATTGATGGATGAAACACAAAACAGATACAAAATTGTGAGTTCTGCCGTATTGATGAGGCTCAGGAATTCAGTACTATGCTACAGAATATTACATAACAGGACAAATAACATTAAATGCTAGTTTTAGGCCGGAATACCTGTGTAACAATACAAATTTGGTTTTCTATCACACAGGCCTTTGAAAAAGTGGATGGTATATATATTGTAGCATTTACCGATATTAAGGAAGTCCTTGTGCTTTATTAGTGAGCTGTAGTTGGCCACAGCCACGCCATACACAAAGAGGTTCTTGCTGAGATTTCTTGTTCTACACGCATAAACACAGTCCCACCCTTCAAAATAAGAGTGCTTAGAAAATTTAAGCCAGAGTATGACTGCTATATCCGGAATAAATATACTGAATACATTTACAGACACAAGCTTTAGCTGCAGCCCAGAGAAATCGCTCCATAATCTGCATTTGCACATTTGACGGTGATTATCCTTATGATGTCTCGTATGTTGTGTTCCTTTCATCCAACGTGGATGAGAAACAGATGAGGAGGTCGGACGAGGCTGAAGTTCCTATTCGCCAACTTCGTATCCTAACTCTCCGGTCCACCTTAAATGGCGCAGCAGTCGGTGCAGCAGCCTCATGCGCCACATTGTAACTGCTGTACCATTTAAGGTAGAACGGAGAGTTCCCCTTACGCGTTTGACGGTGGCTCATTTCGATAAAACCTCGGGGGTTGAGAATATAAAAGCTGTAGCATTTAAGGTGGACCGGGGAATTCGAGTGAGAAGCTAACTTCAGCTTGGTGTAGGATGGCATCCTCTTGCGTTCGCCTGAGACGAAGCTTTTGCCTGCAGCTCCAGCAGCAGTCAGCGCTGCTCTGCTCAGTGCAGCCACAGTGAGGCAGGGGCAGGGATGGAGCTGGCCACAGAAAGCCATGTGTCATCTGAGGACAGAAAGAATACGCTGATCCCTCGCACTGGACATGACATGAACCGCTGACTCCATTATGAATCAAGCAGAGGTACGTTTTTCACTCTTTACTCCTGTGTTTTTTACAGATATCACAGCTGCAATGCTGCTACATACCGCTTTAGACTCGTTGTCAGCGCTTACTTTCTGAGATTTGCTCTCTGTTTTGGCGATCGGTGACCAGGCACGGGTCTGGTGAGTTTCATATTTAACACTTTTACCTTTAGAATCTGAACTAAGCTGCATTTTTAGAACAGAAACCTTGTACGGGGCTAGTTTGTTCTGGTAGTATGGACGGTAGTGTCCATAGCAACGCTTCTGCTGTATGTAGCTGTTCATTCATGAATGTGAGTGGCTTTGAATAAGTTAGATTGCCATGAACCGGTTCTTTGTGGTGGAGCTGAAAACTGGACCTCCTGCCTCAAAACAGCTGATTCCCATCACTGCAGACAAACAGCCCTCTATGTATGTTCCTGTTACATAGCTCGTTCCTTTAGCTGCATTTTTTTTACCTCAAAACGAAGCCTATAGGTTTCACAAAGGGCGTAGATACTGCACTAGCATTGTCACACTACCAAATCACTTTTTGTGGACTGCATTGGAGGTGGTGCAGTTTTGCTGATACAGGCTCTGTTGCTGTGGTAGCACATTTATATTTCTTATCATGTAGACCTACTTTATGATTTAAGAGGTATATCACTTGCTAACTTCCCTACTATACATTTATTTTTATATGAAGCTCCTCAGACATCAGAGTAGTACAGTATTCAAATCATCTGTTAGCTCTAGAGCTCATGGAGGGCTGTATTTTTCTTGTATTTTTATTTATTTATTTTATTTTATTTTTTTTGAGGTCTCATGACATTTTACGTGACCATTTTCCACCCTGTCTTTATCCCTTAGAATGAAACAGGCTGTTTTAGTTACAGTGCCTTTAAGACTGATATGATCTCTGTTCTGATTGGTTGTGCTGTGTTGCCCTCCAGCTAAAACTCTCTTTATAACTTCAACGTGAGTGGGCGGGGCTAAACTGCTATAGGCAGAATACGCTGATGTATGTTAATATATTTGTTTTTGTGATTCAAAATGGGCTGTTTTTGCAGTTTGTTTTTCACATATTAGCAAGTGAATAGCACGTTTTTTGTTAAAATTAATAAATTAAATTAGAAAGAAGTAGCTTTACTGAGTCAGCAAAAGCATGCTAAAATGTTGTACGTCGCCCTGCAAAATCTGAAATAGTAATTTAAAGAACCAGGGAACCGAATCTGTGTGTTGTTCCTGCAGGCGAAACAGTAAACAATGTTCCAGGGACCAATAACTGACCCATATGTTTCACCCTGTTTCTCTTATCTTGATGTCATGTGGGAGGTTCTAACGCTTCTGTAAGCATTTCCCTGACCAATCACAAGGCTGAGCTAAAGCTAACTAGCTAAAGCTAGCTAAAGCTAACCCAGCATAACCAAAAGCTAGCAAGCAAGACCACCTGTTTTGGAGCTGTGTGTTGCCCATTCATTCGTTTATCCACACACAAACATTGTTCGTTTATCTGTTTCTTCATTCATGTGTTGCTTCTGTTTGTTCATTCATGCATCTGTCCGTCTGCATACTGCAGCTGAATAATGATTTTAGTTCTGTATGAGTTGCGGAGCAGGCTAGCAGTGAGGGACAGAGAGCTGCCAATCAAACTGCTCACTAACCACGCCCACACAGTTCTCAGACAGGTTTGATCAATGGTTTAATCAGTGTTTTTCATATTTATGTGTTGTATTTTTCATTCAAGCAGAGGTGTCGGGTCAGATTTCGCAGACGTTTTTTGGACCGCGTCATATGTCTTTACTTGTTAACATTATATGCACAGCTTCAAAAAGAAGGTCTGGCTTGATGTTTAGATCTCAAATGTAAAATCAACATTATACTGATGAAGACATGATAGTAATAGTATATAATTCACTCACATCCTCGAAAGCGACGTCCTTCACCAAGTTTTGACTGAGTTCTGTTTGAATTCTTATTCAACGCGCTCGCAATCACCCGAAACACAACTGACGTTTTCAAAATATTCTTCTGAACATTGCGTGTAATTACACATTGCCACCAGAGAGGTCTCCAAATCCCCAAAACTTACATAATGCATCTCTAAGAGTGTTTACACACTAAATCAAATAATTTTACTTTCTTTATAGTATTTCCACATCACTGAAGACTGCAATATGCAAATGAGGCATCTAGCCAGTCAGTATGTTTTTTACTGTGCTATAAGCATCTTGACCACACAGTGAGTGTTTTGCTTAATGAAAGTATTTAAATTATCCAACAAATCTTTAACCACATCACATAATTGATTTACTAGTTCATATATATTACATTGCAGAACTTATTGCATATGCATTATTTTATCCAACATTTATCCATATTGTGTAGCTAGATGTGTTCTCTCAGACAACTGTGAGAGAAAAACACACTTGACTCATATTGTTGTCAAGGAAACTGGTATCAGGCAGTTCATCATCTCCTGTTACAGTTTACACATGCTTAGTAGTAAGTGGAGTATGTTGCTGGATCTATAGTAAATCCTCCTTAACAGTGACACTGTGAATTGAGAGTGGGCCACATGCTTTGTTTTTTTTTTCATGTGGATCTGGTTAGAGATCTGCAGTGGGAAATCGATACTCATTGCTTATGGAGGTCTCTGTGTGCGCTGAGCTAATTACAATTATGTCTGCCTTCACTGTCGTACAGCAAGAGAATTATTGTGGCGATCACATTGGCACACAGCAGCCTATTCTGGTTCAAGGTTATCAGGAACATGCTTATCTGGAATTGAATCTAAGCTTCTCCTTTTACACAACAAAACAATAATGGTTCACGGTAGAAAACAATCATGCATATACCCCGTAGACCATTGATCTAACAACAGGTACACGGTTTGGAATTAGAGATGGCATGATTTTACTTTTTCTTCTCCGATACTGATATTGAAATCTTGAGTATCGGCTGATATTGAACTAATATTTCATCTTCAAAGAAAAGAAAAAAAAAGAAAAAAAAATAAAATAAATATATATATATATATATATATATATATATATATATATATATATATATATATATATAGGACATTAGGAAAACACAAGAAAACTTTGGATTTTTTGTTATTTATTTGAAAAGTTCAGAAAAAATTTCATAAATATCTGTATTTCATGATGGAAAATAATGACTTCAATTCACATGCCTTTAAATGGCATTAATACATCCCCCTAAAAATTGATAACAGGGTTGCAAAAAAAGGCTGAACATTTCAGAAAAAACAGCTTTTATAGTCTCTGATTTGACTGTCTGATATGGGAAATGACATTTTCTGAAGATTACACACTTACTTTGATTAGAACAGCAAAGGAAAAAGTACATTTTTAGAGTTTTGAGGCCTAAAATGATCTCTATTTACAGAAAGTGCATAAAGCATTTAAGATAAGCATCTAAAGCCGTTTTTCCACACAAATTACTAGAACTTTCGCACCAGAAACCTGGAACTGTGCTTTTTCCTGCCCTAGATTCCAGTTTTATTGTGTTGGTTCCTGCTTGAGACATAATGGTACTTGCCCTGCTGAAAAAGGACTAGAACTAGAAAGGATCAGAATTAGAATTAAACCCAAATGTTTTTGCTTTTTAATGGGAATTTGCCCAACAGAGACCACTAGTTTTCTGTAGAACACCTTTAGATCCCATTAGGAACCAACAAATGCATTTAGAATGAGCCACTGGTCACCTGTTAAACCATTAGGATCATTTATGTTATGATAACAACCCACCAAAAAAAGCCAAAACGAACAGAAGCACTTCATGGTTTCTATGGGTTTTTTGGGCAGTGTGAGGATGCTCTCTTTTGGTGACTCTTTGGTAACACTTGCAGCTGAAGCCTTCCAGGTGAAGATCAAGTCACCAAGCACTGTTACATCACCAATAACTGCACCAGAATGTAAGATGGAGCAGTGTGATGATGTGTCGAATGCTGATTTCACAATTATTGTTTGTAAAGAGTTCACTGTAGTGACATGCGCTACTTACGAAGCTAGCGCTAACATTATTAGCATTTATGCTAGCCATAAGTAAATAAGTACTGAGTCTGTGTCATTCTAGGCATTTGTGTGAGGTCTGAATGGTGCAGTTTATTTCATATCAGTCAGTAAGTTAAGCTAACTACAACTAGCAAGCAAGGTAGCTACTTAGCCAAATTAGACCTTTTACAGTGGCATAAAATGACCAAAAAAACCAAGCCAATAACCATTAATCATGGTTCATATGACGGTTCCAACTGGTGGAAAATTAACTAGAACTAGAACTGTAAGTTTTTATGGTTCCTGTTTGGCTCAGTTCTTGTTTTTGGACATGCAGTGGAAAAACCACGATAGCCTTAAAGTAGGCTATCATGCTCAAATTACTCAAACACTCTACTCGCCCACAGGACAGCTAAACATACATTTGTTACATATGTTAATGTAATGTAATCTGCTAATGGATCTGTGCAGTATGGAATCAATGTTTTCAATAGTATAAAAACAATTATGTTGCAGATAAATTTATTAAATTATGCTAACATGCTAGTCCAATGAAACTTCACAAGTTATATATAACCACTATGAAGATAGGAAGCTGTAAACCAAATTAAGAAATGTTAGATGTGTCATAAATGAGGAACAGAGCTGTCAGTGTTTCTAAAATTACTGAGAAGACTGTGCATTAAGGATTACATTAAAGAAAATTAATATCTTAAGCCAGATAACTTGACAAAAATCACTGTAAATAAATAATTACAGTATATTATTTCTCATTTAATGACTTGTTGTTCCCACAGTACTTGAATTGTTGAACAAAACAAGCTTTGGCTGTACATCATCAATATATCAGCTATTACTACAAATAAAACGACAAAATCATTAATACAATGCACATTTATTTTTGAATGGTAATGTTCAGGATGTTACATTGTGTTTCATATGTGTATGTCGATGGACTTGTGACCCACAGCAGATGGAGATGTCTGGGCCTGGTGGGAGCCGGCGAACCCGCACGGTGAAGAGGAGGGTGTGGGGAGGGCTGAGGCAGTGGAAGCTGCTGGGCATGTTCGAGATTGACCAGCAGCATGAGTTCTACAGCCTCACCTGCATGATGAAGGAGGGACTATCGGCGGCCGTGCAGAACACCATTGACAACCCAATACCTGTGAGTATGGCCAGGAGTGGTGGGGCTTGAGAACCCATCTTGAAGCAGAGATTTGTGACCATGGTGTATTACAAACACAGGAGGCTTTGACTTGCTGTCTGTTAGTTCTCCATAATTCTGCATTTCACACAGATATAAAGTCTGATTTCTGCCAGAAAATAAAAGCTTCAAAAAGAAATCCTGCTGCTTGGTGCTGTGGAGTTGTTTACATTACCATGACTAGGCCACTCTCTAGGTGTCTCACAGAAACACAGGCACAGTTTTGGTCAGGCAGAAAACTTGAGTTATTCTAGCTTTTCACTACTTTTGAATTATGGCCATTCTGTCATTTTCTTTTCAGTTTCTGTTTTAATGTCTCTCTTTTCTTGGTTTATTTGGTAGTGTAAGCACTGTAGAAAATGTAGATGGAATTGGCATTGCATTGGTGCTTTTAGAAGTACTAAGCAGCTCGCAGAGGGTCTTATCAGAACTAGCTTATTAGGGTCTCGTTATCTGTTAGGCAAAGCTACGGCTTCTCACTATGTGCTGTCCATGCGCAACTTGATTAAGAATTGATAAGCCTTCTTGTCATGATTGGTTGACAGGCCATTAGATATGCCTCCTCGTCCTAATTGGTTGACAGGCCATTAGATATGCATCCTCGTCCTAATTGGTTGACGTGCCAGTAGACATTTCTCCTTGTCCTAATTGGTTGACAGGCCAGTAGATATGCCTCCTTGTCTTGATTGGTTGACAGGCCACTAGAAATCCCTCCTTGTTCTGATTGGTTAACAGGCCAGAAGATGTGCCTCATTGTCCTGACTGGTGAACAGCTGCTGGAATGCAGGGAGACTTGTAGCAGATACTACCACTACAAAAAAAACAGTGACCCTGCATTTTTGGAGGTATTTTAAGAGACAAGGATTTCAGGACCTCCATCTCAGAATAAAAATGATATTAGCGTGTTATAAGGTAGGGATGACGCAATTCAGTATGAAAGATCAGTATGTGAGCTGATAATGTTAGATTTTAGATTATCAGTATAAGCAGATCATTTTTGGTTTATCCAGCTCCACTCTATTTAATAGTAATAAAAACAATACATTTATTTATAGAGCGCTTTTCATACCAGAGGCAGCTCAAAGTGGTTTACAGACAGGTGATAAAGCTTAACAGTAACAGAAAAAAATATGAAATTTAAATCATATAAAGCAATGACACAGATGAGATAAAAAAGGTAATACCATGTTTACCTTAATAAATACCATATATTTACGCCACTGTTGTAGAGGTGACATAGGCCCTGTTTACACCTGATGAGTCCCATATTTGGATGTTTTGCATACACATTTAAAATACTTTTGTACATACATTTATGATGTTTTAAGATATGTGGTGATGTGTTGTGATGTAGCTGTCCCGATAGCAAGGAAGTCGAGCCTGCGTTATGATCAGATCAGTATATGTACACGCAATATGGTCAGCTTGGCATCATTCACTGTCTAATGTCATGCATGCTCAACCTACAATGTTCAGTCTTATGTTAGCCTGCTAAACAAAAAAGAGAAAAAAGTACATATACACTTTTGCTTTTGTTTTGTTATATACTTCACATAGTGCACACATCCGCTTCAAATTTACACACATAATGTCTTAAAAATGTCTAACAAAATTGTACACATATGCAAGGCTTAAAAATAAAATCAAGATCTTCATATTAACTCTGCAAACATAAAAATGAAAATGTCCTTGTACAAATTGCACCTGATGTCATAAAAGATGTTGTCATTGGTTGGCAAGCTTTCATGCAACAAGTAGCAAAGATAGTGAATAAACTCTCTAAAGTTCTCAGGGATAATCCCATACAAAACCCCTCTGCTAAAAAGGAAACACAGAGATAGTTATTCAGCTTGTCATGTTTGAGGAAAGGAGAATTGTGCGCATGATCCGAAGAGCATCCCATGCACACAGTGAAGCATGAAGGGGGGAGCGTCATGACTTGGCACTGCTTCTCTGCAGACGATACCAAGGCATTACACATTATTGAAGAAAACATGAATGGAGAGATGTACTGGGACCTTTTTGAGGAGAATTTAATCTCATTAGCCAAAGCACTGAATCTGGGGAGAAGACGAACTCTTCAACAAGACAATGACGCCAAACATAACTCAAGCCTTGCTTCTGAAGAAGGTGAAGTTGCTTGCATTGCGAGAACATCAGAAGGACCCTCGTAACTTTGGGGAGTTGAAGACGCAAGAGGAATGAGCCAAAAGTGTCTTAATACTTTTTTCCTTGTATTTTATTTTATAAAATCTTTTCTATAGAACTTTTTTTTTGTCTAGAGTGTAGTTATTAATAAAGAACGGCATATATAAAAATCAGCCTTTCAAGCAAGATCTGAAATGAGTTTTGACTCTTTTGGTCAACCAGAACAAGAGTATCCTGTTGTGTCAAAGTAGACTTACTCAGTTTGGGCCACCCGTGGTCACATACAACATCCAGGTTTCTTTCATCCAGGCATCATTAGCCTGTACATTCAAACGTTCCATTGAGCAGTAAGTGAGGGGATTAAGCCCCATGGAGAGAACTGTATTTAGCTGCGGTCCCATAGTGACCTTGTGTTTGTGGTGATGAACGTGCGGCGTGCTGTATTGTTTTGCTTTAGAAGGGGCGGCTGTTCACGGTGCTTGGCCCCCGAGGAGAAACAGGAGAGCAGCACAGGGCTGGTGACACAAACACTATTGTGATGGCTGCGTAGGAAAGGGGTGGAGGGTCCAACAATGAACCAGTCATTATTCCAGAGAGCTGTACCACAGCAGCAGGCTGAGAGTTCTTTGCAGAAAAAGTGGAGAATAAGGCTGAGCGATAATGTAGCGAATATTACAGTTTGGCATGATTTTGGGTTGTTTCATTGAGATGTAAACCAAATGGTGAAATGGTACATTTTAGAGTAACTTACTGACTCTGATTCTGATTTTCTTTACAAAAATAGCATGTCCTTATGCTTAATAGATACAGAATGTTTTTTCACATTATAAAATATATAAACCATGCAAAAACCTGAGCCCATGTGTCAAACACAAGGCCTGCAAACCAAAACAGGCCCGTAGCACAATCAAATTCGGCCTGTAAAATTATTTTAATTTTCTGTTATTATTAGCCCGTTTCACCCTGAGCTGCACCCCCAGCATGCTCTGCAACATAATGTGCGCTCTAAGACCCTTTCTCCAATAACAATCTTTGGGCCAGTGGTTGCCCAAAAAGAAAAGATGCCTGGTGTCTAGTCCCCTCCAGGGGACTATTTAAAGAGGTTTAACAGTTATCTGTCACTAATGTAGCCTATTGTTTCATATAGAACAATTTATTTTTACTTAAAATTATTTTTGAATAGTTCAAGTATTCAGTACCATTTTTACTGTTGCAGGTTTGCTGTATTTTGAAGATGGCCAGTTTGGGTCCTGGCAAAATGTTAAGTAAAAATTAAGTAAAAACCACATCAGGCCCATGGATTTATTGAGATTTTTAATATAGCCCTCACTGCACTTAATAAGGACTGTTTACTCCAAATTATGGTTGTTTTACTCGAAAAATCTCTCTTTTAGGCCATTTGAGAGAGAATACATCTATATCGCTCATCGCTAAAAGGCTGAAAGACATAGAAATATGCGACTTTTTATAGATAACAGTATATCATACAGTGTCAGAAACAATGTAAGCAGGTCTACTGGAGATTGCTTAATAACTCATTGCAGTTTGAGGCAAATGTGTGAAGATTTAGCTGTGCAGTCTGATGCTAATACATGAGGTATAAACTTCCTTACTTGTTAGCTACATTAGCCTCATTACTGCAGTACAAAACGAAAGAAAAAAACTTCAGACACCAGACACGTCTTGGCTGACTGACTACATTTGGAAAAAAAGACCTTTTACTAAGGTATTTTGCTGTTCTAAAACTTCATACGGCCTAGTTGTCACTAAGTTGCTTGCAGCTTTGTGCTAACACATGAAGAGACAGGGCCTGTGTAAAGGTTACACTATTGCTATGCTATTGAAGCTCAGCTTGCTTATGCAGCAGTTTGACTCATGAATGTGCACCCTGTTGTCTCTCATTCAAAGCACTTTTCACCTCTTTCACTTGCATTCATGAATAGCATTACACATTACGTAATGTTATAGGATATTACTATTAACATCTAACATGCTCTTTAATATCACCACTACTATGTGAACAAGCTCAAAATTTCAGTAGTTTAGTCAATGTGTTTATTTTGTAGTCATTTATTAAAGACATACTCCTACTTTTTTCAGCCTTACCTCTATCTGGTGCATCTGTAGTGTACAGTCAGTTACAATGGACAATAATTTCAACCCATATCCTTGTATTTAGAAAAGAACTGAAAACCTGTTGACTTGAAACACACCAATGAGCCAATGAGCAGTTGTTGAATGGGCAGTTGTTGTAAATGCTTGAAATATAGAATTATATCATGTGAATTTGAAACTACAACTGCTACATTCTAAAAGTACATATCTTAGTTTGTGAATTTGGTCCATGTCTTCAACATGTGGTGGTAATATGAGGGAAGACTGAGGGAGGGGGGAGAACTCTGAGAACTGGAGGGTTGGAGTTCTGGGCGGCTTTTGGCCTGTAGCTAAAATGCTGGACCCCCCCTCATAGCTGTGATAGGACTGACATAGGACTGAAGAACAATGGCCAGTTTAGCACCCGGACTCTTTTAATATGGAGCAATGCTGTCGTAAAACATGCAGAATGTGGTTTGACATTGTCTTGCTCACATGAGCAAGGCTTTCCCTGAAAAAGACGTTGTCTGGATGGCAGCATATGTTGCCAAAACATGTATATATCATTCAGCATTAAAGGTGCCTTCACAGATGTGCACATCACCCATGCCATGGGCACTAATGCACCCCTATACCATCATGAATACTGGCTTTTGAACTGTGCACTGATAACAAGCTGAGTGGTCTTTAGCCCAGAGGACACAGTGTCCATGACTTCCAAAAAAAAATTTCACCTGTTGATTCATCAGACCACAGGACACTTTTCCACTTCCCCTCAGTCCATTTTAAATGAGCTTGGGCCCAGAGAAGGTGGCAGAATTCCTGGATCCTGTTACGGATCCGGATCCTGTTAAGAAACCGGATACGGTTTCTTCTTTGTGTTTTAGAGTTTTAACTGGCATTTGTGGATGAAGCGACAAACTGTTTTCACAGGCAGTGGTTTTTAGAAGTGTTCTTGAGCCCATGCAGTGATTTCCACTACAGGGGAGGGTCCGAAGTTCATGGCCAGCAAATACTGGTTTTTGGCCTTGTCCCTTGCATACAGAGATTTCTACAGATTTTTTGAATCTTTTAATTTTATTATGTACCGTAGATGATGAAAAGCAAATGTTCTTTGCTATTTCATGTTAAGAAATGTTATTTCTGAATTGTTGCACCATTTGCTTGTGCAGTCTTTGGTGAACCCCTCCTCATCTTTACCTATGAAAGGCTCTTTTTATTCCCAATCATGTTACTGACCTGTTGCCAATCAACCACCAGGTGTTATTTTTAGCATTACATAACTTTACCAGCCTTTTGTTGCCCGTGTCCCAACTTTTTTGGAACGTGTTGTTGGCATCAAATTCAAATTGGGCAAATATTTTTCAAAAAACAATAGAATTTCTCAGTTTCAACATTTGAATTGTTGTTTTTGTACTATTTTCAATTAAATATAGGGTTTAAATGATTTGCACATCATTGCATTTTGTTTTTATTTACATTTTGCACAGCGTCCCTTTTTTGGAAATAGGGTTGTATTTATTGTGCTTGGGAAGAGCAGAACGTTTAGGTGATGCTGGGCAGCTGTGCTAAAATAATCAGCATTTTATTCATTGTACTGCATTAATAGCCCTACAGAAATAAAAGATATACTTCCCCGTAATGTGTGTGCACGTAAATAGTTTCAATTTGTCCATTTTACAAATATTTATATATTGCCAACCACAGATATGCACATGAAAAATATCAGATATCTGCACTGGCCCACTGTTCTAATATTGGTGCATCCTCTGAAAACTACATGTTTTAAATAAACTTTTACTGGTCATGATTCAAGAACTGCCTGATGGCTTCTATTATAAGCGTATTTTGAGTCAACATATGTTCTTTTCTAAGTGGAAATATTTTATTGATAATTGACCATATGCAATTGACTGTACTCACACCGTGGCAGCTAGCTTCAGTTCTAGTGCTGGAGAGCCACATGATTCAAACACAGGTGCTTCTGCTCATCATCAGCTAATTATCAAGTGGTTCTTCAGCCCAACCTGATGTGTTAGAGTGGGGAAAGCACTGAGCTGTGAAGTGCTGTGGCGCTCTGACACTGCAAATTAACCTCAGTGGAAACCAAGTACAAACATCTAATCAAAGGTGCTACACTGAGAAGCTTTCGATGGTTGTTTACATCCACAGGCTGGAAAAGCAGTTTGTAACAGATGGACAGAAACACGGAATCATCTTAGCTAATCTTTTTCGTTGCAGGACGAACTCTCTGAGGATGATTACAAACTTGAGGTGACACAAATCCATAAGGTACGTAATGCCAAACTTCAGCATTATTAATTCAACTTTCAACGACTTTTGCTGTTGCATGCTGTTATTGTATATGCGTCACTGTATGATATAGATTCAATACCAATCAAAATCAATTGCCATATTAAAGAGGAATTCAACCAATTTGCTAAAATGTCTACAGAATTATATGGTTAAGATGTAGACAAAGTTACTGAAAGTGGTTTGGTGTGAAATTCTCCGTTCTAGAGAAATTCTACCATGCTCCGAGAGGTGGTGGTGATAGGAACTAGATGTCTGAAGAGTTGAATGCTTATAAAAGCTCCCTCACAGAAAGTTAGGTTAGAAAGTTACATGAAATAGTTACAAATACCTGAGACATTGTTTTATGAAAAAACTTTTTAAACTCTTTCATGGTGGATAGATACATGAATGGTATTATGAGGCAAAATAGTCTAAAAAAACTTTCTTTTAGATTTACCACTGTTTTATCATTATCAACATTATGGAATACTTGGCAGTTGTTAAAATGTTGCAACACTGTTGCAATGGTATCCCAGGTGGTTGCTAGTACATGTTTTTGTGTATATATAAAATATATACAAACATTCTATGGGAAAAATTGTGTTTGTACAAATACTGTATGTCCCAAAAGCACAAGTGCACTCCCAAATAAGCTCTACAATCCTGTAAAGACAAATCAAGCCAATTTACTTATGTATTATTGTCAGGCTATCTGCCTCACACTGTGATCGTCACTTTTGAAATACAAGGCATTATGCATGTTAATTTTAGCATAAACGCATATTTTACATTCATCTATAGCTTTGTTCCTTATTCAGAACATATTTAACATTTCTTTCTTTATTTATTTCTTACAGCTTCCTGCTAATTATTTGTTAATAAACTTGTTGCAAGTTTACATACTAGTGTATTAGAATAATTTTATAACTGTCTGCACCCAAATTGACCTTATACTATTGAAAGAAGTGATTCCCAACTTTTGAATGGTTGTGTACAGTGTACAATGTTAAAGCTGTTTTATTGTATGTATGTAATAGATGTGTAGTATAGTGGACAGTCTATAGTCATAACCAGCATTTCTGGTTTCTGCTTGTGTAAAGGACTTCAGGATGGAGACGTTTGCAGGGCCGGTGTTCGCCAGCCTGCGCCGCTCCCTGGGGATGACCGAGAAAGAGTATCAGCACTCTCTCTCCTCAGAAGGCTGCTACCTGCAGTTCATCAGCAATTCAAAGAGCAAAGCAGACTTCTTCCTAACGTGAGTCAGCACAAACAGCCTGCAGCCGAGCTAGCGCAGACACAGACACGCGTTTGCACGCCTATCATCCCATCTCCCATTTGTCATTTGTAGATATATTAAAGGGCTGATATCTTTCACATTTCTTTTTATCCCCTGAGGTCCACTTATAATGTTTGTGTGGTTTTATGTAGAATTTTGTTACCATTTTAGAACCTTGTGTTGTCGCTTATGATTAATGTGCTTAATGTGCATTTAAGGTGTGCTGTAAACTTTTTCTAATCTTGTTTTTCTCCTGGTTTTACGTACCAAAAATGGTTCTAATTCATGTTTACATGACCATTTTCATCCCCTCTGTATCCCTCGTCTTGAGTTTTGATTGGCTGCTCCGTATTGTGCCAGACTGAAACACTGCACATAACTTCAGTGTGAATGAGCGGAGCTAAACTGCTGTAGGCTGAATAGGAAGAGCTACACAAATTAGTTGGGTTTTTGTGACATCACAGACACAGTGAATTCACAACGGGGTAATTTTACAGCTAAGTTTCCATGTATGGACTAGGGAGTGAATATGAAACTTTTACAGTGTTTATATGCTACATGTTTTATATCAGAAAAGCAAGGGAAATTAGTTTTTTCCTGATCTGAGCTCTTTAAAATTTGAGTTTACTTTTAAAAAGTTTGAAAACAGATTGCCTAACTTTTTTATAATGAGTAAATTAATTAATACAAAATGTTTACAAATTGATTTTAAACTGTTCATTCTTATGTAAAGCATTACATAAATTCGGAAATTCAGGATCAAAAGTTAATATTTCTAAGTAATACTTCATAGAAATTTGCTATTACTTATGTTCTTTCTAAGATCTTTAATTATTTAGCAGTTTTTTCAAAAATAAGTAAAGTTGCTTAAAACTTTGTAGTAAAGTATACTGGTAGCATTTATGGTGTATATGTAAAAGAGCTTTGTTCTGATTGGCTGCACTGTATTGTACCACGCATTGTGCTAAAAAGCTGTCTTGACTGAAACACTTCTTATAACTCAATCATGAGTGGGTGGGGCTAAACTGCTGTAGACTGAATAGACAGCAATATGTAAATGCATTTGTTTTTATTTTTGACATCACAAAGTACTGAATTCAAATATGGACTGCATAGACCTGAGAGTGAACAGTACATTTTAAAACATTAACAGATTTTTTAAGGGCTCTTTATTTATGCTGTTCTTATGCATGCAAAGCACATATGGTATTATGTGCTTTGTGTGTTTATTGCCATTCTCTTACACATACAGTACCAGTCAAAAGTTTAGATACAACTAATAATATGTTTTTCACAATATTATTGTCAACTTGAAATAAAAATTGATGATTTTACCATGCAATACCATTTAAAACACAAAATTCCTCCATCTTGTGGTGACATCACTGTGCGCCAGTGGATGGAAAAAATAATGTTAACCAATAATACGGATACACAATCAATGAATCTGAAATACAAGTTTGGCCCATTTAAGAGTAAAAACATTATGACCACTCACAGATGAAGCAAATAATGTTGAGTATCTCACAACAACATTGCATAAATTAGATGATAAGCAAACAGTTGGCTGTTGTGGTTGACATGTCAGATGTGGGAGAAATGGGCAGGCATGAAGACCTGAGTGAGTTCGATAAGGGGCAGGATCGTCATGGCCAGACGACTGGGTTGGAGCCTCTTGGAAATGGTAAGGCTAATGGGTGCTCCCACTCCACAATGGTGAGTACCTACTGTCAGTGGTCCGAGGAGGGACAAACCACGAACCAGCGACAGGGTGTTAGGTACCGCAGACTCATCAATGCGCAAGGTCAATGAAGGCTATCCTGTCTGGTCCAAAACAACAGAACAGCTACTGTAAGTCACAGAACTTTTTATGATAGTTACGAGAGGAATATGTCCTAACACAGAGTGCATCTTACCCTCCACTGCATGAGGCAGTGTAGCCACAGACTGGTCAGAGTACCCATTCTAACCCCTGTTCACCGTCAAAAGCGCCTACAACGGGCATGTGAATGTATGGACCTTGGGGCAATGGAAGAAGGTTTCCTGGTTTGATGTGTCCTGTTTTCTTTTACATCACATGGATGGCCAGGTATGTGAGCACCATTTTTTTGGGGGGATTTTTACAGAATTATCTCCCCAATTTAGTCATCTCCAATTCCACCTGCTAGTTAAGTCTCCCACAATCACACAATACTATCAATGCTAGGAGGGTGAAGGCTAACACAGGCTTCCTCTGCGACCTGTGAAGCGCCTTTGTCAGCTAACAGACGCCTGTGCTGACTAGCATCGCGTTAAGTGATGGGGGAGAAGGAGGGGCCATCCTACTCACCTAGAGAGTGAGGCCAATTGTGCTCTCTTGGACTCCCAGCTACGGATGGCTGTAGCATCACCAGGGATCAATCTCGCGATCTCCTGATGATAGGGCCAATGCTTAGACAGTTGCACCACTCGGGAGCCCCATGTGAGCACCGTTTACCTGGGGAAATGATGGCACCAGGATGCACTGTGGGAAGAACACCAGCTGGCGGAGGAAGTGTGATGCTCTGAGCAATATTCTGCTGGGACACACTGGGTCCAAGCATTTGTGTGTACATCAGTTTGACATGTGCCACCTACCTGAACATCACTGAAGATCAGGCACACCCCTTCATGGCACTGGTTTTCTCTGATGGCAGTGGCCTCTTTCAGCAGGAAAAGGTGCTCGGTCACACTACACACACTGGTCAAAAATGGTCTGAGGTACATGTTGCCCTGGCCTCCACATTCCACAGGTCCCAGTCCAATCAAGCATCTGTGGGATGTGCTGGAACAACCAAGTCTGGTCTGCATTGGCTTCACCTTACTTACAGGACTTAGAGGATCTGCTGCTAATGTCTTGGTGCCAGATACTTCAGAAGTCTTGTAGCGTCCATGTCCCAGTGGGTCAGAGCTGAGGACCCACAGAAAATTAAGCAGTCATAAGGTTTTGGCACATCAGTGTAAAGTTTTGCTAACAGACTTTGACTAACAGAAAGTACTGGATATTTTCTAGTGTGTTTAATGAGCTCTATGCACTTCAGCACTCAGTGGCCTGGCTTTGCGAGTTTAAATGGTCTATTACTTTGTAACATGAGCTGTTGCTTTTAGATGCTTCCATTTAACAATATAGCACTTACAGTTGATCTATCAGGGCCGATATTTTACAAAGTGACTTGCGGCAAAGGTGGCATCCAACAACAGTACCACATTTAAAGTCACTGATCTCTTCAGTACAATTCATTCTACTGCCAGTTTTTGTCTATGGAGACTGCATGGCTATGTGCTTGATTTTATACACCTGTTACAATGATTGTGGTTGGAACACCTGAATTCAGTAATTAGGAAGGGTGTCCACAAAGTTTTGGCCATATAGTGTAAGGCATGATATGGGAAAAACAGCGTGTTGCTGATTTCTGATTTGATTTCACATTGACTTTAAAGACAAAGGCTAATGTTTAAATGCTTGAAATTCAGCTCTAAGACAAAAATAAATAGTGAGTTAATGCCTTTGTATAATTTTTCCAAAACATACATGTTATATTTTACAACAATGTTAATTCTGCCAACAAGATGTTTTCAGCAGTCTACAAGGTTTGGAACTTCTGTTAGAAAAGCATCTCAGATGTCTCCTCATTAAACTGCCTGATAGAATGAGAGGGCAAAGCTTCATCAATGCAAAGAGGGGTTCTTTCTAAAGGAATCTAAAATAGAAGATATTTATATGTTAGAAGTTATGTATATGTTATTTCGTATTGTTGCTGTCTTCATTATTATTATGAAATGTGGAAAATAGTATAAATTTTTTGTTTTGGAGAGCCATCAACTTCAGCCATTAACTTCACTATGTGCATACTGTCTTGCAGAGAGAATGTCACTTTGAAATGATTGAAATGTCTTTAAAGTTATGAAAAACATTAATTCAATCAGGTTTGTTCAAACGTTTGACTGGTAATAGGGATGCACAATGGGATTTCTAGAATGATGCCAATATCCGATACTTATCTCTAAACGCCAATTTGAAAAATGTAGAAATTGAGACTTATTCCATTTGAAGTAGCATAAAAACGTAGGTATTTTAACGTAGCAGCCTAAGTCACCTAAACATTCTGCTTGTCTGGAGAGTGATAAATACGTCATGAAACATCGGTTTGAAATTTCGTTTAAATCTAGAAATTTGTTTTAACAATTATCTGCCAATAGCAGTTTGATTCTGACATCTGAGTTGTTATCATAACTGGTACTGCACTCTTCACTGACGTATTCCTTTCTGTCTAACTGTAGGAATGATAAGCGGTTCTTCTTGAAGACACAGAACAGAAGGGAGGTTCGGTTCCTCTTGTCTAATCTGAGGATTTATATGGAACATCTGGAGAAGTTCCCCCACTCGCTTCTGGTTAAGTTTTTAGGTGAGAGTCACACAGCCACAGCTTCAAACTTCACTCAGACTTTAACATGAATGTGTTGTCAATGAACAGCAGCATCTCATCTGAAGTGCTTTTCATATCAACAGGTGTTCACAGAATCAAGATCCCCCATCGGAGGAAGGTACAGAAGCTTTGATTGTCGTGATTAACTGTCATATTTCATGTGTCATATAAAGCTGTGTGCTGCTAGTTCATCATTTATATAGGCAAGACTTGTCTGACGTTTCTCTTTGCAGAAGTATTTTATAGTGATGCAGAGCGTCTTCTACCCTGACGAGAGAATTGTTGCCAGGTAACGGCCTAATGATGTGTCCTCCATATTGAAAATACTAAGCCATAATAATGATGTTGATTTATTTCTTTTATTACTAATACAAATAACCTGAAAAATATGTAGAACTTGATGAAAAATAATGTTTTTGAACTGCAGGGTGGAGCAGAAGGCTCGTCTGTGTTTATTCTGACCTCCTATCAGTCATTTTATAAAGACCTCCCCTATACAACATTAGACCACCCCATCCCCCTCTGCTTGGATAAGAAAACGTGGAAATCTGCACCAGCAAGTTCTGGTGCTGTAGTTAAAACAAACAAAAAAATGTAAAAATTAACAACAACAAATAACAAAAAATAACAAAGTAGGTTATCTTTATCACTGAGAGAGCCTGGTACAGTAATGCTTTGGATGAACCACCTTAACAGAGATGTATGTATGTATGCACCACTACTCAACTGCATCAAACTCTGTGCACATTACTAAGCTAACTAGACAGGGCTGATGTTGGCTTGATGTTGGATTCAGATGTTCTGTTCCACCTTAAATGTTCCTGTAGGGGCAATATTTGCCTCATTAAAGCTCCTTACAAAGACAAACACGACACTCTTGACTATTCTCGAGCAGCAAATCAGTACGAACCAAATACCAAATGTTTATAGTCTTCTAATTTTACTACCCCCCTGGACAAAAGAGACACAGGAGTTTGATGCTTTCTCTGGCCAAACTTGAATAGTATTTGAATAGTACTTGGATAGCATGATTAGACAAAAGGTCTCTCTGAATAAGTGAAAAGTAATGGTATGTCATCACAATTTCCTAAGTAGAATAAATCAATACTTTGCCAAGCAGCATTGTCACCCTTTCTTGATGTTCCTGAAAGCAAGCACAACCACCGAGAGATGAATCTTGTGAGATTGTAGTTTTATCTATGAAAAGGACTACATCCAGTGTGCTCTACTGAGATGTAAGCTATATCGAGTGTTTTGATCTTCTCTCAAGCATCGTTAGCATAGCACCAACGTTAGCACCAAACAAGTTTTGCCTGATTGGCTACTTTTTGGGGTAAATGGAAAAACTGAGTAAATATCATTTTTGGCTAAACTATTCATGTAAGCACTTACAAAATGTTTGCTCCTTCTGAGAAGTGCCTCTTTGTAGATACAAGTACTCTGGTGCTGTGTAATATCTGTACCATCCAGAGTCTAAAATTAAGTCATTAATCTTAAGGACGGTTACATAATCTTCCAAACCCCCTGGCTACCAACAGCAGTGAAGACTCTCATCTTTAAAGAAGGATTCCATGCCAAATCTTTAATTCAGTCTGGAATTACAAGCCAGTATTCCCCCACCCCCTAGCTGGATAAAGATGAATTAGTGGGCAAAGGTCATATATTATGGATATATTTAAACAAATAGCATTTAAAGTAACGGTTTTGTGGAAAAAAAAACTTACAGTTTTCTTCTTAACCTTCTTAATCAGTCAAGACTTGTGTTGTGTCTGAAGTTTGCTTCTTTAGTTTTGCACTGGAGCTACGATGCTAATGTAGCTAACAAGTAATGGAAGCTTTTACTGCTGTTGAGACTAAATCATTACACACTTGCCTCAAACTGCATTGAGATGTTGAGTAATCTGAGATAAAATGTGGTTTCTGCCACTGTATGTCATCTATAAACAGGGACCAAATCACTGATATAATTCAGGCTTCAAGATGGCTGCTGCTACTGTTTTTAGCTTTGCAATGTACTACTTTGTCAATTTTTTGCTGCATCTTCAATGAACACATTCTGTTTCGAATGAACTAAAAATCTGGTATTTGAAATACAGGGTGTCCCAAAAAAAATTGACATCATTTGAGATGTGAATATCTGAGTAACTACATGTCCTAGGCAAATGAAATTAAATAGGCTTCATGTTGAACAATACAAGATTTATTTATCAAAATTCAAACAAGAAATTCAAAGAGATGTAGATTTTATAACCGATTTTATAAAGCTTCACAAATGTAATATCTCCCGATACTGGTGGTCGTCCAGATCCCTCTGTCCTGTACAGACAGCCTTCCTCTTTGAATTTTTTGTGCCATGTCCAAATCTGCTTTCCAGTTGGTGCATTTTTGTTGAATTTTCTCAAAAATGCACGCTGCACACTCTTGTTCGAGCATATTCTAACACACAAAATGCCTTTTCATTTCTAGTGAACGCCATTCTTCAACCTGAAAAAAAAAACATTAAAAATTAAACTTACACATTTTGTTAAAATTTGAGATCATTTGAGGGAGAATTGGCTGTGTTATTAGACTATGAAATGATGTCAGTTTTTTTGGGACCCCCTGTATACTCTGAGAACTGTAACTGTCTTTACTGCAGGTATGACATTAAGGGCTGTGAGGTGAGCCGGTGGACTGACCCAGCACCTGAGGGCAGTCAGGTCATTGTTGTTCTCAAGGATCTCAATTATGAGGGACAGTTTATCACATTAGGTAAGGATGTGTCATAACCTTAGCAAAGTTTAATCATTCAAGTTGCAAACACATGCATATACAGTGAGGGGAATCAAGTGTTCAGACGCTTTTTGTTATATAATGTACATTCTGGGCATATATACACTTCATATGTAAACACATAATGGCCCTTATACATAATGGCCCTTACATAGAAAAGAGCACAGATTTGACCTTCTTTAAGGACATGCAAACTTCTCTACGTCTGATTCATGAAACTATTGTACAACGTGAAAACAAGCAGACAACTGAGCGCAAATTAATCAGCTTCAGTGCATGAAATCAAGCGCACCTAATTTACATATCATTTACATGAAGCACACCCTAATTTATGCAGATGTTTCGTAGGGAGCCAATAAAATGACAGCCTTCAGCAGCTCGTGAGCCAATGGCAGTGCTCGTAGGCCGTTTGAGGTAGAGCAGTGAGTGCACTGCCCCCCCTACTGACCAAACTTAGCACTAACCAAACTAATAGAGTTAAAATTATGATGGCTGGAAAGAATAAAATGTAAAATAAACGAAAGATCTTAGTTTTTTAGAAATATATAGTGATGTGATTGTGTAGTGTGACTTCCTGAAACACTTGGTTGGGATGACTTCATGCAACAATGGACGTGTGTGCATGTGTTACAGACCACCAGCGGCCGTGGCTGTTGCGTCAGGTGGAGATCGACACAGCCTTCCTGCGGGCACTGAACGTGCTGGACTACAGCCTCCTGCTGGCCCATCAGCCCCTGCACCAAGACGAGCGCAACCACAGCCTCTCCTTCGCCACTCTCATCATGCGCACCAAAAAGTGAGGGTCTTTCACACATGCAGCTCACAACTTTACATGCAGGCAAACATCTGTTTAAGGACTTGTTCTCAGTTCATACACTTAGAACTGAACTGGTACAGAGATGGATTTGCTGGAATAGTGAAGACATTGTTAAAGGAGACCTTAGTGCTTAAAGCATGGCAGCATCACATGTTTAGGTTTTGTAAGCGTTACAATATTCTGGGAAAATTTAGCTGGTACTTTGATTGATTTTAATGTGTGTCAGCTGCCAGATGTCACAGATGTCAACAACACAAATTTTAATTTATTTGCTATCTAAAATGAGCAGTGAACCTACACACATACTGAGAAATAATGAAAAGTCAGTGGAGTTCCCCTTTAAGCCCTTAGTGTTCAATGCAAATTGAAAATTACACTGCATTTTCCTTCCATACTGACACAAAACACAGTATCAGGGAGGGTTTCTGAGCTACCTGAGCGTTTTCTCCCATTGAAAGAAGTGGAAGGGAGAATGAAACATGATATTATTGGGTAATATTATTTTTCTATGCCCACTCATGCACGGTGATGTAATCAAAACTTAAGACATTTTAGAGGTGAGCAACAGTCATTACATTTACAGGGAAGACTATGGACAAGCAAGAGTTTTGTCTTTTAAATTATATGATTAATCATATTATGTTAAAGGGGACTTCCACCAGTTTTTTAAAATTGCAATGGTTGAGATGTAAGCAAAGCCATTCAGAGTGATTTGATGTGAAATGCTCTTTACAGTGGTGGTGATAGAAACCAGTTCTGACAATGTCTTTAACAAACTATAGCCATTTTATTTACTATCCCAAATGAGCAGTAAACCTACACACGTCTTCTGAGTATTTGCATGTCATGTTGTTGATGGTAAAATAGTAGTAAATCTAAAAAAGTATGTATTCTTTGGGGACTGCTTTGCCTTACAACACCCCATCCACCCTGAATAGAGTTTTAAAATACATTTTAGGTCAAACCTTTTTCTCAAAACTATCGTAAACATTGTCTCAGACATCAGGTAGTATATTCATAACCATTTCATGTAATAACTTTCTGTGAGGGAGCTTTTAGAGACATTAAACTCTTTGGGCATCTGGTTCCTATCACCACCACTATGAATAATTATGTATGTTTGTCTAGAACAGAACATTTCACATTAAAATGCACTAAATGGCTGTGCTTATATCTTAACTGTTTAATTAAGTGGCGATTTTGAGAAATTGCCAAAATTCCTCTTTAAACAGATTGTAGTTAGAGTTAAATAGGTTCTTATGACGACCTCTAGTGGCCAGCCTGGAAGTACAGGATCTAGTCTCAGTTTTATAGCTTTCTTGTCAGATTCATCACTGAGGAATTACTTTGATTTGATCATAGCCATAATTGCATCATTACAGTTTGATAGTTAATGTTTATCAAAAGCTGAAAATTGTGAATGCTTTATCAGAACCAAAACCAAAACTAGGCCTTCCCCATTTCTGCCAAGTGCTTATCTCAGTAGTTAATAATTATAGGCTTTGTCCTGACTTTGAATGTTCCATGTTCACCTCTGTTTCCAGATCCTTCTCTTTGCTCTCCACAAGGCCAATGGCAGGCAGGCATGTAGCTGAGACATACGTGATCTTTGCTGTCATTTGCAAAATAACAGCACAAAGATAACCAGTGTCTGTGAACTGTTTAACCATAACTGTGCATGCGCTTGCTACCGTCACATGTATTTATAATATATAATTCAGAAGTCTCGTTTTTTGGCTTTATTTGAAAGCATGGGTGTTTCAGGTGGACAAGTTTGTTGGAGCTAATCCAAGCGCTTCAGCCAACAAACTAACAAACCGCCAAGCCATCCGATACCGTATTTTAAGCTAATTGTGTAGCATTTCTTTGTTTGTGTGTAAAAATGCTTTGATTGGTCTGAAGGTGCGATTCAACTGCATCAATTTTACAATAATAATTTTAAAATTATAATTGATTATAATAATAATATTAAGAATAATATTCAATGATGTATTTACTCATTTATTTTGGACAAAATACAATTCTTGGGCTATTTCTTAATGTAGAAATCCAAAATTGTTTTTATTGTTTATATTCTTCTATTGTATTGTTTTTACTGTCTGTATTCCACTACTGTATACATTGCTTCTCCAGTCACATTTGCGTATTCAGTGTATTTTAGTACATTACAGTACTGTGCAAATGTGAGAGACTACTCTTTCTTTTGTTTACTTTCCAGTCAAAACAACCATTAAGTGCAAAGATTTCATTTTTCAGTGTCAGAAAAAGCCATAAACATACAATTAACAGAAAATCACACAAATCTTCCAACACTAAATGTATCTCAACTGCCACTGTAACTCTTCTATTCTTAAAACCAACCAGTTACAGCTATTTCCCCCCACCAAAAGCTGAAAAATTCAAAGGCATTAACATTTACACAAGCAACTACCCAAACCCACCTTAGCTGCCTTTAAATTTCTTTCTCATGTGCATCTAAAATGGCTAAAAGAGATAATTCTAAGGAGCTCAGATGTAAGATAATCCACAATCCACTTGCATAAGAAAGGGCAAAATCAAAGGAAATTAAGTGAAAAAACAGGAGTATCCAAAACCGGAGATGCAGAGAAAACGAGACTCCTAACAACCATGCAAGACCTGGTAGACGACCAAAACTCTCACCTTCAGATAAACAGCACTTAAAGCTGTCGTCTTTGAGAGAGAGGAGAAAATCAAGCTCCAATCTTGCTTTAGATCTGAGTAAATCAGCAGTGTCTCTGTCCATCCTTCCACTGTGAGAAGACAACTCAACACTGTGAGTCTGAAAGGATGTGTAGCTGTCAAGAAGCACTTTCTTGAAAAAAGAAATAGACAAAAAAACATGACAATTCACTCCATAACACTAAAACTGGACATCTGAGATGTGGAGTAAGGTTTTATGGACTGATGAGTCTGATTCTGCAATTGGGATTACTTCAATTGTGAGAAACAGAAAATGCAAGCAACTTCTAAGAATGAACTTTGGAGGTGTGGACAAATATCCCTGCAGATTTCATTGAGACTTCTGTATTTTCCTGTATTTTCTGTTAAATATGTTTTCTGCTTTTTTTCCAGATGCAATAAAAAGAATATCCTCTACTTATTGGCCATTTTGAATGGAAATCAAATAATTGAAAGACTTTTGTGCAGTATTATACGTCAGCATAGCAGCAAAACAATCAAATCAAATGGAATTGTGGCAAAATTTGAGATTTTAGGATGCACTGAATCATTTCCTAAAGAGTCATTCTGAGATCAGAGATTTAAACCCCTATTTCTTTATCTATCTCTCTCTGATCTTCTCTCTTGTTCTGCTCTGCTGGTGTAGGTCAGTCAGTGCAGTCTCCGGTCCTGCTGTCCCAGGGGCTGTACCTGAGGAAGACTCCACGCTCCTGGCTCCTGGTCCAGAAGTGGACTGCGGGACGTCCCAGGGCCACGTCACAGATATCCATGGTGATGGCTCTCGAGGGCATTCTCCAGAACAGGGTGAGCGGTCATCTAGGGCCGGGGCAGAATCGGCCGAACTGCGAGAGTTCCAGGCCCAGAACCGCCGGCTGCTGCCAAACTTCAAAAACCCTCTGCACGTCATTGACGGGCCAGAGCAGCGCTACTTCATAGGCATCATCGACATCTTCACTGTCTATGGCTTCAAGAAGAAGCTGGAACACCTGTGGAAGAGACTGAGGCATCCAGGGCAATCCTTCTCCACTGTCAGCCCTCCAGTCTACTGCCAAAGGCTATGTCAGTGGGTGAATGACCATAGCAAATAGTCTGTGCTGAGGGACAGCAGTAATGACTGGAAATATGAAATGTGCTCAGAAGCATGCTACACATCCATACAGTCACTGGTACAGGAACAGGAAAAAACCTGAGACTATGAAACTACATATTTCAGCAATTTAAGACACCCAGATATAAGTTTACAGTTAGTTTCACAGCTGCTGAAAAAGAGTGCTTGTTTTTAGGTGGCATTCAGCACTTACAGTCTTAAAGAGGAACAGTTCTGCATAGTTCACTCATTAAGATATAAACACAGTCATTCAGAGTGGTTTGATGTGTTCTAGAAAAACAGAAAGTCAGAATTGTTCACAATGGTGGTGATAGGAACCAGACATCTGAAGCATTTAATGTCTCCAAAAGAAGCTACCTCACAGAAAGGTATTACACAAAATGGTTACAACTGTGTTGCCTGATGCCTGAGACATTGTTTTACAATAGTTTTGAGACAAAATATTGGCCTAAATCTTATTTTTTGGCCTGCAATGCAAAGCAAAAAGGTATATGCAGGGCGTTGTAAAGCAAAGTAATTCCCAAAAATTTTTTTTTTTTTTGAGATTTATCTACATCACATATATGAACTCAGAAGACATGTGTAGGCTCACTGGCGGAATATAATAGAAGGGGATGCACATTGCATCACAACCCCTGGTTCCTGTCACCACCGTAAAGAAATCGGTGACTCTACAATGCACCATTTTGCGTCAAACTACTCTGTACGACTTTGTTTACATCTTAAGAATTGAATTATTAAGACTCAGTGGAATTCTTTCATAAAAATAAAGTTTTTCCTGAAGGGTTCTTTGCAGGGGTGCCACAGAAGAACCACTTTTGATTCCCTAAACAACCTTTCAATGTATGGTTCTTTAAAGAACCATTTTTGTAAATGATGTGCGAGTGTTTAATAAATGTTCCACATAATGTAAAAGTTTTAATATCAATTACGGGTGTTTCTGAGAACCATACATCCAAGCCAAGAACCTTTTAGGAAACTTTATTTTTATAGCCACAGTGCTAACATAAAAGGTTGTTGCTGTACTAGATCAGTGGTTCTCAATCCTGGTCCTGGAGGCCTCTTGTCCTGCATCCTACATTTTGTTTTGGACATTTTTAATACATCTGACTCCACCAATTAATTCATTTACACACCCTTCTTGAGTTGAACTGATGGCCTGTTTCAAACTCTACACAGTTTTAGGTTTTACTTCAGTGTGCACACATGTGACTGTTCTAAACTTCCAGTCAGTTTATAACAAACAAATGACGGAGGTGACAAGTGGATGGTGTAGCAAAAAATTTGCATTTATTCCTTCATGCCAGGATACTTAAAAACGGTTTGCAAACCATATACAGATGTATGCAAAAGTCTCGTGCCGCTGGTCAAATGACATGTTTTGTTGCTTTTCTAAGTGATAATAAGTGACCACATCCTCTACAGAGAACACACTTTTAGGCCCAATCCCATTTCTTCTTTTTACCCCTACCCCTTGTTTTCGAGTGTCTAACTAACCCCTTGGAACTAAGTTACAAGGAGTAGTGGTTGAAATCTTGCCCTACGAAATGGGACAATCCTCAAATTAAAAAAAAAAAACATCGCTTCACTAGCGGTGCTCTGTAGGCGACCCGGCCCAGTGACAGCAGAGAAGGGGAAAGTTCAGCAACCTCACTGCTGGGGTTTAGTTACATTTAGGGCATCATGCTTTCAAAGAGGGGGTTTAAGACAACTATTTATTATCACCCACTGTTAATTCTTTGGTGATATGAAGCTGAAGTCAGCTATTCACCAGCTTCTTGTTCGAATATTCCCGTTCCACCTTAAATGGTGCAGCAGTTACATATACTTGGCATTCAGGCGCTTCAGGCGTCAATACTGCTAGACTATTTAAGGTGGAACGGGGAAGTTAGCTAGCTAGCTACCGAGACATTAGCATGCTATTAGCGATTTTTTATGCTTGTTATGAAGAAAGCGACCATAATACATTGAAACGACATTAAACTAAGATAATACAATAGTTATCGTAATTTTTTAACAGAGAAAATTCTCACGTGTGGGTTTTTTTGGTTGCTCGCGCAGCCATCTTACCGTTTTTTTTTTCTTTTTTTCTCACAACACTGTTTGGATTGTGCTTCTGAAAAACCTCCGTTTGGAGTGCCATGTAGGCCTAACACTTCACCCTACCCCTCTATCTCAACAAAAATTGAGACACCCTAACCCTAGACGTGAACGCGTAAAACAGAGGGCTAAGGGCCAGGTGGTAGGGGTGAAATGGTTTGAACATATCGGGGAAAAAAAAACCCATAAAATATGACCTGTGCAAAGGTTATGGCATATTTTGTATTTTATGTTTGATGTTTTCCAATAAATTGCATATGTCTCTGTGTCTGCCCTGTGATGGACTGGCAACCTGTCCAGGGTGTTTCCTGCCTTCTGCCTAATGGCGTTGGGATAGGCTTCAGCTCCCCCCGCAACCCAGAAGGATAAGCGGCTTAGATAATGTGTGTGTATGTTTTCCAATAAGGTACACTCAGTAAAAAATAGAAATTGTGCACTAAAATTTGAAGAAAAATGCAAAATTAACAAAACGTCATTTGACAAGGGCTGTCCAAACTTTTGCATACAACTGTAAGTAAACGACATTAAGTAAGCCAATAGTTAAAATGCTCCAAAGAAAAACCATACTGGCTATATCCCCATCTGCATTAGCCCCCAAACCCTCTAGGCTAAAAAGCCTGCAAAAGAGAGAGAGAAACAAAGGGAAAAAAATTTCTCTCTACATCTATGTTAGAAAGTTGTTTTAAAGAAAATGAGACGCCTCTGTGCCAGTGTATCCCATTTCCAGTGTCAAAATCATCAGAACATATGTCCAAACTTGAGGACCCCGAGTGTGTGGATAGGTGCCTTGTCTATGTGAAAATATAAATCGCAGAAATGTTCACATATTTTCACTTTGTTCAAAATCAGATGCATATGCAATATGTCAGTTGGAGAATTTTCAGTCTGCCAAACATGGCTTTATAACGACCTGTGAATACCAAGCTTATGCAAACTTATCACTAAGCTAATTCATCAAGAAGGTCAGTTTTAATCACTCAGTTTTAATTGTCTTTTTTTAACCATGACAGTCTTAAAACACATGCGACATTGCTACTTCTACTTCTATTGCTTTCCAGAAGTTAGCAACATTAGCACACATAGCTGCTACCAAATACACAGAAAAAAAACTATCTATGCTATCTATTTCTGGTTTAATTTGAATTTTAAAATGTTTGAGAATATTTGCAAACATAATGGCAGAAATAGGTTCTCGTATGAGGTAACTGAATGGTCTTCTTCATGTGACAGACTTTTTCTGACAAGCTGTTGTTCTATATGCGTAAGCTTTGTAGCGTAGTAAGCTAATAATCATGTAAGGCTGGTAGACAGAAAAGTGAAGTTAGCTGCTTGGCTAAGTGCTGAAGCCCATTTGCCAGTAAGGGACTTAATTTGGCTACACGTTCAACTCACTTAACTACTCTCTGTTTTAGCTTATAATGGTAACGTGATATCACTAGTGTGGGAGATTTCACTGAAAAATAATATAATTAAATTTGCAAATATCTTCTTAAATAACTTTTAATTTTTTTTTTCTGAAAACAAGGATAATAACAGGGAGTTTGTCGCCCCTTTAAGGCGTTAACAGCCTATACTCTTCTGGACAGGCTCTACATTGCTGTGAGGATTTGATTGCATTCACCCACAAGAGCATTAGTGAGGTCAGGTACTGATGTTGGATGATCAGTTCTGGAACGCTCCAACTCAAGTATTTGATGTAGTTCCGTCTCTCCAGAGAACACAGTTCCACTGCTTCACAGCCCAATGCTGGGGGGCTTTATACCCCTCTAGTCAACGCTTGGCATTGATAATAGTGACATTAGGCTAAAAACAATGCATTTCTATGGAGATTTTACAAACTGTAGAACATATAGTGTACATTTACATCATTACTGTGCACGGCAGCAGAGCTCCAAAACCAAAACTGAGAACCAATATCCTAGATTTTCATGGTACAGTTCAAAATGACATAAGCAAAGGCAGTGAATCTCATATAAATACAAAACAGAAACCTGGGTTATTTTGTCTGTCCTACATCTATGGCCATTATCACTGAACTATTGATGTAGGCCTTTGAGGGATTCTGGTAAAGAATCAATGCAACCTTTTCATTTTATGTTGTAAAAGTACAACAGAAGGTGTGACTTGTGCTAGCATTGTGGCTAATCAATACCTGGTGAAGATGCACTTGAAAAAGCCTGAACTGGTCCACTGTAACAGCATGTCAAGGTGTTTTAAATTCTGGAATGGCATATAACACAGCTGTGTAACTCCAAAGACAGACGTTTCAGTTGCAGATGATATTCATGTTGCATCTGCTTTTCAAAGCCATGTAAGTGAGCATTTTTTTTTAAAAGCAGATTTAAGCCGTATGCTATGATGCAGTGTAATAAAAATGTAACCTCAGAAATCTGATTAATTCCTTTTGGTGTTTTTTTATCAATATTTCTAACAATTTTATAACAATATTAGGTCAGTCTGCAGATGTGTTTTTGTTGTTCTACAAAGCAGTAAGTCCTGCTATAGGCCCTATTAATGAATACCCAAAATGATATCCCTTCAAAAGGTTAAAATATCTACCAAAATCTCAGAATGTTACAGTCGTAGACAAAAGTTTGAACAAACCCCCCCCAGTCAAATTACATGTTTTGTAGGTTTTCTAAGTGAAAATAAGTATAGTATAGAATGTACACTTAAATAAAGTGACGTCTAAAAGTCATAGACCACCTTATAATATGGTATTTGTTTTTTAATTTAAACCTGGAAATAAACAAGTTTTAGAATCTTGAAAACTTTAAAACAACGAAAAGTTATGAAATTAGAATAAGGAAGAAATATTCAACATTCTGCATTATTTCTCTGTCGCTATTCAAATTGAAGCAACTTTGTGAAATTGACTATGTTAAGGCCATTGTACAATTTTTAAAATTCTTATTCCCCGTACAGACGACTAGGTTTGATCTGCAGATCAGAGGCACAAACTTGTAGAGTCCCCATGGAATTTAATTTGGCATTTTTCTGTATAAAAACGTTTTTTAACCACTGTTTTTTACATTTAAAAGTATGTAACTACTGTCAACATTACATATAAAACTCAGATGTTTTAACCTTTTCAACTCCTTGGGACCACTGGTGGTTCCAAAACGCACTTCATCATATTCTTCATAACTTTCATATTTCATAAGCTACATTCAAAAGGTGGGTGTCATATGAGAGCTGACTGTCTTCTTTCCTGGGTAATGTAATTTTAAACCCTTATAATGAAAGAAGCTGAACTCAAAACTGTTTTGTCTACTGAAAGTTGACCGATTTTTCCACAAATCTGGGCTATAAACTATAAACAGATGGTGTCTCTTCAGTGATCTGCTCTGTAAAAATAATTTTTATAAAATAATACAAAGAGCGTCTAAGATTTTTGGCTTTCATCTGTAAATTGTAAGCATATAGCAATATGTGTATGATCATAAAACATATTTTCTGTTAATTTGAGGGGAGCTTTTACAAAAAAAAATAAATAAAATAAAAATTTACATTTATTTCATGTGGTTCCTGAATAATTTGCCTTACAATTTGGTCGTGTAAATTCAGATGGACAAACCAAAATATACCCTGGTGAATAGTAAATAAAATGGATATATTTGGACTATACACATTGTGACCCCTGTTTCCCATTACCATCATTGTAAAGAAATCTGACACAGTACATTTCTCGACAATGAACCATTTTACATCAAAATACTATGAATGACTTTGTGTACATCTTAACAATTGAATTATAAAGAAATTGTGACAACTCGGTGGAATTCCCCTTTATCTTTTATCTTTACAAGTGGACACCAGTACCTTAAAAGCATGGGTAGGTCAGTCTACAGTGTTCATGACCTCAGACAAAAACATAACGATTCAGCTGTTATTAAAAAATAAAGAATTTGATTTTCGCCTACATAAAGCTGAGTCGTGACTGACAGCACCGACACTTGTCCCTTTTAACTAGGGCGTGTGGAGGATGTCCGATGTAACTGATGGGAGGCGGATTAGAGGCGTAGGTAGAACGGCGTTATTTTTTTCCCACCCGTATTCTAACAAATACCGCCTCCTGCGCTGCCATTGGCTCGTTGTGGGGCGGGCTGTGCGTGAGTAATTATTAACCAATCGCGACGCAGAACGTAGAAGACAACTAGCAAATCCCAGCTCAGAGGGCGGGGTTTGCATGAAAACGGGTGTGAAACAAAAACGCGTTCGCCTCCTCCGCGAGCTCCACCACATCCATCCGCGCGTTACATTGCAGGAGGAATAGCTACAAACCTAGCTGATGTAGCTAGCTAACGCGATGGATTTCAATGTCAAGAAACTAGCGTCAGACGCCGGCGTCTTCTTCACCCGTGCTGTTCAGGTAGGCAGTATTTTTCATTTTAAAAACATCTCAAACATGTTTGTCAGCGGTGCTCGAGGCGACACTGGCGACGTTATTCACTTCACTTCAGTTTGGACGGTGGATATAAGCGGTGGTGCAGCGTGAGTGGACCAATATGTCCCCTCCTTCTCATTTTCCTTCTGAGTTTCTAGGCAAAGCCTCTGTAAAAATGGCCCGTCGGCTTCCCGCAGCCACTCAAGCACAGGGATGTGGATGTTTCTCGACGTGTTTTTTCCTGTGTTTTTCCCCTCGTCATTGTAAGCCGATAACGACAAGCTAAGCCTGCGTGCATTATTCATGGCTGTGCCTGAGAGGAGCACTGAAAGAGAGGAGAGCCTGTGGCAGTCAGTCCACAGGAGATGAACATGCTGTGAGGCTTCGTGTCGTCTCCCACCACCAAACACTATTATTATCATCACTAGTACAGTATCAGTAATATTTACTTCATTACTGTGTAGAATAACCTTGGCTAGAACATCCAGACCTGACAGTTCGACTTAAGCATTAGAGAACTTTAAAGGGGAGCTTTCAGAATTTCTGCATAATTAAATGGCTAATATGTCAGCAAAATCATTTAGAGTTGTTTAGTGTGGAATGCTTTGTTCTAGAGAATCTTGCAGGGTCAGAAATGTTCACGGTGGTGGTGATAGTAACCAGGAAGCTTCCTCGCAGAAAATGATTGTTATGAATACACTGCCTGCTGTCTGAGAGTAGTTTTATGGGGGAGGGATACATGCCCAGCATTGTGAGACAAAACAGTCCCCAAGGAAAACTTATTTTTTTTAAGATTTTCCACTATTTTATCATCATCAACGTTACATAAAACACTCATGTGGGTTCACTAGTGGTTTTGGAGAGCAAATAAAAAGGATATATTTGCATCGTAGACGTTGGGACTCCTGGTTCACATCACTACAACTGTAACGAAATCAGCATTTGTACGTTTCTCTGCAAATGAACCTTTTCACATTAAACCACTCTGAATGACTGTGCTTATATTTCATTAAGAATAGTACAAAGACAGCATATCAAATGTTGAAACTGAGAAATTTTATTGTTTTTTGAAAAATATGCCCATTTTGAATTTGATGCCAACAACACACTCCCAAAAAGTTGGGACGGGAGCAACAAAAGGCTGGTAAAGTTGTGTAATGCTACGAAAACACCTGGAACACCCAGAGAGGCTGAGTCTTTCAGAAGTAAAGATGAGGAAGCGTTAATCACTCTGTGAAAGACTGCACAATCAAATAGTGCAACAATTCAAGAATACTTTTTATCATCTACAGAGCATAACATTAAAAGATTCAGAGAATCTGGAGAAATCTCTGTTTGCAAGGGACAAGGCCAAAAACCAGTACTTGCTGGCTGTGATCTTTGGGCCCTCAGGTGGCAGTGCTTTATGATTCTGTAGTGGAAATCACTGCATGGGCTCAGAAACACTACTGAAAACCACTGTCTGTGAAAACAGTTTGTCGCTGCATCCACAAATACCAGTTAAAACTCTAAAACACAAAGAAGAAATCATATATGAACAGAATCCAGAAATGCCACTGCCTTCTCTGGGCCTGAGCTCATTTAAAATGGATTGAAGGGAAGTGGAAAAGTGTCCTGTGGTCTGGCAAATCACTGTGTCCTCTGGGCTAAAGACCACTCAGCTTGTTATCAGTGCACAGTTCAAAAGCCAGTATTCATGATGGTATAGGGGTGCATTAGTGCACATGGCATGGGTGACGTGCACATCTGTGAAGGCACCATTAATGCTGAATGATATATACATGTTTTGGCAACATAAGCTGCCATCCAGACGACGTCTTTTTCAGGGAAGGCCTTACTTATTTCAGTAAGATATTGCTAAACCACATTCTGCATATATTACAACAACATTGCTCTGTAATAAGAGTCCAGGTGCTAAAATGGCCTGCCTGCAATCCAGCCCTGCCACCACCTAAAATGTTTGGCGCATTATGAAATGAAAAATACAACAAAGGAGACCCCGAACTGTTGAGCAGCTGAAATCCTATATCAAACAAGAACAGGAAAACATTTCACTTTCAGAACTACAGAAATTGGTCCCCTCAGTTCCCGAACGCTTATAGAGTGTTGTTAAAGGAAGAGGTGATGAAACACAGTGGTAAACATGCCCCCGTCCCAACTTTTTTGAAATGTGTTGTTGGCATCAAATTCAAAATGGGCATATATTTTTCTAAAAACAATAAAATTTCTCAGTTTCAACGTTTGATTTGTTGTCTTTCTACTAATTTCAATGAAATATAGAGTTTCAATAATTTGCAGATCATTGCATTTTGCACAGCGTCCCAACTTTTTTGGAAACAGGGTTGTATACAATAAATATAATGTACCAAAAGTTTTATAATCTTGAACATTTTTGTTTGTGTTTTTATTTTTTCCCCTGTGTTGATGTTTTTATGTACCAAAACGGTCATAATACATTTTTTTACATGACCATTTTCCAACTTTCTCTTTTCTCTTTTATTAAAAAGGCTATTTTTGTTATTGTACCTGTAAGACTGACACAGATAAATGAGCTCAGTTCTGATTGGCTGCCCCGTATTGTGTCTTGTTCAAAAAGCAGTTCGTACTGAAACGCTCCTTGTAACTTCAGAGTGAATGGGCAGGGCTATTGGCTGAATAAGTGCGTATATCTAAGCCAACTGGTTTTTACACAAAAACGGTGAATATGATTAAGTAATAGTGGTAGTAAAGCTGTTTGTTTGTTTTTTGCCATTCAAAGATGCAGACACTGGGTAACAGCCCATTCTGCCAACAATGTTTAACAAAGAGTATGGGGAGATCCACTGGCACAAAGACTTTACTGCATTATGAAAATAGATTAAGAATTTTACTTTGGCCAAAAACAAATGATAGGAAGTAAACATTAGCCTGCCAGTTACGTCCTAATGTCTGTATCTCATCCAAGCCTCCAGCGCTTATGTTATAAGGTTTTATGGTAGATGAAAACACTGTGTTGCACACCTGCTTATTTGTGTTAAATTTAACAATAGGCATGACTGAGTGTTGTATGCTGAGCTTTGAAAGATGCCTGCCAGCTGATTGTGTGTGTTCTTGTGATCTCACTCACTCGCTCGCTCTCTCTCTCTCGCTCTTTCGCTCTCTGTTCCCTGCAGAATTCTCTACTTCAGTACTCAGTGGGTCAGGAGGGATATCTCATTATTCAATGCTTTAATGCTGAAGAGTATATGTGTTGTCCAGACACTCATGTGATGTTAAAGGGGCCTGAGGGAAGGTCTCTTCAGCAGGTGTGTGTGGAGGTGTTGGTGAGGGTAGTAGTAGGAGTAAGAGACATGAGTGATGTTCCTGAGCATGTTTCAGCTGCCTGTTTTTAACTCCAGCATCCTGCATTTTCTGTTGCATCAGCAGGGGTCTTCCCTGTCTGTGAGTGGCATATTTAGCGCAGGGGTATTCCTTTGTGCTTCAGGGGAAATCCATGCTGCACGCTCAGCATTAGACAGGTTCTTTGAATGCTGAAGCTGTGACGGCTAACCTGATGGGTCACTTATAACGGATAAGTCCAAAAGCTTGTCATACATAGGGTTGCACAATGTATTGAATCCAGAGCTTTTTCAGTACTACCGTGTAAGAAACAGTTTGATTCTTTCAATACTTCAGTACTTAATACTTTCTTCACCCTTTGTCTTTCGAGGCTTCCATTCTTTTCTGGAAACTTTCTTTTAGTTTTGCAGAGAAATCTGCAGGGATATTTTTCCACCCTTCAGACTTCAGTTGCCTTTGCTCTTTCCCACGATTCAAGTGTCCCAAACACATTCAGTGATATTGAGGCCTGGCCAGTTCATTGCTTAAAGAACACCAGCTTCTGTTTTTGACATTTTTTCTTCTTTTCTTTTTTTGCTTTTTATGTTTATTTCCTTTTCTCATTAATGGCTTCTTGACAGCTACACATCCTTTCAGACCCTTAGCATTGGCTTGTCTGCTCACAGAAAGAATGGACTGTGGAAAATCATTGTTTATTGTATTAATATTATTTGCATGTATACAGTCAGGTAATACAGTAATTGTTATTTTAGCTGCCTACCACAACATATTTGAATTAAAATAAAAAAAAAAAATTCTGTGAGCTCAAAGTGCAGCTTTAATTTGGGAGTATTTACATCCAAATCACTTGAACGGTATAGGAATTACACCAGTTTTCAGAAAGAGCCGCCCTATTTTTAGGGTCTCAAAAGTAATTGAACAGCAATCACAGATTTTTTAGAAATTTCTATTTTTAATATTTGATACTGTACAATATCTGAATAATATCTGGAACTGAAGATATTATGTATAATAACAGAATAATATCTGGAACACAGACATCACCAGACTATAGGTTTCTTCTCTAGTGATGCTCTATCAGGCCTTCACTGCAGTCGTCTTCAGTTCCTGCTTGTTCTTGGGATGTTTTACCTTCAGGTTTGTCTTTAATAAGTGAAATACATGCTTGATTGTTTCACATGTTGTTCCAGAGCTGTACAGGGTTTTTTTTTGGATGTTTTTTGCAAACTTTAATCTGGTCTTCCTGTTTTCTGGCTTATTAATGGTTTACATCTTGTGGTAAACCCTCTGTATTTACTATGGTGGAGTCTTCTCTTGACTGTTGACATGGACACTGATATGCCTACCTCCTGGATTTTCTTGATCTGGCCAACTGTTGAGGAAGAAATTTTCTGTCATTTACCACAGTTGTTTTCCATGGTCTTCTGGGCCTTGTGGTGTTTCTGAGCTCATCAGTGCAATCTTTCTTTTTAAAAATGTACCTAATATTTGATATGGTCTAATGTTTTTGCTGTCTTTCTGATGTTTTTTTTTATTTTTCAGCCAAATGATGGCTTCACTGAACTTTATATTCAGAGATAACAGCAACAGACTTCGAATGTACATGCCACACTTGAAATCAACCCTGGAACTTGTATATGCTTACTTGTAAGTAAAAAAAAATGAGGGAATAACACACCAGACCATGTAACAGTAAGTAAAAAAAATGAGGGAATAACACACCAGACCATGTAACAGTAAGTAAAAAAATGAGGGAATAACACACCAGACCATGTAATAGCTGAGTAGGCAATTGTCCAATTACTTTTGAGCTCTAAAAATGGCAGTTATGTATGAAAATGGTTGTACGTCCCACACTGTTTACCCGTTTTGGATGTTAATACTTTCAAATTAAAGCTGAAAGTCACTTTGAGCTCATATTCAACATCAACTCCAATATGCTGTGGTAGACAGTTAAAAATAACAATATGTCAACATCCAAATATTTATAGACCTAACTGGATATTTATTCTAACGTTAGTGTTTTCTCAAGCATTATTTGGTAACTTTGTGTCCAGGGCTAGAACAGATAGCATACCTTTTTTTTTCTTAGAACTGCACCACTGGTCCGGATGTTGTTGATTTCACTAAAGTTCAGACTTTGAGAAGGACCTCCGAGCTTGGGCTGCATTTTGGGACAGGGCTTAGAAAGACTACTGCAGCCTCCCGAAAGCTACCTTACCCTGGACAGAAGCGCAACAGGAAGTAAAAAAACAGAGTAATACCACATAGGAAGTGGTGGAGGCAAATGCTTTAAAAGTTTGAAAATTTAATTTGACTCAAATGTTCATCCGTAGTTCTTAGTTCTGAGTAATGTCTCCCTGCAGACATGCTGATTCTCATTTTTTGTGTTTTGCACTATAAAAGTTATTACTTTTTTAACTTTGTTAAAAGATCGAAAAATCAGTCTTTTAATGCATTTCAGTAAGAATGCATGAAAATCAGGATATATATTAGGGGTGGAGGGAAAAATCGATTCTTAGATGCATTGCAATGCGGATGTGGACGATTCTGAATCGATTCACAAATGTCAAAAATTGATTTTCTAAATTTTAATTTATAACGTTGTGTTGACGGAACGCAAAAGGCGGAACTTGGAAGTGCGAAAGTGCAGCACCCAGACAGTCTGTGGCGGCACATAACAAAAACACTGTATGAGCGCGGAATCTGACCGGCACCCTCTGTATTAAAAGCTAGGTTAGGTCAGGTGTCACAACCCAAATGTTAGGAAGAGCCATTTTGTCCTTCCAACAAAAATCAAACCACCTTGGGAGCCACAACATTTAATGTCCAGTATGTGTCAGTATGTGCTGATGTCCTGGTATAGGCTAAACGCAGATTTACTTTGCTCTGCTTTAAGCTTTCTTCCCATCTCCGCCAGAAAACTTTTCCTCAAAAGTAGAACAGTTTCTTGTAAAATGTCTCTTAATGTTCGACTGTTTTACAAGGCTGAAGTCGCTTCTTATTCCCCAGCTTCTCGTTCGAATTTTCCCGTTCCACCTTAAATTCGGAACGGAAAACTTCAAAAAAGAAAGCTGACTTCATCTTCGCAACTTTTTACTGTTTGACAGTCTCTCGTTGCAGATTTAACGTACTAGGAAACCAACTGTGGTGCTTATAAATGCGAATAAGTCCATTCGTCTCCAAATGTTCGTCATAAATCTCTCTCTTTGCCTTTTTGTTAGCTACTAGCCGGGCGAGACTGCGTTGCTATGTGACCTGCGGTCTGCACACCAGTTCTCGGTTGTTGAGAACCAGGGCTTGCGCGCCATGTTGCACTCTTTGGAGCACTCTTTGAAGATATTTTACTGACACAGTGACCCCCCACTCTCTACAACGAGACCAAAACCAAAGTTACAAAATCAAAAAAAAAAAAGGTAATCGTTTTATAATCGCATCGCAGCCCTCTGAATTGTAATCGAATTGAATCGTGAGGTGCCTAGAGATGCCCACCTCTAATATATGTTGTCCATCACTGTCCACCAAAACACTAAAATATATTAAGATACTATTCAACATGATTATAGCCCACAAAAATTGCAGGTCTTGCGATTTGCAAATTGCGCTCTCTCAAAAGAGATTTTAATGTTTCAACATAAAAACGATTACTCTTTCAGCCCCATGTGATATCAGCATATTTCAATGATTTTTCCCCCCTGCAGTTTAATATACGTTTTCAATATTTTCTCTGTTTAAACGCTGCCACATGGAACAGTTAACTGAATATTCAATTACAGCCTGCCCACCTTCTGTCTGTTTTAGTGTCCTAATGCTGATGTGATGACCATTTAAGGCAGTATATCAGGTATTAGGTGCTTTGATCTTGTTGGTTATGAGTCAGAGAGAGAGAGAGGGCAGATGGCTGGCGGTGAGCCTGCTGATGTCTTCTTAGCCAGTCAACACTATTGAGTGATGGGGAAACATTTTCTGTCAGCTGATAATTGTCCCCCTGTCAGAAGACGCGGACAGGCTTATTATATTGGATAGAAACATAAACTGAAAGTTATCCCGTGTGTTATGGCTCAAATATCAGTAAACAAACAAATAAATAAATAATGCTGAAAAGTGGATGTAGAGCTGCAGATCTGTATAACTGATACATGTATTGTACTGTATGTTCACAGTTCCCAAAATGCAATCAGGCATTTAGAAAACTGAAAAGGATTTTGATTAAATATATAGTGCATGCTTGATAACTTAACACACAGATTTTTCCAGCTAGTATTTATATTGCAAAACAAATGCTCTTAAAGTAAATTTCCATGTCAAAATTCTTTATTTGACAGCAGATCTTTAAAAATATATAAAATTAAAACTGCTTCTTACATAAGTATTCAACCCCTTTACATTAGTATTTAGTAGAACCACCTTTTGCTGCAGTAACAACTTTAAGTAAGCTTTTAAAACACTGTACACTGTTTGGGAGAGATTTTTGCCCGTTCTTCCTGGCAGGTTTGCCCCAGGTTGTTCAGGATGGTTGGATGATGTTTGTGGGCCGCAATTTTCAAATCATGCCATAGATTCTTAGTTGGATTGAGATCTGGACATTGACCTGGCCATTGTAGAACATTCACCTTCTTGTTGTTAAGCCACTCCATTGGCCTTGTGCTTGGGCTCCAGAAAGGTAAGGTTTCTCCTAAACTTTAGTTTTTTAGCAGACTGAGGCAGGTTGTCTTGCAGTATCTTCCTGTATATTGCCCAGTCCCTGCAGAAAAAAGCATGCTGCTACCCCTATACTTCACTGTTGGGATGGTGTTTGTTGAGGAGTGTGTGGTCTTGTGACCGACAGAACCTTATCCCTCATTTTAGCTGGGTCGCTCTGATGCTTCCTGGCAAATTCCAGACATGCTTTGATGTGTTTTTTTTTTTTTCAGTAATGGCTTTTTTTCTAGCCATCCTCATATGCAAGCCAGTTGTACGTAGAACAATATTTTTATCGACTGCACCATCGCTGCAGTCTCTTTTAAAGTGATTGTTGGCCTCTCTTTGGCTTCCTTCACAAGTCTCATTCTTGCTCTGACACTGAGTTTTGAGGGACGGCCTCGTCTAGACATTGCCCAGGTGGTATTATGCAGCTTCTGTGTCCTTACACATGATCCGGTATTTCAGTTTGCCTCTCTACATATTTTCCTCATTCTTGCTTTCATTTCTCTTTATCCTTAATACATCAACATGTTCACTGCGTCAGAGAGTGAACACTGTGGTTATACTTCTCTGCATGTCTTGATGAATGTCACTGCACTTTTCAGCCAGTGATTTGTGACTCATGTTCAGGAGGCTGCTGACATCAATGTAAAAGGATTTTTAAAGCGTTTCTGCCTATCTGTGACAAGCTAGTGTTAATTTGATTTTGTTATATAATATATTTTCAGTGCATATATCGGCTCTGTCATTGTCATTGTTGTTGAAGCATCCATCTTCTCCCCAGATTCAGTTTCTTGGGCAATGAGATTAAATTCTCCTGTAATATCCTGCAGCTCTTTTTTGGGTGACTACTGGCTTTTCTCTTAGATTCCTCACTATTAGTCTGACAGTATGTTGTGAAATCTTAAATGGTGCACCTGTTGGGGAGCGATTAATTGTGAATCCATAAACTTTCCACTTGCATATTGTCAAACTGGTTGTACTGACAGGAATGTTTAAGTTCTTTACTATGTTTGTAGCTTTTCTGTTAGTGTTGTTTTATAATGTTGTGCTTTAGGAAGCTTTTTAGCCTTCACTATGATTACTACTTGTCTTCCCAGCCATTGACACTATCCATTTTCCCTATCAATTTAGTTTTATGAAACATATCTTTGTTTATGCGTATTTATAAATAGAAGGTCAAAAGACATTGTGTATAAATTTGAGGTAGATATATGCACTGGAAATATATTCAATTACAAAAACAAAGTTGTCTACATACTTGTTTTCCCTCACTGTAAGTCTTGCTTTGCTAATAAAATGAGATCTGCTTTAGTCAGTCACGGCAGAAGGCAGCACGGTACCATACTGCATCTGTGAATTTGCTGTTAGGGATTTTGTTTCTCTTCAGCATTTATGTGTGCATTTCTTGCTGTTCGTTAGAAGGTTGCATCATTGTAACCTTGCAGTTCTGCTCCAAATGCTTAGTAAAAAAAAAGACAATATGTTCAATCTGCGTTTCTTCTATTTGCCAGTTCACGGAGGAGAAGTTGGGCCAGGCAGAGAAGACTGAACTGGACGCCCACCTTGAGAATCTAATTGCCAGAGGAGACTGCACCAAAAATTGGACTGAGAAGATCTTCAGGCAGACCGAAGTATTGCTGCAGCCTAACCCCAGTAAGATTAACTCCTTATGCAGAAGTGCTAAAATAGAGTTTGAGGGGGCTACAGACAGTGGAAGCATTTATTAGAAGTATCCTTTAGAAAAACGATTCAGAATGTTGGAGAGACCAATAGAGTGAGTGTAGATAAATACACAGAAACATTGATAAATATACTTCACTGATCCCTGATAAAATCTGGGTGACCAGACATTGCGCACACATAATTACAGATGACACAATACCACTTTTTATTTACAAGTATCTATATTGATATTGATATTTTAACCATGAGTGTTGTTCTGTACTGATTTTTTTTAAAATTAGCTTATTAAAATAAAATATTTTGAATTGAAGCACTTCACTTGGCTACCTAAACGTATCATTCACAAACTGCTAAAAACACTAATAGCTTACAGATAAAAAATTATGAAATTAAATGTTTTTTAACTTACTGGAGAATTCAGTGCTTTATTTTATGCTAGTACAGGTTATGCTGCATTGATGACCACAAGCAAAGAAAGGATAACAGGGATTATATGGAAGAGTGATGCTCTGCATGAACAATACAATATAATGTTTTATTCTTTGTGATATTCAAATAGAATTTATTTTAAATTTTAGACATTCAGATAGTGAGAATAGTTACATTAGTTATCTCCCTGCTGTGCATCTCACCAGTCTGGCATGAGATATCCAATATTGAAGAAAACTTTCAATTTCAGGATTTGATATCAGAAAAGGAATAAAAAAAAAAAATCAATCTGATCCAAACTTAACAAATCTATTTTGAACAGCACATTGTGTGCTGTGATGTTAGCTGTGTACAGCTGTGGGTACAACAATTTCAGCATGATGGCCCATCTTAAGTGAAATGCCGCTATTTAAAAAAGCTTAGTAGTTTTTATTTTAGTAGTTTATAAAAAAGAAAATCAGTATCAGTTGATAATCTGGGTTTCAATATCACTATCAAAGAAAAACATCACTGATCCTCCTCTTTTATGTTATATTGCGCTAGAAACAGTATTATGCTAAAAATTAAGGCTTGATTTGGTTATAGTTTTATGAGGCCAGATTTGATCGTGTAATGAGAATACAGGTCTGGGAACCACTTGTTAAACTTTTGGTGCTGGATTGTGGCCAAATTCGCTGCTAAGAAGAGTACGCTCCCTCTAAAACCCACCCCCAAATTCTTCTAGTCTGTACTCTTTTAACATCAGTAATCAATAACACAAGCAAAACAAACTAGCTAGCAAAATGCTAATGTAGTGTGTATTTTTACTGCATGTAACGCTCATTGTATGCTTATTTGGCGTTTTTTGGATGGACTTTTCAGCCATGATAACTCATGTTATGTATATGGGCATACATGCGATCTCATAAAGTATTGGATTGGTTTAGAAATTTCACACTCAGGTTGTTCCCAGCCTCATTTAGCCCAACTTTCTGATGGCTGTCCCCAGACGTGTATTCTCATTACAAGATCATATCTGACCCATATCGAGACTAGAGTGGTTTTAGAATCATATTTGTTCTTTTTTTATCTGATAGCTGATCAAGCATTTCAGTATTAGCTCAATACTGAAATTGGCTACGTACTAACATCGGCTATTAGATCAGTGCCAACTCTACATATAATTACATGTACTACACACATTTATACATGCACACATTGTACATCATTGCAAATCATAGCAAAAACAAGACACGATAAAGACAGTAATGTCAAAATGTGATTCCATGTCAGCAAGTCTGCTCAATAACCTGTTAGATGAGCCCTGCATGAGCTGTCAAGTGTCTGTGAATGATGTTGGCTCTTGTCTCGTAAATGTTGGTTCTAGTTTTGATGTTTAATGTCGAGTCTAGTCTTATGATGTTGATATTACCATTAGCACTGTAGCACCATGCTGCCACATATGGTGCATAGAATAGAACAGAATAGAAACATTGCTTTATACTGATGTTCAGGTCTGTGTACACAAAGAGGGCCACCACTGCAATGTAATGTGATACATATAAAGTTTAGAAAGGAGGATTTAACTGTTACTAAGGCTTCAGTACAGCAGAGAAATGTAATACCTGGCCACCATCTTAAAATGTATGACAGCATCTTCTTTCAGGTCTCTCACTCCGTCTACTTTCAGGCTGTCGTTTTTAAAAATTAATGAGTGTGTTATTTCTGCCTAAAAAGAATGATTTCCAAATGTGAACTGGCCTTGACTGCTTTCCATCATAATAGATAAAAAGGTTTCAAATATTTCTTAGGGTATTTTTTGCTGCTATTGAACATTCTGTAGTTGTAGATACTTTAGATACAAGTACTCTACTATATATCGGAATTATTGGGTTCAACTGATTCAGCGAGTTTCATAGCTGCAAGCTAGGGCCTGACCGATATATTGCTTGGCTGGTAATATTGACTGATATTGAGATCCAAGGGTAAAAATCCTGATCTGCAAAAATTGCACTGATATTTCCTGAGTTGTCTAATATTATAATGAACCTCTTCCATGAGGAAAACCCGAATCATCCCAAGTGTGGTATGGCACAGTGGTAGCATTTGGTTTTATGTGAGAACATTCGGCAGCCAGAATTGCTGTCTTTGATTTTTTCTAAATTGCGGTGGTTGGATTTGACCAGTCAGACCTGCACTACTTCCAGCTCCACTTATACATCCTAGTTTGATATGCTTGGTACCCTGGCAAAAGGAAGAAAATTCTAAAATATTTGTACTCAGGTACTGTACTGGTCACTTGATAATGGACTAAGTTTGCAGCCATTTTAATGTGTTTTCCAGTGCATTCAATCGAGTAATCAAACGTTAAAGTTCATTCTCTTCCTTAGCAACTCTGATCTGACACACCCAGTTCTAACTGGCAGTTACATCAGTAATCAGCAATCACTCAGTTTACACTAAGAGAAGATTTCTCTTGGAGGTTCTGTAAAATTGACCATGTTGTAATTTTCAGTTTTGTAACTACAGGAATGATGGACACTGTAACAAAAGATGATAAAACGCAACGTGTGGTTATAAACTGTAATATAACAGATACAAACTGCGACAAAGAAACCCAAGGTTATTTATCACAATTATGAATCACAGTGTACAGCTATAAACTGTAATATTACAGGTAGAAATTGCAGCACGGAAATATGAGTTTATCTACTACAAGTCTGAATTGCGGTGTACGGTTACAGAGTTCAGTTGGAGCAAAAATCGGGACTGTTTGGGGGAAAGACTGGTTTGAGAAACACTATGCTATAGTGTTATCTTCATTAGCTTATCTGAAAACACAATCAGAGGCCTTGCTTACTCATATAGGCTTATAAAGATGATTTTCCAGTATATACAATACAAAGCGAGTGCAGCACAGCACTAATATTTAAAAAATTGAGGTATTGGTAACGTAATGGTAACATGTATATTCTGTATTATACTTGTAGGAAAAGTATACTGGTTAGCACTAGTACACGTAATTCTGGATTTGGATTAACAACCTCTCTGTGCCGTACCACACTGCCCAGTGTAAAAAGGGATCGATGTTACATCTCTAGGCACTGAACTTTCAGTCTCTGATGATGGAGCGAACCCTTAGACACAAGTGAACCCCATTTTTGACCATTTTAAACTAGACTGGCCAGTATTATCAGTCATGCTTAAAATTGGTATCACAGTTTTCGTATCGGTTGGGCTCTACTACCAACATTTAAAATGGGTGAGCATTTTGAACAAGGTGAGAGATTGGGCCTTTTCATCTGGTGGGATTGTTTCTACTTAAGTTCAGTTTGGGCATTAGTGAGAGGCTGATGTCTATGGTAGTAAATGAGAGAACTCTAACCTGTGACTTTCTGACCCTCCCCATGCTCCAGTTGACCACACTGGTAAGTCTGTCTGCTATTGAAGTGCCTTGCACTTCAGGTCACAACCTCAGTTCTTTCCCAGATGTCCCATTTTGAGTGTTGAAGTCAAAAGCCAGCCTTAATGCTGGTGCCTCTTGCTGCTTTAGTAGAGGAAATTTTGTCAGTAAAATGGTAGAGCAAGCTAAATGCCAATGACTGCTTCTGGCAAAATGAAGGCAATTTCTCCAATAAGTTTTGTAATACCTTCAAATATGATGATGATGGTTATCAAATATGACTCACCCACTTCCCACTAATGTGCTTTTATTAAAACCAAAGCCATTTGCATCTTATGATAACTTTCTTATGGCAGTATTGGTTATCAGAACAAGTGATTGTGTCTTTTCCCCTCATCACTGTTGAGAGTGGTGGAAAGGATAATATCATGTGTTTTTCCTTCACCGTGAATCCATAGTGAATCCACAAGGGGCTTTCCATTTCATGATCTGTGACAGTAATGTTTATGTAAAGGGCTCTTAATTTTTCCATCTGTGATCTAATGGTGTTGGTGGAAATTGCCCTTTTATGCTGATCTGAGGACAGTTGTATTTAGGATTAGAGCTTGAAGGGAATGTGATCCCAGATCAGCTTAAAAAGAGCATGTAATATTTGTAGACTGCTGTTTGAAAACCGATGAAGCCATTGCTAATGGCCTTAAAAAGATCATTTTATTAATGTAAACCTTTGCAAAAAGCCAAAAGTGTGTATGTAAAGAATGACATTGTTCAAGATTATATATTCTTTCAGAGGACAAATACTAGGTATTGTTCATAACTTGCAGCGTTCTATTTGTCCTCCTTGTTGCACTTTTAATGAGCTCTTGATCAAAGCTAAGCGGAAGGAGAGATGAGCTAACCCGTTTGTCCAAATGATGGTGTGGGGGAAGCATTCCTTAAACAAAAAGCAGAAGTAGTCTCACATTCAAGTCAACAAAATAAAGGCGTGACATTATTTACAGTAGTCTATATTGTTTGTCATTTTTTGATTATTTTTCAAAGCACCCACATTGAGATTAGTTGACCACTTTTCCTTCTGGACAGTAATTTTATGATAACATAATTTTCAGTGTTATACCACTTTTCATGTACAGTGAGTCATTCTAAATTGAAAATAAATCCTTTTTTGAATGTAGGAAAAGCAATAGAGTTAAAAATAGCGTTAGAAAACAGAACCAGTCTCATCAAAAGACATTTACCAAAAATACAACGTATTTCTAGCAACGCTATGAAGTGATGAAATACATCCAGACTTGCGCAACCAGACTTTGTCTTATGAAAAGATTACATGTTTTGGGACAGCATGTTAAACGAGTGGGGATGGATTGAGGTGAAATCCGCTTCTAACAGGGTACGCCCATTCTAAATCCCACCCTACATTCCTCTAGTTCATGCTACTTCAACGTCCGGAGTGCAGAGCAGAACAAGCTATCTAGCAAAACGCTATTTTTAGCCAACAGAACTGTTTTCCTTTGCAACAGATACCGTTTATTGTTTTTGGGGGGACTTTGCAGCCATACTAACTTACGTTACATCTGTGGCATAATGACAAGCTTATTGTCTATAAAACAATGTTGACCAGTGCACCATTGCCCCCTACTTTGAGCGCCACCTTCACAAAGTGTTGGGTTGTTTTTGAAATTTCACTCTGTTCCCAACCTAATAAGTCTATATTCCCATCCACATTTAGCCCCAAATCTCTCATTGTCCCCAGACGTTTGTAACAGGATCACGCCTGGCCTTGCACCACTTAACACAGACCTGCTGACGGGCTTTTTTACAGAGATTCTGTGTAGTTTGTTGATTTTTATGTGGTCACGCTGTTGTCATGTGCTTCTGTGCCTTTCGTATGTCTGTTTCTGACCTCTCAGTGTCTTTGTCTGCTTGGTTTTAATCACACCCAGTGACTCTAAACTACACAGGCTGCAGTTCAAGCCTCAGAACATTATTCCCAGTAGAACAAAATCAATTTGGGATGAAAAACGAGAGAACCCTGGATAGGTTCCACAACACAGTGCTGTTATGTCTCTTTTTCCATCCTGCTTTTCTTCTGTACTTGTTGTTTGTTAAACTCATTATTCCATTCAAAGTATGGCTGAAAGATTAATCGTTTTTATATCGAAATTGCAATTTGAAAGAGTGCAGTTTTTATTACAGTCTTACAGTCTATTATCAACATTGATATGATGCAAGTTTTAAGTAGAGAAATTTTACCTAATAACATGGAGCTTATGAACTGCTGTGACATCACAACCACAAATAACTGTCAGCCTGGCACACAGTGTCAACAGTTCAAGGCTTAAGCCAGAAAAATTATACACACTGGTCTTCTTAGCCAAGAAAGGGCCCATACCTCAATTATTTACAATTGCAATTTAAATCATAATCTCAATATTGGTCAGAAAAATCGCAATTAGATATTTTGCCAAAATCGTTCAGCTCTGATTCAAAGCCACTGCAGTGAGCTGAGAAGTAGAAATTGTAGTGAGTTTATAAGGTCTGTGCAAAATATTAGGCCTGTAGTAAATGTATATTAACAATTTTATGTAATACAGTAGTGTACAGAGGTCAAAGACTACCCTTCATTTATTTCATTTCCGGCATAAAAGGCCATTAAAAAATTTTTTAGGAAATATTGCTGAGGAGATCACACATAAACGATAACACACTTGCAAAAGGAAGGGGAAAGACAAAGGAAACAGTGGTTTCCAAAACTGAAATTATTAAAAGGTGTAGAGAAAATGGGACTCATAACAACAGTGCAAGACTCAGTAAAAAGGATGTGTAGCTGACATGAAGCCGTTACTTAGAAAAGGAAATGAACAAAACGGAAGAAAATTTGCAAATCAAACAAAGAAGCTGCTGTTATTCTCAGAACAATAGACTGACCACCCCTTAATCCAGACCTCAACATCACTGAATGTGTTTGAGATTATTTTGATCATGAAAAGCAGAAAATGCAACCAACTTCTAAGACTGAACTTCAGAGGTGTGGAAAAATATCCCAGCAGATTTCTTAAAAAACTGAAAGCAAATCTGCTGAAAAGAATAGAAGCAAAAGGCAAAGAGTGGACTCCTGGCAATTTTGACTGGAAATTAAATTAATAAAGGGGGTTTTCTGACTTTTGCGCAGTACTCTTTTGTTATGTTTTAAAGCATTTTTATATTATATAGAATTTACAGTATAAAAGGTCCATTATTTGCAGCAATGTCAGATTTATATTTGCATGTATGAACATGAATCTTAACAGTTCTTTTTAGCGTTTTTACTATAGCTTTGTTTGTAGAGAGCAGTTTTATGAGAACATGATTTGTTCACTTTCATGTTTTAAAGCTAAGTGAAGTTCCAAATGTTTCCTCCAGAAATTCCCTTTTATAAGCATGTTGTGAGCTTTAGTCATAAAGGATGTCCCTAATATATATCTTTCCTGTGTCCTGTAAAGATAATATTGATGCGACGTTGGTAAAAACATGAGAAGAAAAACACAATACAAGACAGTCACTTAGTCCTGAAGAGTAAAGTCTTCTATCAAGTTATCGATTTACATCCCATCGTAGTTCCCATGTAGTTGGATAGTACTCTGACACAGTTTGCAGTGCATATAGAGACAGAGAACATGAAGTGAACCTTGAGGTGTCTATTTGCCCATCTAATCTGAGTATCTACTCAGGTGCCCGCATTGAGGAATTCTTCTATGAGAAATTGGACAGAAAGATCCCAACCAGAACCACCAATGGAGAGCTGCTGGGACAGTACATGCAGGATGCTGCCAAAGACTTTGGACCAGGAACTCCTTATGGTAAGTAAAGCCAGAACTTTTTTTAAAGCCTACACACTTAAAATGATGGTTCTTCAAGGGTGCTTTAGGAAAGAAAATGGTTCTATATAGAATCATAAACACTCAAAGAACCCTTTGCATGATTAAAGCGTTCTTCAGATTGATGGAGAATGTGCTAAACATGATGCTATATAAAACTTTTTTGAAAAGGATTCTGTAAAGCACCAAAAACGGTTCTTCTGTTGTTATGATATCAAGCATTTAACAATAGCAGAACCCTTTTTGGTGCCATATAGAACCCTTTTCAAAAAGCACATGTTCAGCACATTCTCCATCAATCTTAAAAACCCTTTTATCATGCAAAGAACCCTTTCATCATGCAACGGGTTCTTTAAGTATTCATGGTTCTATATACAACATTAGGATCTTTACTAAAGAGCCCTTGAAGAACTATCTTTTTTAGTTGTGTAGAGCACACCGACATTCTTCTCATAAGCCTGACTTCTGTCGTCAAAGAGTCTGCTGCATTTTGTCATGTAACGTGGCCAAGAACACGTGTCATGCAAAATGATGTTATCCCAAACCACTGTAGGGGTAGCTGACCTTTAAAATGGGGTTACAACAAAAACATCCATGCATCCATGAAGAACAAAATGGTATGTGTCCAAAACTTGCAAGGACATCTCCATCTTCTCACTGTGTTGTTTAAACGGCGAAAAAATTAAACAAATGGGTAGAACGTTTTCAGATGCATATAGATGTCTTATACTCCTCACAAAATGGGCAAATGGTGATACTGCCAGGCTACTTTCCATTTTGGAAAAGTGATGGCAGCATGGAGAGCTTCATCGCTTCAATCAGGAGCTGAAACTTTGAATTGTTGGATGTCTGTAGAACAGGAGTTTTAGAGGGTAACTCTGGTCCTGGTCTGGTATTTTGGGTATTTCCCTTCTCAGATTTTCTTCTCAGGACCTGAGTTCAACACTCATACTCTAGAAAGTTCTCTGTCATTCACAGTCTTCTTCTCCATTCATGCTGTTCTTGATTGTTCTCCCCACTTACAGTGTTCTAATGAGTTCTCTCCATTCACACTGCTCTTGAATGTTCCCATTCACATTCTTCTTTAATGTTCTACTCCATTCACATTGTTCTTGTATGTTGTCCTTTGTTATAACTGCTTAAGAATGTCACCCCATTCATACTTCTCTTGAATGTTCTCCTCCCTTCACACTGTTTTCACATGCTGTTTAAAACTGCTCTCACATGTTCTCCCCCTTTTACACTGTTTTAGGCCCATTCATGCTGATTAACTTGGTTTGCCAGGTTATCTGCATTTATGTTTTATTTTGGTTTGATAAAAAGGCTTGATGGTAAAAGGGCATTACCCAAAGAGTGAACTGGTATCAAGCTTCCCCAAAGTGCATGTATTCTTTAAAATTCACCCTACATGATACAGCACTGTGTAGTGTGGTGTAGTAGAATAAATGAAAACGCAGTACCTGAATAACACTGCTTTAACAAACCGAACAGTTCATGACTTTCAGTGGTCAGCACTAGAGGGAGCCCTTGTATTTCCTATGACAGTTTTAGCATGAGGAAATAATGACTTTGATGTACACTGGCACCACTAAAAATATGGACTCACTTGTCATATTACCATGTTTTTCGTATTTTATTTAATAATAACTAATGCAGTGTACGTTTAAATAATAAAAACATCTTGTCTACATTACTCTTATACTTTTTTGTCAAAGTATCCACCTTTGCAAGTACGAATAAACATTTTGGATACTATATTCTGATAAGTTACATTATCCACAAACATTCTGGATAATATTGAACCACTATTCAACTATCCAACTATCATTTTTAGTTAAAATATAGCTTTCTCAGTCAGATGAAATCATCTTTTTGTCATTTTGAAATTTCTTTATTTTTACAGCTTTTTACAAAATTGTTAAAAATCAATGGATGTTCATAGTATTAGCATTATATCAAAATCATTTTATATTTGGATGTATCTGCAACAAAACTGGCTTTATGTTATAGCAAACAGTCATTGCAACCTGTGAGAGATCTTTAGTAACAGTAGTCTGTAGTAGTCTAGTACTAGACAAGTAGTCTTGGGACGCTATCTGAATACAGTTTTTGTACCAATATATATTTCTTTGTATCAATCAGAAAAGTTATTATAAGCAACAATAACGATCATGGTCAATAATGGAAACTCAATTCAAAACTCTAAAAACGATCCAAATGAATTGAATGCGTAAGTAAAGCAAGTGAAAATGGGACAAACATCAGTTTCTCTTTCCTTTATGCAGGTTAGTGTTTAGAATTATATTTAGGTTAGTATTTGTTGCTTGTTTGTTCATTTGTATGACAGCTTGAAGTCTTTTAGGCATAGAGTAATGACAGTATGGCCAGTATGTACCAGCTTCAAAACACTTCTTGTCTCTTTCCAAGACATCTCTTGATTTTGGATTTTTTTTTGTTCTCACAGACATTTTGTTACTGAAAGACAATATTTCATTAATGATTACTTCACCTGGATATTTAAGGTTTCTAAAACAGTATTTTTCAGAATGATAATGAGATTTTGACTCTGGTGTGTTGGACGGTGGCTTTACAGGAATAGCAGTGGAGATCTCTGGTTTGAAAATTTCTATAGCACATTAACATATTGATTAATTCTAAAACATACACGATGAAAGAGGTGTCTTAAGACTACTTTAACCACCGTATACTGTTACAGTAGCAGTTCCCCTGCTATATGCTTTTCTGTGTTTTTTACTAATAAGACTGTATTGAAGACTGTGAATCACCCAGTACCATACTGATTTTCTATACTCAGTAAGAACCGTCATTGACAAAGTCAAAATACATGTTTTGTTAATTTTTCTTTACATGTTTTTGTTCATCATCTACAGGGAACAAACAGAATGAAAGCATTTTCTGCTAGTTTTAGTGCACAATTTCTGTCCAAAATATTGAATAAAAACATAAAACATAAAATGTGCCTAGACTTAAATTTTTTAATGCAGTGTGCTTTATAGCTATATGGTACACTTGCTTTGGCTGCATTGCAGTGTAGTCTAGACAGTTTATTAAACCACAGGAAGCACCCGCTGTTTTTACACTTGAGTTAAAAAAGGCCTGGAAGTCTTTTTCTGTTGTCTATATTAAGTAATGTGTGAGGGGAGCTATTAGCCCAGCATGAATTTCCTTTTGAAGGAAATGGTTTTTGGTGAACACAGATGAAACATGTTCCCTGACTGAATAATTCACGCCAACACAATGGCTACAAAAGGTCTTAGAAAATACCCTATTACACAATGGGCATCAAACTCCTTAGTACATGATTAAAAGAATAATTACTTATAACAAGCTGTGGTTCGTTTATTGAAACGCTCTTGTGGCACCTACAGCTGAAAGGAAATTAATAATTGAAAGGTTGAAGTAATTAAAATTCATTATTAACTATGTAAGAAAGTATTAAATATTTCTGTTTTTGAGGATGATGAGAAGAGTGTTATAACTTTTGTCCTTTTCTCAGAATGTTGATCAAATAATGAAAAAGCATACTGAATGAATTAGAATGACCCATGTTTTGTCTAAACTGTTCGTGATGAGTCTTAAGCTCTATTTGGACAGGATTACTTTTACATGGGGAGGTGGATAATGCCAGTTACCACAGGACGTCTGTTATGTTTATTCGCATGGAATATTAAATGGAATAGAAATGGCTGCTCAATTTTCACATTGCCTTCATTCTAGAAAAAAGTAGAAAAAGCATCAAAACATTTAATTTAGCTATTATTTTATTTACCCTAACCATCTGTCTTGCTGTTTTAAATAAATGGACTGTGTCTTTGGCTCCACCATTAGCCAACAGCCAACTTCACTGCATTAAATTCAACATTTTTCTGTAATTTTTACATGTTCTGATTTGTAAATGTGAGGTAGGACAGTAAAGTTACATATCAGCTTGATTTTGGCCACAGAGAACACAAGTAAATGCTTTTTCAAGTGCCTCTATGTTAAGAAAATCTTTTTTTACAAAATAATATAGTGTTTTACTGGCAACTGAGTGGTTATCGGAGCCTTTCGGCTTGAACCTGTCTGGCCATTCTCTGTTGACCTTTCTTATTAACAAAGTGTTCCTGTCTGCAGAACTACCCCTTACTGGATGTTTTTTCATTATTGCGCCATTCTGGGTGAACTGTAGAGACTGAGGTCTGCGTAAAAATCACAGGAGATCAGCAGTTTTAGAAATACTCAAACCAGCCCGTCTGGCTCCAACTATCATGCTCCGGTCAAAATCAGACATTTTTTCCCCCATTCTGATGATGATTTTGAACTGGACTGCTGCCACACGATTGGCTGATTAGATTAATTGCATGAGCTTTAGCACCAGGCCTGTGGGGCTAGTGTTAGAAAGCAGTATTGTCATAAGTTTATCTACATATTAGATCAATTACAGCACTGTAATGACACCGGTGTGGTGGTTAGTATGTGTTGCGCTGATATGAGTGGATCAGACACAGTAGTGCTACTAGACTTTTTAAACACTGTCCACCCACTTTCCACTCTGCTCGACAGTCCTATCTTGTTGCCTGACCTTGTAGATGTAAAGTCAGAGACATCGTCTAGTCCTTCATTAGTGGTCACAGAAAGCTGCCCACAAAACACTGTTGGCTGGATGTTTTTGGTTGATGGATTATTCTCAGTCCAGCAGTGACACTGAGGTGTTAAAAACTCCAGCAGCACTGCTGTGTCTGATCCACCCGTACCAGCGCAACACAAACTAAAACCGGGTCCTGACCAGTGAAGAACAGGGTGGAAGGGGACTAACAGAGTATGCAGGAAAACAGATGGACTACAGTCTGTATCTACAAAGTGCACTTATATGGTAAGGAGAGCTGATAAAATGGACATTGAGTGTAGAAACAAGGAGTTGGTTTTAATGTTGTGGCTGATTGGTATCCAATCATAGTCCAAAGATAAACAACTATCGCCAAATTGGTAACTTAAAGGAGAGGGCAAAAACCTTCTTTACCTGTAATGTAAGTCACTGTAAAGAGAGGTTACTTCAATCAATTTTGGAGGATTTCTTTTGGTCCATTTATCTTGAAATGTCCACACAGTGTAAAGGACAGCTGCTGAGCTCAAATGATGTAGAAAAAAAATAAAATAGTGTCCCTTTTATAATTTTTGGACAGCAACTATATACACATATATATATATATATATATATATATATATATATATATATATATATATATATATATATATATATATATATATATATATATAGTGTGTGTGTGTGTGTGTGTGTGTGTTAGACTGATATATGTACCTACTCACAGACCAACTACACTACACACATTCAACCTCTTTTCTCTCTTTCTACTACTTCTCTACTTTTATGCAAATAATGCACACTTGTGTCACCGTCTCTAAACAAAAGGGCTAGGATGGCAGCTCCGCCCTGTTTTAAACATAGATGTTATCTTTGGTATTTTAGCGGTGGCTCATTGTGCCAGTTGTTTATTAGCATGTTTCTGGGAAATGCTTAGGTATTTCCCTTTTATAATCAGGGACCTTAAATCTCTCTATCTCACTTCACTAAACACATTAAGTGTCGGTTGTGTACCAGACTGTAACCCGAGCAACAAGTAGTTGTCTAATTCTCTTTCAAAGGAGATGTTAACCCTAACTATAGTGGCTGTGAGCCGCTATTCGTGGCACCTTTCTCTAATAACCCCTTTTATACAGAAATAAATTTTTCTGATCCAAATTTTCTTTTGAAACAAAACATAGCACATTAGCATATACAGTCTCCACTTCGAAACCCATAAAATGAATATTAATAATGACATCTTTATTTACAGAGCACTTTTCATACCTGTGACAGCTTACAGGTGCTTTACAGAGAGGTGAAGAGAAGAAACTTCACAGATTAAATTAAAAAGATAATAGTAAATAGACATAGGGTTTTTATTAAATGCTAAGCTAAAGAGTTTTTAAATGTTTCTTAAAAGTGTCAACTGAGGTTGACTCTCTAGTAAAAGGTGAAAATGAGTTCCACAGTTTAGAAGCATAATAACCGAAAAGAGGCCTCTCCACATTTTCTATATTTTACGGAAGGTATTTGCAGAAGACCAGTCTCAGCAGATCATGTATTGGAACATATTCTGTGAGGTAAGCAGGTGCTAGGTTATTTAGAGGCTTAAAAAGTAGTAGCAGAACTCTTAAATCTATCCTAAAACATACAGGTAGCCAATGCAATGCTTTCAAAACAGGAGCTCTTTTTTTGTTTTTGTTAGGATGTGTGCTGCCACATTTTGTATGAGTTGTAGAGGATGTATTGTTTTCTCAGCAAGTCCAGTAAGAAGAGCATTCATCAACGCTACTTGTAAAAAATGTGTGAACAAGTTTCACTGCATTGCTCTGAGATAGAAAAGGCAGAATTTTAGCAATATTTCTAAAGTGATAAAGAGCTACTTTAGTGACTGTGTTTACATGCAGGATAAACCAGAGCTCACAGTCTAAGATCACACCCAGATTTTGTACTTCAGGTTTGGTATACAAAGCTAAAGAACCAAACATCTCATATAGCATTTATCTTTGAGTTTGAGTACCAAGGATCAGTATTTCAGTTTTTGTGATTTTTGTGACATCCACTAAGAAATATCTAACACACACCCATAAGCCTGTCAGTGGAGTTATCAGAGTATGGAAAATGTGTGATTGTGTGTCATCAGCTATAAAAATTGATATTGTGTTTCCTAATGACATCATATGGTTTCAACCATTCCAAAACGGTGCCTGAGAGGCTGACCCAGTATTTAAGATGGTGGTTCAGAATCTTGTGGTCAGTGGTATCAAAGCTGCATTAAGATCCAATAAGACCACAATACAAGGATTTTGTGTATCGGCAATGCTGTCTCAGTATGATGGTTAGAATAAAAACCTGAATGAAACTTCTCATATAACTTGTGTTATTAGATGTGCATTTAGTTGCAACTTAAAAACAACTTTTTCTAAGACTTAAAAAAAGAAAGAAAAAAGCATCTGTTGACAGAGAATAATTAACAATAGTTATGACATCATTTTGAACACAGTCAAAAATGCTCAGGGTCAAGATCACATGTGGACAAACTTATTTTTTTGTAACAAGTATAAGCTCCTGATTATTGTTAACAGAGGAAGATGTCATTACTGATCCAGATGGCTTATCAGGAAGGTGATAGGAACTTGTTTCAGTAGGCTGAATTATCCTCTACCTTATAAAAACTCTTTTATTTTGAAAATGAATTCCAAACTCTTCACAAATTTTAGAAGATAAATCACCATCTGACACTTATCTTTGTGTTTGTTAATTAGAATTATTAATTAATTAGAGAGGTATGATTGTCTGGATGTTATCATAGCGTTATTGTAGGTGGAGATCTGCTTTTTGAGCATATCATAATGTACCTGTAGGTGAGTTTTCCTCTATGTGTGATCTGATTTATGATAGAAAAGAGTCAGAACTGTATTTGATGCACTACTGTCAGTGTTTTTAAACTTGTCAACAGTTTAAAACAAAATCAGTCTAACTTCTTTTCAAATAAGTGTCTGGCATTTCCTTCTTTATTTCTGTATTGACTTTGAAGAATATAGAGAGATGATCTGATAAGATAACATCAGAAATAAGGGACACGTTTGTGTTTAAATCTTTACTGATTACCAGATCCAGGATTGCATTACTATCTGCTGGATTATCAGTATGTAAGTTGCCAGAGAGAATAATTTTATCATGGCTTGTGGATACCATTTGATATTCATTTAGCAAATTCTGCCAAAAAATTACTGTTTTGCTTTGGAGGTCTATATATTACAATTAATAACACAGAAGTCATAAATTCACCAACAGTGGTACTTTTGGAGTTAAAGTCACTATACTATACTATACTATAAATGCATGCCACTCCTCCTCTCCTGCCCTGTCTTACTGTATGAATAAATCTGTTTTCAGGAGCAGCTTCAAGTTGCTGTGTCATTTTCATCTGGCCACATTTCTGACAGAAACATAATCAAGCTTACACTCCTTATTAAGATCTTGAATCAGAAAAGCACTTACCTCTCTGCTTTTGTCACTACCTATCACTATCACTGTCTCTCTCTATCCTTTATTTACCACCGTAACGTCCAGTTGCTCACATTTTTATCGCACGAGCCTCGGAAACCAGCAGTGGTGCATGTAGAGCCTGCTTAACACCTCGCTTCCTCTCCTGTATGTGGGCAGGGGTCTGAGATGAGGATCCTGGTCTTGGTCTTCTTCTTAATTGTTACTAGAAGTAAACCAAAATCTCCTTTAGGACTTTGCTTTAATGGGATGAGATGTCATTCACCCCTTCATGAATGGCCATAGTGCCATCCTTGTGTTTGCTCGGAGCTGTGGGAATGAGATATTCCTGAAAAACAAGACATAGCAGTGTTACCTCTAGAACCAGCCACTTTCACGTGTCTTAACGATGAAGTCTTTGATCACTAAAACACTGCCCTGAGTCGTTGTTTAGGGCCACTGAGGGAGGTGGAGAGCTGATGGCTTCAAACAGGTTGCTGGAGGTGAAGTCTGGCAGAGGAGGTGGCAGAGACCTTCTTTTCCCCAGCCATGCTAGCGTTCAAAATGTATTATTTGTCAACAGGTCTAAAAGGAAAAATGCTGTTTGCATACGTGTTCAGCCCCTCAAAACCACCTTTTAGAACCACCTTTTGCTGTAATAATGGCTATTGATGCAAATTTCTACCAGCTTTGCAGACTGTTAGGAAGAGATTTTCTCCCATTCTTCCTGGCAGATTTGTTCCAGGTGGTACTGGTTGGTTGGATGACGCTTGTGGACAGCAGTTTTCAAATAATGCCAAACATTCACCACTCCTGTATTTCTTTGGCCTTGTGCTTATTGTCCTGCTGTAAGGTTAAATTTTTCCCAAGCTTTAGTTTTTAGCAGATTGAAGCAGGATGTCCACTCATACTTCATCTGGGTCACTGATGCTTTCTGGCCAACTCCACATGTAATTTGATGTTTTTTTTTCCTTCAGTAATGGCTTCTTTCTAGCCACCCTCCCATACAGGCAAGAGATTTTGATGTCAATGACTGATGCCCCTTCACTCCAGTCTCAGCCACTGAACTCTGTAACTCCTTCAGAGTGATTGTTTGCCTGTTTGTGCCTTTGCTCAGTCTCATTCTTGCTCTGATACTGAGTTTTGACAGATGGCCTTGTCTAGGCAGTGCCTGGGTGGTATGATGCAGCTTCTGTTTCCTCACAATTGATCGACCTGTGCTGACTGAGCTGTCCGAACACTTTGATATTACTTTATGGCCTCTTCCTATCTTGTGCATGTCTTTAACCTTATCTCTGTTTGCGTTAGAATGCCCTTTAGTCTTCATTTTCACAGCTTTACTTCAGATTCACAGTCTAACAAAAGGTACTTGAATTTGAACTTATCTAGGAAAGGTGAGCTTTTTTAATGATTCAGAAGTGGAGGCCAATTCCAAACCAACTGTGTCCTTGTTAGGACAATATCTTTAATCTGTGAAGAGTATTTCATTACGTAAAACCAATATGATGTTTGAGTGATGAATTTTGAGGGTCAGTCTTTTAAAATAAAATATGACAAAACACTTTTTTTTGTGTGTGTGTGTGGCAGGAGCTTATGAGCTCATCAAAAATGTTTCTGATGAACGAGCTGTGAGTGCTTTAGCTATTAAAAATCTGTCAGTGCCGCTGTAAACATCTAGTAGATCTTACACTACATGATTCATCAGTGAAAACTTCAAACACACTTGAAAGTTATTGGTAAAACATTGGATGTTACAGATAACCTGTATGTGCATGTGTTTGCAGGCAGTACACTGATCACGGTAGGCGAGTATCAGAAGAAGCTTGGCGGTGCAGAGAGAGAGTTCTTACAAGCATCGGCTGTCAGTTTTCTCACTCCTCTCCGGAACTTTCTAGAGGGCGACTGGAGAACTATCTCGGTGAGTTGTCATGGGATTTTAGATCTATGTGGCTCACGTGTAGTGAGAAGATTTTTATTTGTTTTCCCATCATGTGGTTTTAGAAAATAATAATGTCCAACGCATCCTGTTATTCAGCTTTAACCAACGGTTGTTGTTTACAGTAAAGTAGGAGTTTTCATTGGGAAATTTAACCTACTAATGCAGAGTTTCTGAACTGCCAGTCTGGCACACTACAGTCGATGTATAAGCCTGTGGAGGAAAAAAGGCCAGGGGCTGTGTTAAAGAAACATTCAAACTTTAAAGTTTGATCTTATCTGTTCAGCCACCATAACAACGTCAGTTAGGACCGAGTTTGTGGTAATAGCTATAACAGAATAACAGTTCCCAAGTTAATAACCTTAACCAAACTCCAGATAAGAACAGTACTACAGAGGCAGGAAAAAAAAGAGAATTTTATCGTTTTTAGGCAGCTGTTACAAACATACACCGATCAGGCATAACATTATGACCACCTCCTTGTTTCTACGCTCATTGTCCATTTTATCAGCTCCACTTACTATATAGGTGCACTTTGTAGTTCTACAATTACAGACTGTAGTCCATCTGTTGCTCTGCATACTTGGTTAGCCCCCTTTTACCCTGTTTCTCAGTGGTCAGGACCCCCATGGACCCTCACAAAGCAGGTACTATTTGGGTGGTGGATCATTCTCAGCACTGCAGTAACACTGATGTGGTGGTGGTGTGTTAGTGTGTGTTGCGCTGGTCTGAGTGGATCAGACACAGCAGTGCTGCTGGAGGTTTTAAACACCTCAGTGTCACTGCTGGACTGAGAATAGTCCACCAACCAAAAATATCCAGCCAACAGCATCCTGTGGGCAGTGTCCTGTGACCACTGATGAAGGACTACAAGATGACCAACACAAACTATGCAGCAGCAGATGAGCTACTGTCTCTGACTTTACATCTATTGGGTGGACTGACAAGGTAGGAGTGTCTAATTGAGTGGACAGTGAGTGGACACAGTGTTTAAAAACTCCAGCAGCACTGCTGTGTCTGATCCAATCAGACCAGCGCAGCACACACTAACACACCACCACCACATTAGTGTTACTGCAGTGCTGAGAATGATCCACCACCCAAATAGTACCTGCTTTGTGAGGGTCCATGGGGGTCCTGACCACTGAGAAACAGGGTAAAAGGGGGCTAACCAAGTATGCAGAGCAACAGATGCACTACAGTCTGTAATTGTAGAACTACACAGTGCACCTATACAGTAAGTGGAGCTGATAAAATGGACAATGAGTGTAGAAACAAGGGGGGTGGTCATAATGTTATGCCTGATCAGTGTAAGTTCACTAACATAAACTTGCATCAGCCATTACATTTATTTATGTTACCAAATGGTGGTTTCAATTGATTTGTGCTTTTAAATCTGCAGTTCAAAAAATCACAAGGCAGTCACAAAATTTTTTTTGATTGAGGTTACTTAAACTTCCAGTTCATTACACTTTAGTTTTGTTTTCCTTTTCATTTTTACATATGGTAGCTATTCAGTGGAGTTGGTCCCCCTACAACAGCCTCCACTATTTTTGGAAGGCTTTCCACAAGATTTTGGAGTGTCTGTGGGAATTTATACCTATTCAAGTCAAAAGAGCTCACAATCGACGTTCTAATTAATCCCAAAGTTGTTCAGTAGGCTTGAGGTCAGGGCTTTGTGCAGCCACTGGAGTTCCTCCACACCAAACTCGTCAAACCATGTCTTTATGGCCTAGTCACGCTGGAGCAGGAAAGGACATTTCCCAAACTGCAGGAAGCATATAATTGTCTAAAATGTTTTTGTGTACCGTAGTATCAACATTACCCTTCTAACTAAGGGGCTAAGCCCAAACCCTAAAAAACTGCCCCAGACCATTATTACTCCTCCACCAATCCTTACTGTTGGCATTGTGCATTCAAGCAGAAAATGTTCTTCTGGCAACCTCTAAACCCAGCTTTGTTCATCAAACTGGCATGTAGTGAAGTGTGAGTCATCAACTCCAGAAAACACAGAATCCAGTGGTGGCATGCTTTACACCGCTCCAGCCAACACATCGTGCATAGTGATCTTGTGCTTGTGCACAGCTGCTCGCCATGGAAACACATTTCATGAAGCTTGTGACACACAGTTATTGTGCTGATGTTGCTTGCAGAGGCCGTTTGAAACTGTAGTGAGTGATGCTACAGGGGATTTTTATGTTCTATGTGCTTCAGAACTTGCTGGTCCCACTCTATGAGTTTGCCTGGTCTGCGACTTCATAGCTGAGCTGTTGTTGCTCCATTTAACAAACTTAGCACTTACCGTTGATGGGCAGAACTAGCACGGCAGAAACTGAATACTGACATGTTTCAAAAGTGGCATCCTATGACAATGCCAAGTTTAAAGTCTCTGAGCTCTTTCATGCGATTCATTCTACTGCCAGTGTTTGTCTCTGGAGACTGGATGACTTTGTGCTTGACTATATACACCTATTAGCAATGGGTGAGTCTGAAACACCTGAACTCAATAGTTAGGAGGGGTGTCCACACCAGAGCCATATAGAGAGAGAGTAGTGTCATCTCCGTTCACTCCAGTGGACCATTTTTTTACAGCAATGGTGGATCGTGGAGCCTCTCAATAGTTTCCGGAAGTTAGCAGCAAATACTAGCAGCGCAACCGAGTTGCAGCAGAATAGACCGGTTGTGATGCACTTTTAAAAGGTAAGACATTTTAAAGAATCAGTTTGTACATAATAAGCACATCTGAATCAAATTAACATGTATATTAAAGTATGTCAGTGGATTATCCCCAATTTAAGAAACATTAACAGATAACAGATTAGGCTAGGATACTGAGTAAAGTTAGCAACCCATAATGTTAACCATAAACAGCCTAGTAATTGTAAAATCCCTGCTTTTAATGTCATTTCATCCACCATTGTTGAATCTTAGAAAAGGATTCTAAACGTGATTTTTCACAGGGTGGGTGGGAGTTAATATTAGTTAAATACAACATTGGGGCACGAGTTTGTAGAGTGGAGGTGGAGGAGTTAAAATGAGAATATCGTTATCCATTTTGGAGTACGAGCTAACGTAAGTTACACGATAAAAAGAAAGAGCTATTTTCGTGATACGTCACTATTGATGTGGATTTAGAGCGCATATTGGAGACTTTAAACAAATATAAGATGTATGTGTTGAGTGTTTGCAGGCTTTGTGATTCTGTTGACTGTTATCTGTACATTATGTTGCAGTTTAGTTGATTTTGGATTAATGGCAAGAACCGTTGGGGGATTCAACTCAGCCTAAAGACTCCCTACAATAAGACAGCACCCCCACCCTGCACCCTGAGTCTCAACTCCCTGGGTTTTGCAATTCTTTACCTGTTCCTTATTTTTAATAAACAAAACATTAAGCTTCCCAGTGGTGTGGCTTTTGTTTGTGAAACGTATGCAATGTCACGTTGTTGTAATCTTTTGTGATGGTAAGTAATTTAGTAATTGCTCCTGCTGACTTGAGCCAGCAGTTTTTTCTTCCCTGTTGTCAGTGGAGAAACATTTTTACTCCTTTCTCAGAGCGATTGAAGCATCTCCATGCAGCAGAGCAAACCATGGTGGGGACTATATGCAAGGACAACATGGAGAAAAGGGCACAGACAAACTGCTTGCCATGCTATTCATGTTTGAGTTCGTTATAGCTTTATTTAATGAATCCATCGCAGTAAATATGTGCATAGTAAAAATACAAGATACATAAAATATGTTTAAATGTGTACAAACAAATATAAATAGACGTGTTTTGTTATGTCCTGTCCTGTCTGGATGTGATGTATTTTAATGTACGTTTTTTAATACAGATTTTTTCATATGCAACCCAAACAAATTTCTTTGGCTCCTTCTCCTTCTGTCCTTTTGGAAAGTCATAGAGATTACAGTAGTCATCAAGTCATTAAAATGATCTAGGCCTTGGGATTACTGAAACAACCATTAATTAAAGATGTATTTATGTTAATTATATTTATTTATGTTGAAAAGTAATCTGATCTCAATTTTGAAACATTCCTTCTTTTCCCCTCCCTCTCAATATATCAATAATTATCAATAAATATTAGGATATGACCTATCTTAACTACCATACAAGTTTAAGAACATAATATCTATAATACTGAAAAGTCAAAGCAATGAAACAACAGAAACACACTTTGAAACCATGTTCACATTGACCCAACATGTCAACAAGGCAAGTAATACAGCGTTTAATCCTCAAATAGTAGCGAATTTGACTTTAAAATATATCTTATTGTTGTAACTACACACACACACATTGTTCCAAAAGACGCAGTTCTGTCGCTGAGTGTTCATGGGTTTAAATTGCCCGCAAAGAACTTCCTGGAACTATCTGAAGTCTACGTGAATCACGTGACCAAGCATTTTGAACTTCCGTTGACGCGACTCTCTCTACATGGCTCTGGTCCACGCAATTTGGGCCATATAGTTTAACCTAGATTTTTTTTTCATTCTTTTGAGTATGTGTGCACATCGTTGGTTGCTTGGTAAGAGATATAACAAACGATTATCAACCTCCATTGAGTGGATTAGATTTCCTATGCTGTAAAACAAGACATTATTCCTAAATTAAGATTAAGGATTTGCTTCTGTAGTACACATTAATGAAAAATCTTTATCTTAATCTTGTCAAACCTGAACTTAGGACTAAAGATAGGAAATTTTAGAGCTTCATTTGTAGGAAATAATCACACTGGAATTGAAGTTGCAATTTTGGTCAGAAAAAGCACAATTACATATTCTCCCCAAAGCATTCAGCCCTTCAAAAAGCACAGATATTGAAAGAAGACTCATGCTCTGTTTCTGTTTACAGAAAGAGAGAAGGCTACTGGAGAACCGGCGCCTTGACCTAGACGTCTGCAAAGCACGGCTGAAGAAAGCCAAGCTAGCTGAGGCCAAGGCTGCTGTGAGTCATTTTGTCTCTTGACCTTCTTGACAGCTGTCCCCTCTGTTTCTGGATCCACCCTTGTCTTCTCCCAGTAACTTCCATTTCCCCAAAATTTCACCTCTCCATTTCCACAACTTGTGTCCAATCGGCTGCTGCCACAGCGAGGAGCCACCAGTTGTGCAGCGCTGCCTGATGAATCAGTGCCTTGCATAATGGAACCACGTGGGAAGTGTGTGGTTAAGTGTGCACTCGTGACTGAGTTGCATCAGCACAGCAAGCCTCCAGACAAACCCCTTCCCTGCCAAAATCATTCCTGGAACTCATGTAATAGCAAGGGAAGTTGACTAGCCATTGTGCAGAATGTCTTCTTTAATACCTCTTAGTCATGAACACTTCTGCCTCACTCGGCTTGGGCTTATCATTTTTAGTGCAGCCAATTCACCTCTTTGCCCTTAAGCTTTTTTAAGCTTGTAACAGGATAAGTAATTTCACATTATGTCACAATCTGTCTAGCTGTTTAAATCAGAATCGACTTACAGTGGTGTTCTTTTAGTTGCATAAATGTTTGATGAGTCAGAAATTCTTTAGTAGGGATGCCAGTCTGAGCCACATTTATCACTGAGAGCTGTTTTTATGCAGGGACAGTTTAGTATGAATGGAAAACTGACTCAGGATCTTGAGACCACTAGCCTTGTCTAAACTGATCGCACAAATGAGACCACTATGTAGGGGTGGGCGATATGGCAAAAATATAGCGTCATGATACTTTACGACATCTTCATTTTCTAAGGTTTGATAAGTTGAGGCATACAAAAAAAGAATCATTGGTGCCGCGTAAAAAAATACTATCATAACCTCTGAATACTTTTATTCATTATTTTGAACTAAATTCAGTTAAACAGCCCAAATTATGCTCTTTGTAATAAAACTTGCAATTGTACTTTAAGTAGTGATTATATCCGTGTTATGTTCAAACGAATTAATTATGATGTAGTGCAGTGTTTCCCACATATTTTAAATACAACTTGGTGCTGAGTGTGGTGGACTGTGGTGGGAAGACACTGATTCAAAAGCAGAAGTAAATAACAAAATTCTTAATATTATATATTTTTAACAATTAGATTTGGGTATTAACAAAAGCAGTTTGTAGGTATTGCAGTTACTTACAAATATTCATAACACTAGGACTCTAAGCCTAATTTATATGTGTATGTTCTTTGAGCACAAGTGATGTATTTTTCCACTTTGAAGCTATATACTGGCATGTAGATACATATATTGGATGGTTTGACCTCCTGCCTACCTGGCAACTTTCAACACTATAAAAGATTGTTTTTGTTTTTGTTTTTATTTATTTATTTATTTATAAATAATGGTTTCTTTTTGCTACAGCAGGATGCAGTACAGTCTGCTAGCTGTTTTCTGTTTAACTATTTGGCAGGAGAATAACAGTGAACTAAAGTATGTTATGAGTTACAGAAAACAACATAACTGCTGACAAAACGCGCTGTAGACTCGAATATCGCCTTTTACTCAAATATCGACCACTGAGATGAAAAAATTAATGAATAAAAATCCACCTCCCTAAGATACAGCCTTTTCTTCTGACTGTATTTCAGTAAACTTTAAACTAGCTAAATGACAGCAAAGTGATTCTCTGTGAATTTGCACACAGAGTACCTGAGCTAGGAGTCTCTCTCCTCCTCCTCCTCCACATGTGGCTTCTCATTAAAATGTTTCTCAGTACTCATCTATTAAAGGGGAATTCCACCAGCTTTCCAAAATTTCCACATAATTCAGTCGCTGAGATGTAAGTAAAGTTATTCGAGTGGTTTGGCATGAAATTTTCTGTTTTAGAGAAACTTCAGAAAACCTGATTTCTTTAAAGTGTTGGTGATATTAGCTGGGGGTTGCAATTTTATTTACTATTCAAAACCTACATTGAGTTTTTATATGTAATTTTGATTTTGGGGTGGGGGTGGTGTATTTTGAATTACACCACTGTGCATGTACATGTAATCTGCTATGAACAGGTTTAAACAGGTCCAAAAAAAGTGTTTCATGGCAAAATCTTGAAAAAACTGACTATTGCAAAACTATCGTAAAACAATCTCTCCGAGGTCAGGTAGGATATTCATGATTTCTCCTTGTAAAAAAACTTGACCTTTTAGACCTTTTTAGAGGTGGACTTTCGGTTCCTGTTACCATCACCACAATTCTGTACATTTCTCTGTAATGGAGCTTTTTACGTCAAACCATTCTGGATGGCTTTGTTTACAACGTAACCATTTAATTATATGGAAGTTTTAAAAAATCTTAAGCAAACTCAATATTTACTTCACTGTCTTTCGCTCGCTTCCTCCCCATGAGACGAACTGCATGCCTGTAGCACTCAAAAGCATGTTTTTTCTTTTTTCTTAAAAAAGGATGAATAAAAATGCTCAATATTTTTTTTTTCAGTTGAAATATAATTTGTTGGGTGTCCAAATACCTTGGTGTGGGAAACACTGCGCAGTATGACGTAACATATCATGATAATAATAAGTATTGTCATATTGGCCACCCCGACTGCAATGCTTATCAATATTTAATTGCTTTCAAATTGCTGCCCTTGTGTTAAACCAGCCCAGGTGAATACCCTGAACAAGCTGCTACTTTCCATATTTCTGGTTTTTAGGTAAATCTGTCTGTGTTTACGTGTGAAGAGAGCAGTCCTGTACTTCCTCTTATGTGCACTAATTTGTATCTTTGTCATTTGTACAGTGTGAGGGAGATGTGAGTACCGTTTTGTGTGTGTGTGTGTGTGTGTAAGACCGTGTTCATCCCGCTTCTTGTTTCTCTCTCGTTTCCCCTGGTTTAACCTTTGCATTGACTTTCCCCTCTCTTTTCCAGTCAACCAAGTTCCATGTCTGTTAAAAAGAGCAATCGTGGAAAAAACCTGTACAGAAATAGCTGGACTACGCTTTATTAAGCCAGGGTCACAAAAATAACAGTACACAGTATGCATTTGCTTTTTATAGCACACTGTATATAGCATGCTGTATTCATATGCCTTTTTCACATTTTACAGGTACATCGGATATATTTGCTGATAAAATTAGCCAGCAGGGCTGTCGAAATGAAACTCAAAATTTGCATAGTCATCAAATTCAATGAAGAAAAAAAACCACTTTCAAAATGTCAGATGTTTAAATCTATCTCTGTTGTAGCTCCCAGACCAGTAAATCACACACAACAGCTATGAAACTGAAGAGTAAGCCATTGCTTAAGAAAAATTAAAACAGCTGTCTATTTTTGCCCTAAATTAGGTATTTAATTGTATCTTTGCAAACATCTGACAGCTCTTTAGCGACTCTGCCACTTACAGCTTTTTTTCAGAGTGGCAAAGTGTAGAAAAGTGTAGTTAGCATGTCCACACAATCCAGTCAAACTGGCTGCCTGCCTACACTCGCTTCAAAACTTGCTTCAGTGTGCACACAGGGTAATAGGCGAAAATACTTTCTTTGCGTCTGTATACTGTCTGCTTCTAAAGACTGAATTGCTTTGGACAAGCCAACGCTCCAAAGGAAGGTGCTCTGTAGTATATAATTTCTCTGTAGCTAATAATCACGTAATGTTTGCACACACAAAGTAGTAAAGTAAGCTGCTGGTTTAGCTATCTGGCTAAGTAATGCTGTACCGTGCAGCCACCTGTGCTAGATGGATACTTTCTTTGCCTCAACTCTGCATTCAATCACACAACCACTCGCCATTTTTCTGGTGTGGAATGCAGTCTCACTGGTCTAGGGGGTTTTATGTAAAGATCATTCCCAAAAATAGTATCAAATAAGAGTTTTTGTGGCTCCAGGCTGAAAAACACTGTTTTATAACACTGTTGGGTTGTGTTAGGATGATTGATATTTGAAATTTGGGTGCCCACGTATAGATTTATGACACAACACTGTCATTGAAAAATGCCATTCACTGCATTTATCTTCTTGATAATTGATGTAATTACAATTCAAATACATTAGAATATTTGACCAACAAACTAGGGCAAAATTTGAATTTTATTGAAGCCCATTTGACAGCTCTATCAGCTAGTATTAAGTTTCAGTCAATAGTTTAATATCAGTAAAAATCTCACCAACAAAGTACCAATATAGATGTTGTTCCGCCAGTTGGTAGTCAAAAGTCACTGACTTTAGTTACAGGCTGAACTAGCAAACATCATGGTTAAAGTAACAAAAATGTGTTAAATCCTTTCAGATTCAGCCCTTCACATGATGACAGCGCACAACTGATGAAAGTTTTTAAAAATAAGAGCTAATTATCATAAACTCAAATAATTATAAACCCAAATAAAAAAAGCATTATGGGAAGCTCTGCCCCGGTGCTACAGTATTTATATAACTGAAGACTGTTGAGACTGTTGACTCAATGACTTGAAAACTGACACGCAACTGCACACAGGTCACCACGCTTGCTAACCGCATCCAAATGGATGATTTTTTTGTCTCCAGTCTTCCTTACCAGCCTCGGTCATGGCCATATGGCAAGGCAACGCAGTCTGCAAATGTCAAATTTGACTATGACTCCATCAGACCTGCTGGACTTTACTGGCAAGGGGACGTTAAGGGAGGGAAGGTCTGAATGATTCATTAGCAGGCACTATGACGTTTATGAGACCTAAGCTATGACTCAGTAAGCACAGCTGGTGAGCTGACAACAACAAAATACATATATTACAGCTGGCAAGTGTTATTTAGAGTTCTGTACAAGCCAAGCTTTAAATCTCACTCCGAAGCATACTTATTTTGTCATTTTATTATGCACAGCCTGTTTCTAATTCTGTATTATTCTGTGGTTGCTTTAAGACTACACAGGAAGCACCGCTTCCCCTACAGTGTCATCATAACACGGCACTGAATATGTATTTCTCATAATTCATTGTTTTTAGCATATACAGTGCAAGTGTGAAATATCTACTGTCACTGGATTCTGGTGCTGTTTGTATGTTTACCACGAGCTACGTATTACAGACTGCATGAATTTGTTTGCAGAAATCACTGGGACGCATAAATACATGCTGTTTTATGCTTATCGGACGACAATGTTTATCGTACAACAGGCTTCGTACAACAGATTCAGAGTAGAAAATCACACAGATGTGAATCGGCTGGCACTGTGAAGCGGTGTTGGCGGTGTGCCCTCAAGCAAACAATGTGATCGGCTCAGTAATTGACATCAGCTTTAATGACATTTAAAGGAGTCAGCTGTTTCTGCTTATTCTCTGCATTCCTCCTGTTCCTTTCGTCTTCTCAGTTTCTCTGTGTTCTTCCAGGATAGGAGGGGGAGGAAAGTAGCAGTAGCAAAAGTTTCCTGATGCAGCCACTGCAATGTTAATAACTGACATTGACTCAGACTAAAAGTGGTTTGCTGAATGGCTGCTTAGTGTTGCAGGGGGTTGTTCAAAACTAGCATTAGTGTCACTGGCTCTATATAACTTGATATAACTAATCACTTAAAATATTGTGAATAAATTGTAAATACAGAGTTCTGAGAATGGTTATGTACTTTTGTTTGGCAAGTGAACTAGTAACGGTAGCTTTTGTAAGTGTGTAAGCTGTAGCTGTTATTTGAAGGTAGATCACTTGTCAGAAAATTGTTCTAAATAGATAATTACACAAAGTTTATGATTTTGTAGTGTTTTGTTGGTCCCAAAAATATCCAGCAGCCAAGAAACTCCACAATCGGTAATAAATGTGGTGTTTCGCTTTCTAATTTTCTTCAGACTATGGCAGAATTTGTTTGTATCAACGTAATTAATAGTATTTGATGATTTGTGTGTTAATTGCTAAAAAACTTAGTCAGTGGGCTCAGTGTAAAATGTCTACTGTAATTTAGTAATGTTAGTTAATGTGACCCACATATAAGGTAGCATAATGATTCTATAGATAATGCATCATCTGCATTTAGGAAGAACAGTGTTAAACAGACTTAAGAAGGTTTAAGTTGCAAATGAACTTTTTGTAGTTAACCAAAGAATTACTGATTACAATAAAATATATAATTAATTATTATAATGAAAATGCCTAGACTGGATAGAGATCTAGATTTATTTGCAACAATCAGTCAAAAATACTGATATTGGCAAAATTGAAGAATTTGAATGTTTTTGTTTTTCAGTTAAGGTCCAAGACCCCTGATGTAAGATAAAGTTAAGCTTTTAAGAAAAACCCTAGAGTTCACCCAGTAAAACCTTTCCACCCCTGTCAGTAACGACAGTTATTAAAAAACAGTGGGGCAGATTGTCTGTTTGAATATGAAAATTAATACAATGGTTTAGAAAATCCAGTTGCAGCCCACAGCTGTTAATATTCTAGTAAGGCAGAGTGATGAGTCCTCCTAATCTGATTATTTGGGTAACTGAACTCTTGAGCACTAAAGCAACACATATGGGTGCCAGTATGATAAAAATGCTTGGATCATGTCCACAGAATGCCTTATGCAACAGCCCAAGGGTTTTTCCCCTTTTGACTTTCACACTCATTTACTTCTAACATGACGTCTGATGTGAAAAGGGCAGCACCTGACCTTACATTCACAATCATGCACACCTGACAAAGTACAGTAGATTTAATCTCTTAACCTACAGCCATACTGTTCAGTTACTAATAATTAGATGCACACTTATTATTCAGTAACTGTTTTGAATTATTCAAGTAACAATTAGCTCTGAAGCTGATGTATAAACTAATGTAATAGGAGTGAGCATTTGAAGTGTGGGGTACAAACAACCATACAAACAGATAGAGCAATGTGGTATGTCCTGCTAAATATGAAACGGAATGTTGACAATACAAAATAATACACAGGTGGGATTAGATTTACATGGGGAGGTGGGGTAATGTAAGTATTACCAGTGATTCAATTCCAGCATCCTTTATCTGTAATACGAAACAAATCATGGAAATAACCACGGTTATATTAATACAGTGCAAACTGACAGTAAATATTCCATGATTTTCTGTGAAAAGAGTTTTCACATCTAGAGGCACTTGAAGCATTTCAAGTGAAGCATTTCAAGTCAAAATCAAGTTGATATTCATTGTCCTACCTAAAAATACGTCTCAGAACATTAAAACCTTGACAATAACAGAAGTTCTGCTTCATGCGATGATGTTGACTGTTGGCAGTAATTCTCAAGCTAATGACACATTGCGTTCACTTAAAGGAATCGTTTGGAGAAAAATTACATTTACATGATTTTCCGCTTGCCCAAATGCAAATGATCAGCCAGCATATGCTTGATGTTCAATTTGTTTGTCTTTAGTTCAGAAACTGGAGCTGCTAGCCTACCAGTGCTAAAAAAAAAAACACTGGAAGTCAGCAGTCACACTACAGTTTCCATAAATACTTACTTTGCAACCTCTTAATTCAAGTGGCACAGACAAGTCAATGGGGTTTAGAACACAGTATGACTTACTATGAACTACACAAATGCAAAAAAAACAAACAAACAACTTCTCTGTGTAGCTAAAAGAAGGCAGTCATTTAGGATAACAGGAATCACTTATTCCTGAGCATAATTCTGTATCTGTGAATGATTACGAATTTGAGAATCACATTTTTCCATACAAATGAGGTTTAGCTATACATGTTTAAACCTGAATGTACAGATGAAGAAAGGTGTCAGGTGGAAGTTGAGTCCGCCAGCAACTCTAGCATAACAGTGGGTGAAGACAGAGGGTAAACACTGCTTACCAGGTTCACTTCTTTGAGGAGTCGTCTGTAAAAATATACTCAGTACAGCTTTAGTTTTTAGAATTTCCCACTTGGAGACCTTCAGATTGACAGATGAAAAATGATCACCACATGCACGGTAACTTTACAGAATGTTCCTCTTGCTCATTTGTGGTTAGTGCCAAAAGCTACAGCTTGGAGTCTGCATCAGTAAGAAATCAGTGGTAACGTACCAAGTAGATTTCTTTGTTCTGATCTAGCAAAATAGAACGCAACACCACAATTTTTTAGGTTCATTATTGTATCATTATTCAATATGCACTAAGCAACCACACAACAAATTGGTGCTTTATGGCCCTGCACTCCAGCCTCCCAGAGTTTGAAAGCAGAATAAGGAAAGCCAGACGATATGCAGATGATAATAATATAGTTCCAATTTTGGCTTAAGTGTAAATAACTAAAATAGTCTACCTACCTGTAGTACATATGAATTGTAATAGTAGCAGAGCCCTTGTTTATGGTATATAGTATCATTTTAATGGATTCTTTAGAGACCCATATACAGCAGATTTTCCACAATGAAGAAGATCGGCTTGTCTGTCATTTAATCACTCAAAAATTGTAATAAATAAAAAAAAATGCATTCAAATGGTTCTTTGAGCTGTCACTGTTCTGTACGGACAATTCTACAAGGCATTTACAAGATATTTACAAGTTATGTTGTGATAGAGATCAATAGAGATCAATATGTGGATCATTCTACCAAATTGGCTCAAAGTCACAGTTGAAAATATGTTTTGGACTTTTAACTGACTTGGACTTTATAATAAAATCCTCTTGCTTTAAATGACCCCAAACCTGAATTATGGTTACTTATTTAAAACAAATGATGCAACATTCAATTTTATCACTGCCAAAACAGTCATAATACTACAGAAACTTTACCAAATGTTTCAGTAGTGACAGTTTCAGTTTCAGTCTTTTTGACTTTGATCCAGTTTGGTAGAATGATCCACTGCCTTTACCAAAGAACCCCTGAAAAGACACTTTGGTAGGAGTGTCCAGTTTTATCTGCTAAGGGCCCGTGTGACTTCAGGCTTTCATTCCAGCAGTGCAGGAGCACACCTGATCAGCTGTTCAACTGGGATCAACTGATTAGACAAATATTCAGGAGTGCTCCAGCTTAATTGACATAAAAACCTACAGCCACATCGGCCCTGTGCAGATAGCATTGGACTCTCTTGGTGGAGGGTAAACAAAATTACATTTAAGTCAATGTTTGGGTATGTGAGCAGCTGAACATATTGCTTATGTTCAGCTGCTTATGTGTAGCCTCTCCCATTTCTGTCATTTGTATAAAGATTTCTTATTTGTTTGAATCGGTCATAAACATCACAGATGTCCTGCCGTGAAGTGACGTAACCCCACCTCCCCAATTGAAACTAATCCCTGACTCTTTAACTGCTGCTGCTTGTTTTTTGAGAATGGTGAAGGATTACTGTGTGGCTGTACATCTCATTTTTGGTTTGTTGCTTGCTTGCTTTGGTTTGAGTTGCCTTGTTTTTTTTGTTTTTTTCAGCTGAGTGTGCTGAGCCAGTTTTATGTGAATGCATGATTCTGTGTAAAATTCTGTTTCCCCCCTCCACCTTTAGGCTGCACCTGATTTTCAGGAGACTAGGCCACGCAATTATATTCTGTCTGCCAGTGCGTCTGCGGTAAGACTGCTGCAGAGAACATAGTCTCTCTCACTTTCTCTCTCTCTCTCTCTCTCTCTCTCTCTGTCTTCCCCAAACCTCCATCAAACAAAAAAAATGCACACCCACTCACTTTCAATAGCTTAATGATTCCCAAACACACCCATGTTCTGTATTCACATATTTCCTGCTTAAACAACCCATCTCACCTCCGCACTGTGAAATGTGAAAGCATATTTGTTTGGAGACTGGAATTTCCGAACGTTTTAAAGAACAAAAAGCAAAGTATAACGACATTTCCTTTTTGATTTCTTGTAAACCACTGTTATTGATACTAATGGCTGCACCACTAGCTGTAGGTAAGAATCACTGGGAAAGATGGGAGGATGGAAAGAAGAGAGAAAGAAGAGAATGAACGTGTTTGGACTTTTGCTGGGTCACTCTGTAAGAGACTTTACTTTTCTGTCCATCCTTCCATACACGGCCCATTCAGTGGGCTGATGAGTTTCAGGATCCGAGTGCGAAATGCTGAAAGAAAGGTGATTAATGTCATAGATGGAGAGAATCATGTTAAATGGTGGCTTAGTAATGTAGGCACTTCAAGCTGCAGTACGTAAATATTTGATTTTGTTAAAAATGAAAGCAGCATTACTGAGTCAGTAGGGGAAAACGTGTTTTTTCTGCTGCAGTGAGTCTCACACTAAAGCACATTTAAAGTTTAGAGCTGCCAGGTCTGATTTAGCAAGAGTTTTCTGGAATGTTTCCCATCGTGGCAGGACCTCCACGAGGCTTAAGAGATTATCATCCATCATCCGATCACGCCCCCTAGCTATTGCCAATTGACAATACTATCTGCAAAGACCCATTTCAATGCGACAGGTTGTGGTAACACCACAGGACCTAACATGCCTGCATAAACTGGACAAAATAAGCATGTTTCCTGGTCAGAAACTATTCTTTGTTAGAAACATTCTTTGTTCTCATTATGGTTTGGTAGTTTTTGCTATAGGTCTAATAAAGTTTGTGTTTACAGCCTATAAATCACTTTATAAATACAAATCACTGTTAAAATATATAAATAAAATAAAATGGCTAAAACATAACTATGAGAAGTTGCCTAAAGGCTACTGTTACTGTAGATAACCGCATTGTCTTTTTGTTTTTATTAAACTGATGTAATCACAAAGTAAAAATCCCTGTTCATGTTTTGTAAGGGAAGCTGTTCCATGCGTGGAAGGCATGACAACGGGTAGGGGAAAAAAAAAAGATCTACCTTGCTACAGGGCGGTCTGAAGCCAGACAACATATTAGAGCAGATTCAGAAAACATTAATTCTTACAAATATAATTGCTTTTGTGCATCTTAAAGATGCGAACAGTGTGTTTTCGGATATTTAAATCTTCTAACTTGATTGACAGTCACGATACTGTTGGCTATAATCATTCAGCTCAAGCCTAATCGATATACCAATAAGAGTCCTTGGGCTAGACTCCCAATGCTATATATGCTTACCATTGTATGTCGCACCATGGAGGGTACTTCGAAATGGTAAATACTGTCACACAAAATAATCCACTTGGGGGTGCACAGCACAGTTCGCGTTACAAATATGTTTTTCAAATTGCTTGCAATTACATATTCCAAATCCCCAAATGTACGTAGTGCAGCTTTAAAAGTGCTCAAGTATGAAGACCAGCTTAAAAAAAAGTAGGTTTGTGTCCTTTTAATTAGTTTGCTTAATTTATCTTCACTAGACTGTTCTGCTTGTAGAAAACACTTAGATCAGACTTAGGCCAACACTTGGTGTTGTAGATATGTTTCAAGATATTCATCAAATGTTGTATTTTGGTCACTGTTTTGCTGTTACTGTTTGTATGTCATGTTTCCACCCACTAGAATGTGTTTGGTGTGTGATGTGTTATGCGTATTGTGTAATGTTTTTGGGCGTGTAATTCATATCAAACTAAAATCAAATCACTATGCTTCTTTATGGAGGAGTCATGAAGAGATGGAAACTTCCTGACAAGTATTGCAAAGACTATGTGCTGTGGTGTGTAAAATCAACACATTGCCGTACTGCATTTGTCTGGTAACACTTTCCCGAAGGGCAGTGTTCATAAGGTTACATGGCACATACATACTCTTAATGACTGTTGACAAAAACCTAGTCTGATTTGGCAAGCAATGTCACGTTATCAAATTATGTCACTGAGACCTACACAGAGCTACAAAGTCAGTTGTTGTAACAGGTTGTCGTTTTACCCCAAAAAGTATCATGCGAGAATGTAACGACAGGTGAACTGACATAGATATTATGATTTAAAGCTGGCAAACGTGAAAGACTAATGTTGGATATAAACGTTACAGGTTTATGTCACTTGTCATGAGACGCCAACGTAGGTGCCATGGAGCCTTATGAACATTGTTCTACAGTAAAGTGTTACCTTTTTCCTTTTGATTATTTGTGCCTGGGTGGAAAAGAAATAAAATGACTGTGAGGGTAAATTGTATCACTTAATCATCATATGTGATTTGTGCATTTGTCTTGGGCCTTGAATTCCAAGCCATTGTGTCAGCCCACCAAAGCGGATTCAGGTGCCTTTAAGTGCAGGAAGTGTCTCCTAGCTTGCTGGTATGTAAACCAGACTCTTTCAACTCCAACCGTACGTAGTGGGTTAACCCTCTGTGTCTGGCATAAATATATAAAAATATTTATGGCATGGTAAATATTATGATGACATTACAGTATCAACTGGAAGAAAAATAAAAGTCTTCTTAGCACCATCATGTGGAATAAGAAAATACTGGATTTTAATATCTTACACTGCAGACTTCAGCACGCTAGCTCATTAAACACACCTGATTCAGCTCATCAACTAATTAGCAAGGCCTGCATTAACTGAATTCAGAGTGGTAGATGAGGGTAAACACTAGTCTCAGCAGCACTTTGGCCCAGATGGTCCCCAGTTTGACATGCATAGTTTAAAGGAAACCCTTTGTTTCAAGTGACATGAAAGTGTATAATCCCTGCCATTTTGCAGACTAAACAAGTGCCTGACTTTGCTAGCTAACAAGATTTCCTTACAGAATACAATGTGTTGCCCCCAGGCTATCTCAAAAAGTCTGTATCTTTTTTTTTTCTCCTACCAATAATATTTATTTCCTGATTGTACACAAAGACCCACCATATAAAGGAGTGAAAGAGACTGTGTTTATATATACCAAGGAACCCACTGGCAAAGAAGCTATAAGCACAGTGAATATGATGTCATCACACCCCATATTCCTGTGATGTTATTGATGTTAATGTCACCTCTCTTATCTGTTCTGCTGCGTGTAATCAGCTGTGGAGTGAAGAGGTGGACAAAGTGAGTATGTCCACTGTAGAATTCACTTTGCTTGAGTCTCCTTTTTTCTGATGTAATAGATAATATGATAGGATGTGGTCAGTTTATTTGGTACACGTACCTTGCCTCATTGGCCATTTTACAAGAAACGTCTACCATATTCTGGTTCTTTTTGATGTACATAGCAACAGTTTGACTACAGTCAGTAATTATACAGTACTGTGTAGTAAGTTTTTTTATTTTATTTTTTTTAATTATAGCAAAAACATCTGCTAAGCACAAATGACTAGTTTTTTAGTGTTGGAAAAAACCCCAGAAAACATACAGAAAGTTACACAGACCCCTCAAAGCCTTAATATAATTTCAGTTAACAGACATCCACCCTTTACACTTATTACAGCCTCCATTCTTTTCTGTAGACTTGCTTTCGGTTTTTGCAAAGGATATTTTTTTGCAGGGATATTTTTCCACACCTCCAAAGTTCTGTCTTAAAAGTTGGTTGCATTTTCTGCTTCTCACGGTCAAAGCAATCCTAAACATATTCACTGATTTTTTTTGAGGTCTGGACTCTGGGGTGAACAGTCTTTTATTCTGAGAACACCAGTAGCTTCTTTGTTTGATTCTTTGTTTGAAGTTTTTGTCTTTTTTCCTATTTACTTTTCTCAGCTTCTTAACAGCTACACATTTGACTGGAAATTAAATAAATAAACATGGTCTCTGACTTATGCACTGCACTCTACACCTACAAAGTAGGGCCCGTCCGATATATCGCGCACTAGTTTAACAGTGATGCTCCTGCTGATAGTTTTAATTTGTGACTTGTTTTGCATTGTAACAGACATCTCTGTCAAAAAATTCTGGACATTTTTATGGTGTCAAGCTTTTATGCACAGAAGTTGCTTGCAAATACCATCTTCTCACCTCCGTTACGTCAATTCAGCCTGAACTGTGAAAACAAAACACAATCCAAAAAAAAAAAATTTAAATGCCTCCAAAGTCTTTAGCATGCAGATAGCAGATTATAACGCAAGAAAAACGCGAGTACAAAATGCACCTATATGGTAGGTGTACCTGATAAAATGGCCAATAAGTGTAGGCACGTGGTTGCTTTACATAAAAAGTTTCAAAATGTCTGCATACTTTTATCATTAAGATGCAAACAATCATTTTGTGTGCAAAAATCTTAAAAATTCAATGCCTCAGATACCTTACAGAAAGTTATTACACAGAATAGTAATGAATACACAGCTTGATGTCTCAGACACTGTTTTATGATAGTTTTGAGAAGATTTTTGGCCTAAAACGTGGTTTTGCATGTATTCATGGCGAGAGAGGTACATACAAGATATTTAAGGCAAAATAGCCCCAAAAGAAAACTTAATTTTTGGATGTATTTTATTACTTATGACATATGAAGACAACATTTGAAGGTTCACTGGGTGTCAATAAAATGACTGTGTTTGCTTTGTGGACATCAGGATACCTGGCTTCTGTCACTCTAAAGAACTACTTTTGTCCGATCAGCATCAGAAGTACTTCCTCTATAAGAAAGCACTGATATATCACAGTCGCATATGTAAGTGTGTGTGTGTATATTACAGGCCGAGCAGGAACTGCGAGTGGCTCAGACAGAGTTTGACAGACAGGCGGAGGTGACTCGTCTCCTTCTAGAAGGCATCAGCAGTACACACGTGAGTCAGACTTTTATTACTGCAGCACATTACTACACAATTCCACACTAAAACAAACACTGGACAAACAGATACTCCAGTTTTGTGGGTGTCAGTTTGTCAGTATTGGCATACATCAGCTGGTCTCATTTGGGATTTCCCCCTACAACTGACTACTTTGTGTATTTAATCTGTGTAGCCCACACAAGTCAGGAATAATATTTAATATAAACAAATGTGTCATGGATTGAAACATATACTTTGTTCCTGTGTGATGATGCACTTAAGTTCACTGAGAAGTGATATTTTTTCTTCATCGACATTTTCCACTTGCTTTGGGATTTTATGTACCTACCTGTTTTCTATTCAGAGTGCAGTGAAAACAGAATCTTCTTTTCTATGTAACTGAAACTTTCCTAGAAAAGGTTTGTCACAGTGATTTGTTTTTAGAGATTTGTTTTTCCTCTTTTTCCATGCAGGTGAATCATTTGCGTTGCCTGCATGAATTTGTGGAAGCTCAGGCTGCCTACTATGCTCAGTGTCACAAGCACATGCAGGAGCTGCAGAAGGAGCTCAGCAGGTGTGTGGAATATCTAGCTGCTAGCCAAAACCCTCACTTACACACCAACTGCATTGTCTCTTCTTATTTTGGTTTAGGATAGAGGCCTGAAATTTACATCTGAACCCGTTTTTCCCTCCCATGAATTTTAAATCCTAGCCTAACTGGAGCCCCACAAAAAATCTGAACCCGACTGTAGCTCAAGAAAAACCCGTATGTGGCCAGATAATATTCTGTCCAAACATGACTGAAGCCAGATGAGATTTTTTCCGAACCCGACTGTAGGCCGACGAGATTTTGTCCGAACTCGACCGAACCTGACTGTGGGCCGACGAGATTTTGTCCGAATCTCGGCGGCCTACACTCGGGTTCAGACAAAATCTCGTCGGCCTACACTCGGGTTCAGACAAAATCTTGTCGGCCTACAGTCAGGTTTTGTTCGAACCTGACTGTAGGCCGACGAGATTTTTTGTCCGAACCCGACTTTAGGCCAATGTTGTTCCTTCCGAACCCGACTCTAGGCCGACAATCATTAGCTATCTAAAATTAAGTTTAAATTCCATTTTAAAAGATTTATTTATCAGTCAAGGTTTTCTAACGACATCCCAAAAGTTTTCGTCTGACTAACTATAACTTTTCGAATGTTGTTAGAAAACCTTGATTGATAAATAAATCTGTTCAATTGTGTTGTTATTATGTTGTTTTTATACTGGCTTTGTGCACCTGGATGGACCTAAACACCATGTCAGATTTAAAACTGTTAACAGATAATAGGCAATAAAAGTAGGCAGGAAGAACAAAGTAACTAAAGCAGGTCTAAATGCTGAGAAATCCTTTCAAGATGATAAATGGTTTGAGTAACCCAAACAGTCTGAACCTGACATGAACCTGACAAGTCCAAAGCTGACCCATTTTCGCCTGAACCCGAGCGTAAGCCAGTAAGACTCTGTCCGAACCCGACTGTAGTCTGTTAAGATTTTGTCTGAACGCAAATGTAGGCCAACAAGATTTTGCCAGAACCCAAACGTAGGTTCTACACATAGTTGGGTTCTTTTGGGTTCAAAAGCTATTTTAAGCTCTTCTCAGGGGGCTCAACCTCTCCTTAAAGATAGAATGGCTCCCTGGGATATTTTTTACAGCAGGGTTCCTCAGTTCAGGTCCAAGAGGGCTGGTGTCTGGCACAGTTTGGTGATTTCCCCACTCAAACACTCATACTAAACCTGGCAGTTAACATATGAGTGTTTGAGCAAGGAAATCACCAAATTGTGCTTGAAATGAAAGAAACCTGCTTTATGATGAAGTACCCAACTTAAAGTTTAACAGTTTCCCTTAGCATCACCACATCGCTACTGCGGTTCATTACAGCTGTCAGCTGCTTAGTTTACATGTACAACTTTAAGGAATCTGGTGATTCAGTCCAAATGCTACTTCCTACACAGAAGGGTAAACAGGTTTGTGGTGAAGGTGGAAATGCCATTTATGACAGTGTGTCCTTTGTTGCAGGAGTGGGATACGTTGGGCCATCTGTGATGGCTTTTAACTTTTATAATTTTCTGCTTTTAAAGGACAATGAGGATTATCCATAGTTCTTTCGAAGGATGATTATGTATATAATTAATATTTTATATTACTCTGTACTTTCCTGCGTTTTTTGTTTTTAGTTGGTTTGATTATTAGAGGAGCTACCTTTATCAGGGGTTAAGCCTTTTAGTGCACGCTTGACTCCACCCCTCCGTAGATGAAGAGGAGGTTAGTTGTGGGATAGGAGAGTTTCAGATGGGCATATTTGTGGCTGTGCTATGTCTAAAACCACTTCCCTTCTCTCTCTTCCTCCTGGCCTTCAGTGCAAATGGAGATACGTGAGTAATTTCCTTCCTCATTCATAACGGCAGAGGAAGCCTGGCAAATTATTGTTGTTATTGTAGTTTTTTTTAAGGGAATATAGTCAGTTCATTCTACCTTGAACAAATAAATGCTTTATAAAAAGATTGAGATGGAGGTGTGTGCAGATTCCCATGCTCATGCGTCCTCTCTGATTATGTTGGCTAGGTTCCCCAATGCCTTCGCTGTTAGCGCTTCCACATCAGGGATTTCAGCAGGTCCCTCTCCTCTCTCCGGAGGTTCAGCTCCTGGCTGTCCCGCAGCCTCCTCCGGCCCTCTAGACCCTGCCCCGCTGAAAATTGAGGAGGTGAAGCCTCCAGCCACAGGCACACGCAAGGCCAAAGTGCTGTATGACTATGATGCTGCAGACACAAGCGAACTGTCATTGCTTGCTGATGAGGTGGGCTTTTAACCCCTTTACCCCTTTTATTCAGTACCTACTCTGAAATTAATATGTAACCACTTCATATTCTCCACTACGGTGTTCATGCACTGCTTATCTGTTTTTGCTTTTTGACCAAAACGTTTATCACTCGCAAATGCAAACACTGCTACAGCCCTCAAAAGACTCACTTTAGCAAAGGCATGCTTTGCAAAGAAGCTGGTTTAGAGTTCCTCTTACAAATTTATGTCAGTTTGGGACATCCGAGTACAAATGCATTCTTTCGTAGCAACTTTGGTAAGGTTGGACTAGCTTTACAGCATGCTGGGAAAAAATGAGCACTACATAACATGGGAATGTCCAGTTTTCAAAATGCTGTGCTACCAAGTTGGACTGTTTTTTTGTAGCTAACTGAACATATGCTAGTTGGAAACAACAATGACAAATTTACCATTATGCTAATGTTGCCTACAGTGTGACCTTTCACACGCGTACAAAATAAATTTCATTTGAAATTAACAACACACTCTAAATGAAGCTAATTTCAGAAAAAAAATGCACTGTAAAATTTCTTAAGTTGAATGAGATTATTGGTAACATTTTGTAAAGTCTGGCCTACCTCTAACAGTTGCTACAAAATAAAATGTTTGTGGGCGGTTTTCCACTTGCCTCATAATTTACCACTCAAAGTGGCATCCTGGCCGAAATGAAAAATGTATACATTGCATCACAACATTGTTGTGAACATTTACCTCCTCCAGCAGTGCCACAGTAGTTTCTAGGGCAAGTTTTTCCATTTTGTCTAGAAAAACCCCCTGTTGATGAGGTATTTTGAAGGCGGTAAGTGCTTTCGGGTGGATGCTTACTAGCGGTCATTTAAAATAGTTTTTCCTGCTAGCTGGCTGATGCAGAAGGAAGCCAGATTGTGCTAATGTTACTGCTAGACAGCCGAATGTCACATCAGTGTGATTGCTGGGTATTGTAGTGAAAGAATTGATGGATGGAAACACAAAGAATATACAGTTGCAAATTCTCTCAAACTGATGAGGTGGAAGGATGCAGTGCTGCCCAACTATAACATAACATGACAAATCACAACATATTAAATGCTAGTTTTAGACCATCATGCCTTATTATGGAACATTTTAAGTTATATGATCATGAGAGTGAGGAACTGTTATGACGTGTGTGTCCACAAATGGGTGGGTTTAAGGAGTTAATTTCTGTTTGCACTAAATTTAAAATACCTGGGGACTTCATGGGACTTACTTTCCAACCTCCACAGTTCCCTTCCCACAGACCATTTGTACAGGATAAAGGATGTCCGTTTTTTTGCTTAATATACTTGTCTGTGTGAATGCTTTCATGTATACCTTTGTTTGTCTGAATGTCTTGGCATGAGAAAAAAGGCACTTAATTTACATGCCTAAAGACATACTAAGATGCAACTAAGATGTGATTAAAACTTTATCTGTACCAGACCGTCAGAGCTTACTATGAAATTAAATCTTAAAAGTAATAACTGATAATTACAGTTACTAAGGCCTACTATGTAATGTTATTCCTTCTGCATAAGAAAGGAGCTTCTTGGTAAGTCCAGCCAGGATTATACATGACTTGGCACAGAACATTTCTAAAGTCAAGTGTAATGTTAATGCCACAGTAATGTGAAAATTAGACCCTTGCTGCATATTTTTCACTTAAGTTTAAGATTGATAGTGTTCTCGTTATTTACTGAGGTCATTTCAAAGGTAGAACCAAATTATTGCCAGGTTCATGCACTTTTCTGCCTTCAACAACAGAAAATAAAATAAATTGCACATATCATGAAATCCTGTCTCGCACTTGGACAAGCTCAAATCTTGTCACTAGGCCTGGGAGATAGGCCGATATAATCGAATATCGTTGATGATGTAACCTGATGGCGATGTGTAAAAGGTGATAATCGCTGTTTCGGAAAGCACAGAGAGAAATGCAGCTGATTAGTTTACTGTACTAACTACCAACTACTTACTTTACTGTACCAACTTGTAAATATTTTTTTGGGAAAAGTGGCCTTCACATTTAAGAAGTGTGGGTGCCTGCCAAAATATTCTGTTTCTTCTGTTTTTTTTTTCTACTTAAGGATTTCTACTTCCTTCTAAGTTTAGCTTGAGTGCAGGGAATAGAAAATAAATGCCAACATGCTTTCAAGCTTCATCTTGCCTCAAAGTGACTCACAGCACTAAAAAAATAACAAGCTAAAGTGACTGGGTTTTACCCTACAGCAGTTAGCTCTAACCTGGAGAGAAAGTTCTTCTGATCCCAGTCTACAGCCAGGAAATGGGAAATAGGAAATAAGTAATGAACATGATGTTTTTTTTCACTTTTACTGTGAAAACATTGAGTTACAATGGGGCTTTTAAAATGCTATGGTTGAGTAAATTCCCTACTGTCTTTGCTCTGTGTCATTTATTGAGTAAAAGTGCTGCTGTATAGTTAAGGTAGTGAAACCTGATGTCTTTTCAAGGACTTAACTAAACAAGATTTTACTATATAAATGTATTATTCCCAAACTAGAAGCTTTAACAAGAGGTTGTATCTGTCTGAAACTACTGTAACATTATCAGTGTGCTGTAATGGCATAAGCACAGTCCAATAATATGAATGCCATGGTATAACATTGGTGTACTGGGGCGTCCTTGCAGATATTGTGCTGAATTGATTAGAATCAGTGCAACAATGTGATTAACTAATGAATCAAAGCCAGAATAGGCTACAAATGTAATGCTCTAAAGAATAATGTATTCATGCAAGTAATTTATGCTTTATGTGCCTTAGAGCCTAAATTTGGTCTGAAATTTAGATTCATTCTGCTTAAGTTTGATACAACCTGGGCCACAGCTTTTCAATTAAATTTGTTTAAACCCAACCGCAGACCCACAAAAGTCTGTTGAACCTGACTGTAAACTGGACAAAATTCTGTCCAGACTCATCCGCAGGCTGACCAAATTCTGCCCAAACCAGACTGTAAGCCAGGCATAATTCTGTCTAAACCTGACCTTAAGCTGGTCCAGTGGTAGGCCGACAAAATTCTATCCGAACTTGACTGTAGCCAGACAGTCTTCTGTCTAAACCCGACCAAAATTCTGTCCAAACTAGTAGACTGACAAACTTCTCTCAACCTGAGGGTAGCCAACTAAATTCTGTACAAACCGGAATGTAGCTCAACAAAATGCTGTTCTAAACTTGACCACCACCAATTGGAGACCAAAAATAACTCCAGAGGCAATCATATTGCCTATTCAGTATCTATTCAGTATGCTATTAAGTAGTATTGCCTTGTGACACTAATTACAGCCATCTTATTTCCTACGTGTCCATTTTGGCACGTGTTTCGCTCATGGAGGTCAGTTTCAAGGTCTTCTAACACGAGTGACTCCAACATGCAGTACTAAAAATTGTTGAAGGTTACAGAATTAGGGAAAAAACTAGAGCGGGCCAAAATCTGTCAAAAGGCCAAACATGAAACCTGAGCCTGATCTAAGCCTGAGAAATACTGGAGAAATTATGTTCTAACCCGACCAAACTCAATGCAATAAGTCACGTCCTGACAGCTTCAGACAAGTATTTCAGGCTTTACTTACACACAGAAATGTGGTCTTCTTTGCCGCAGTTCTGGGCAGTTTGCTTAGCTCTGGCATGTGTAGTTACTGAATTACTTCACAGCCCTGGGAAATTCCTCAACCAGGAATTCATACAAATGTGGACAAAGGCCAAATGAGCCAGGGTAGCGTTGGGACAGCCCCAAGCACTGGCAGATTTGACAGGAGCCATACCTAAAAGTTGGGTCAAGCTAGACGCCCACATCTGTTTTCTGAGACCTGGCTTGGTGTCTCCTTTGAATTACACATAGGACATTCAGAACTGACACACAGCAGGTTATTTGGAAGCGGATGGAGAAGTCCAGAAGTCCATGAGTCATTATATGCTTTTATCTTGGGTGGGCATTTCCGAGTTTGTCATGAAGCATTCCTCACTTTTGGATGCCAGTTTTTATTTTTTGAATTTAAAGTTTGTAAACAGTTACATGGCCTGCATGTCTCATTTAATCAGCAAGTAAAGCAGACATCAAGAACATGACTCTGTCTAAACCTGACCTTAAGCTGATGTCTGGATGAAGAAGAGCTACAGTAAACATCAGACGATAAACTTCAAACGTTTAAATGGCAGACTTTAGCGACATGAGAACAACTGACTCACAACCAAATAACCTCATGCTCCATGATTGCTTAGTATTCTGGGTAGTCATTAAAGACAGCTTTTATGGTTACTAAGAGTACCCACATGTACAGTACGGCAAAAGTCAGATATCACACTTTCATTTATTTCATTTCCAGTCAAATTGGCCATTAAGTATAAGTTATTCAATGTTCAGTGCCAGAAAAAAAGCAGGAAAAGTACATTTAACAGAAAAGTACCCAAAACCTTGAACATTCAGCATAATATTTTTATTATCAGCAGTCTGTACTTTTATGTACCCTTTAGTCACTTTAACTTTTCCATCATTAAAATCCTAAAAATAAAAGTTGTTCCCAAACTGACATTGACATTATGTTCCCCTTCAAAGAGACACCAACATTCACACAAGAAACTACCCAAACACATTGCAATTTGCCTTCAAATTTCATTTCTCATATGCATCTATATTGGCTAAAGGATACCAAGAAGATTAAATACAAGATAATCCATTTACATAAAGAAAGAGAAAGTTAAAGGAAAATAAACAGGAAAAAAAAACAGGTTTTTAAAACTGAAGTTCAAAAAAATGGTTAAAAGTAAAAAAAGAGAAGAGAGAGAATGGGACTCCTACCAACACTGCAAGACCTGGTAGACCACCAGGACTGTCACCATCAGATAAACAGCACTTTCATCTTTGAAAGAGAGAAAATCAAGCTCCACTCTTGCTTTATTTTGAAAAAACTCAGGGGTTTCTATCCATCCTTCCTGAGAAGGCAGCTCAACACTATGGGTCTGAAAGGATTTGTAGCTGTCAAGAGGCCCTAACTAAGAAAAGGAAATAGACAAAAAAAAAAGAAGAAAAATTGCTCTAGAACAGGGGTTCTCAACCTTTTGAGGCCCACCTGTTTATTACTACAAAGCAGAGTGGCCCACAGGAAAACTAAAATCAACTTTTTAATATACAACTTTATTTTTCTTTCCTTAAATGCTGACACTGAACACCTGAACACTTTAGTTGTCAGTAGATTTGCAAAATTTGCTGTTATGTTTAAAAACATAAAACATTGCAAAAAATGGTTATAGTGATGTTAAAAAGGAGGGGGGAAGAAAAAAGAAAGGAAATGTACAAAGTAGATGTGCACTGTGAGAAACTGCTTGGTCTCTTAGTTTTGAGGGTGTTTGTGATTCATTTTAAATAGCCAAAACACATTTAATTCACTGGGCTTTGAATGAAGTAGCATCATCACAGTTAACAATACTGATAAATCTTACTTGATATCTGCTTCTTTGTCATTGGTTTATCAGTTCTAGTTTAACCACTCAGGTCGCTGATGCGTGACCAAATATACGCTCTAAATCTATGAGTTCAAACTCGAATATTATTTTATGGCTTGTTTGTTGTTTTTAACAGCAGCTTGTGCTGAGATTCTGTAAAGAGTCATTCATTAAAACAGTCGTTATGCTGACTGTACGGCGCTGACATGCTTCTGGAATTGAAAGAGAGCCAGCTCTGTTCATGAATTCCCTTGTTTGATCACAGAGCGTGTTTCTATCAGCAGTAAACTGAACTGGGTTTGTTTGAAGCGGACCGAGACCTGCAGTTTCTGATGGACCGGTTCAGCTGTTTGCTGCAGACCTGAATACGGGTGGAGTGCTCACACGTGTCCAAACGGAGCGAACTACAGAAAAAGGTGTGATAAGTCCACACCAAACAAAGCACCCTGAGAAACTCCATCTCTGGCTAGCTGTCTGCATCATGCACCTGTGGCTACGTTGTCTCAGACTGATGACATTTAATTGGCCTGCGACTGCGACATTTTTATTTGTACATCTCTGTTAATATTTTTATTGGTTATAATTTGAAAACATTTAATTCCCAGATAATCTTTTTTCCACTTACGTTTTCATGACTTACAGTGACTTTACCCGCCCACTACAAATGACTGCCTTCCTGAGTACAGGCCACTAGAGGGTGCTTCACGGCCCACTGATGGTCTGTGGCCCACAGGTTGAGAAAGCCTGCTCTAGAACACCAAATCTGGACATCTGAGATGTGGAGTAAGGTTTTATGGACTGATGAGTCTAAATGTGTCATTGGAATTACTTGGAGAAGCTGAAAATGCAACCACCTTCTAAGACAGAACTTTAGAAGTGTGGAAAAATATCCCTGCAGATTTCTTTGAAAAACTGAAAGCAAATCTGCCGAAAAGAATGGAATCCATTATAAAGGCAAAGAAATTCAGTACTGAACAGTTTAATTTTATATTTAATTGTTGAGACTTCTTGTACTTAATGGCCAATTTGACTGGAAATGAAGTAGATGAAAGTGTGCTCTCTGACTTTTACACTCTACTGTAGCTCTTCTTCCTGGATTGCTTACCAAGGGAAAACCTTGTGATGTAAACATCTTTGTGGTCACACTTTCTAAAAATGGTCTGTGAATAACTTAGGAATGAATGGATCTACTGGAGCCACATCTGACAGTGTTCTGTGTTCTGTCTCTGTCTTTTTTTAGCTTATCACAGTATACACAGTTCCAGGCATGGACCCAGACTGGCTTATTGGGGAGAGAGGGAATCAGAAAGGCAAAGTGCCGGTGACGTACCTGGAGCTGCTGAGCTAAACATGCTCACACACACGTAAACACACAAACAGATACTTAAACAGATGCACACAGAGAGATGCACACATGTGCAATTTATGTTTGTGACCTTAAGTTTGTGTGATGACTGATATTACAGGATGGTAATGGAAACTTTGCATGAGCAAGTATTCAAACAGATGTAAACACTCTGGGACTTCATGAAGTTGTTTTGTATTGTTGTTTGATTGTTTTTAAGTTTAAACTATTCATTCACTCCCTTAACTCAAAGGACTTGACTATACTCAAAAGTGTCTTGCTAGGAGTCTCACAGTAGTGCGTTAAGAGATCTGACATCTGCCAATGCGCTACAATGACGACTGGTTACATTTTGCTTGGTTCTAAGATGATTTCAGTCTGTTTTGTTAAAAGTAACTACAACTGTTTTGTTATTATATGGAATACCACTATCGCTGAAGCATTTCATAGGCAAGCTTGCCCAATGGATATTATTATGAGTGTGTTCTGAGTTAACAGGAAAAAACTTCATTGTTCCTTCAAATACAAGCTTGTGTCTTTGTGCGTCTTTTGACGTATTCACTTGTATGATTGGCAGCGTGGCTTTGATTATTGAAAAGAATGAGACTTTCTGATGGTGCACCGTTATGAAAAAGAACTTTTGTAATACTGCAGGACTTTTCCTATAGTAGATCCGGTGACGTTTTACTGAAAGACAGCTTAAGGCCACGTTACGCCTTTCATGAAAACAAAGAAAGAAAAAGAGACAGCTGATAAAGGAAAAAAAGAAAAAGAAAAAAAGGGAAGGAGAAGCATGCCGTCGAGTAATCTGTGCTGAATGCTCACGTTTTGATAAAGAATGTACATTTGTAATTGGACCTCAGGATCAACTGACATAAGCCTTCCTAAATATCTATATAGGTTTATTTCAGCAAGCGCCAGTGTCACAAAAGCTGCTTTTGTCTATTTTGACGTCATTTCACCTCAGTAAGTGTTATGACAACTGACACTTGTTGCCATAAACCTATATAGATGTTTATAAAGGTTTATGTCATTTGTCATAAAGGCTTAGGTAGGTCTCATGCAGCCTAATGTAGCCTCGTATAGTCTCACGAGCCTAATTGACCTTCAGAAAAGTGTTTCTGTAAATTCTTCTTATTTTAGACAGTTACTATATAACACTACAAGCCTATATCTATCATCTATCAATGGCACACACTCGCACATCGTGTGATGTGATGTTAGCTGTGTAGGTCTTCCTGTGGGGCAGCAGAGTGTTTGAGAGGTTTCAGTATGATTTCATACTTTAGACACTCATCTTTAGTGAAGTGCTTCTTTTAAAAACAGCTTATTTTAAGGCTTAGTAGTTTTTTAAGGAGAATAATTGGATCGTATCAGCTGATACTTAACATTTCAGAATCAGTATCAGAAAGGAAAAAGTGGTGTTGTGCCATCTCTAAGGGATGCTGAATGAGTATTACAAATTAATAGACGATAGTACAGACAGACAGATGTATTAACCAGAGGCAAAAATACTATGCATTATTATGAAAGTATTATACAGTGCTGTAGAAAACATCTTTGCAAGTGAAAACCTCTTAATTCTTGTCAATATCAAATATTTCTCATGATGAGGTTGTTGAAAAAAATGTTATAAAATTTCTAAATGTTTTTTATTTAAGTAATTTTATCTAGAGAAAGTGTCTTATTCTGTTGGTGGATAATTTGAAAGAATCAGAAATATCTGCACATAGAATGCTGAATTTAAGTAAAAAATGGCTGTGGTTATAAGTTAAATAATCTCATAACAAGAAAATGTATACATCATTGACTGGATCTAAGATGATTTCACTTGCCAAGATATTTTTTTCACTGCAGATCTTTTTCGTAAGGGTAGAGAGGCAAACCGAGAAAGTTTAGAAAGTATTAAAAACTGAAGTTACAGAGTCAAATTTCCACATTAAAGACAGTTCATACCTGACGACAGTCAAGTCGCACTAAATTAAAGAATCCTGGTGATAATGAAATCTGTGAGACTGAGAATAATGATGGTTATAGTAACTTGTATAATGTTTAAATGCCTAAATGTTCCCTGTTTGATGTGTTATTTGAACAAGCCATAAAACGATCTGGATGTATCAGGTATCTCAGTGTACTTCCATCTCTTTACAGTGACTCCTACAGTTTTTAAACAAGGTTTTTCTGTTCTTCTGCAGGAAGAAGCTCTTTAAAAGAGTAAATAGTTTATTCACATCAGATGCTGTTGTAATTGAGTTAGCGATGTTTGTGTGTGTTTGTGTGTTTTTCTTTTTATCATTGCTTGAATCTGAAATATGTTTAATGGTGTCAGGAAGAACTGGTGTAGGCCCTGGCTCCAGTGGATTCAGAGTGGATGTAACAGGAAATGCAATAGTGTAGTTTATGAATCTGAGGTTTGTAAACAATTCCTAAAATGGGTCCAGTTAAGTGTAATTTGACTGTTCCGTTTTTGCTCTCTGGTTACATCACCATAAACACCTCTCCTGCTTTAGCCTTTCTTTTTCATTCCTCATCTGTGTAATCGATGTTTGTTTAAATAAAAAAGCAATGTGTATTGATTGAATGAAAGTTGAACATAATAATAAAGATAGCTTTATTGAAATGTCTTTTGTTGAAAGTCTCTTTTTAGCAGCTGTGTATCATGTCTGTTAACATGGAGGCGTTTTTACTGTATTATGATTTTGAAGAGCCTTTGACCACAGTCAGCATTTACAATATTCACTCTTGAAATGATGATCGCAGGATTTAATCATGTCTGCGTTCATGTCCAAGTGACAAATGGGAGGTTTCCAACCCCAGAGTGTGAAAAATCCATTTGAACAGTCATCTAACACAATTTCCACTCAGAAAGTCAGAGTTTTCAAAATTGCTGTACTGTGATGTTATATCAACATGGCATGACATGATATCAGTGTGCTTTAAGTTTTTTCTTTAGCTTTTTCTAAATTTCTATTTGTGTTTAGGCAACGCTTTCTTTTACAGTCCCCTGAGTTCTAAGCATTAACCAGGTAACTGTGAGGTACACGCTCCAATACGATGGCGTTTTAGGGCCACTGTTAATAAAAATAAAAATAGTAGACTTCGACAATAAAGTCGTACTATTTCGAGAAAAAAAGGCGTAATATATCGAGGATAAATTGGGCTAACTGTAGGGGGGCTGCCATAACGCGTTGGGGTCTTGGTTGCTGTCCTGGCGCGCTGGAGTTCCACACATTCCTCTTTGTGGATCGATCATTTTGATCATCATTGTCACTGTCTGTGAAACTTCATGCCCTCTTTGAATGGCGCGGAGATGTAGCCCCGATAGCCGTGTAGACGACCCTGCCTGCGATTCTCCTTCAACAAAATAGGCAGACAGTTTCCTCCGAGTCCGTCTGGTTCTTTACTCTAAATAAACAGTTTCCTGCACAGCCGTTTCTTATACTGTAACAGGCTGGTGCTGATGTGCAGGACAGACAGGGAGACTGAGTGTTTCTTTATGGGTGAAAATGGATATGAGAGTATAACTTTAACTCCTTACCGCCCCTCATTTCAACACGAGGAGGTGCTGCCTTCACTTTGTAAAGCCTTTGGCCACAATATTGCGACCTTTCCTGCTATTAATGCCACTTTAATGTAGTAATTCTACGACTTTATTCTCGAAATATTACGATCTTTTCTCGAAATAGTACTTTTTTTCTCGAAATAGAACGACTTTATTCTCGAAGTCTACTATTTTTATTTTTATTAACAGTGGCCCTAAAACGCCGTCGTACTCCAACGCACTAGATAACTACTCATCTTCAAAAAAACAGTTGCACCCAGAAGGAAGTCTCGGATTTCAGTGCTGTTCGGGGGGGAAATAAAGGTTACCAGGAACTATAAATGATTAACCGTTTTGATTTATATGGGCGATATTTATTGAGCTACACATACAGAAGTAGCGTCTCTTAATGGCGTCAGGCCGCTATGTCCAGATGTCTCATCATGGAGTTGTAGAGGTTCCTAATGGTGTCCTGTGATAATCCATCCCGTGCAGCTTGAATATTCTCGCGCGGTTCCTGCAGATTTTGCGGTGGGGTGGAGTGTTGATAGCATGTCCAATAGCATCCCACACATTTTCAGTCAGGGTTTGGTCTGGCGATGCGGCTGGCCATGGTACAGTATCTGTGTCTTTAAGGCGAGCTCTTGAGACGGCAGCAGCGTACAGACGAGTGTAGGGACTCTGGTCGCAGGACCTCATTAACGTAACGTAAGGCTGTCAAAGTGCCTGTAATGAAGACCAAAGGTGATCCGGCATAGTATGAAATTGCACCCCGCATCATGACACCTGGCCTTCTGGACGTGTGACGCGTGACAACAAACCGTTCATCTTGGCGCTGACCACGGTGCCTCCACACACGGATTCTATTCTCTGGCTATTCTGTGCATGAAATTTAATTCAGATGTTTAAGAGCGTTTTATACACACACACACCAACTAAACGAGCCTTAGCTTCATTTTTACCGACATCAAACAGTCATAGCTGGGTGAACGTAGGAGATTCCAGTTGGGAAATTCCTAGTTCCCAGCCAAGAATGCAGCGTAACTTACTCTACAAGTTACTTTTTAATCTACCGTTCTTTCCAAATTCTGGTGAATGTTATTAGACACCACTAGCTATAGTGGTTTCCAACTCCCAATACACCTGGTCTAGTTAAGCAAGTATGGCAGAATGCCAGTGATGACCTGGCTCATGTATGCCTTATCAGGAGACTGTGTTGACACAATGATGGTCTTTGACAACTGGATTTGGAATCTGCTATATTACATGATGTGCATCTCTCTTGTATTTCCAGAATGGTAACTTTACGGAAGAAGGAAAACAAAAGAGATTCCAAGTCATTTTGGACAGCTGTTTTTCTCTTCACTGTATCAAATCTAGCGTGACGTGTAAGTGATGCAAATCATTTAGCTTTTTACCATGAAATATATACATTTTTCATAAATATTTACAGTTGTATGCAAAACTTTGAAACTCCCCAGGCAAACTACATTCACTTAAAAAGTTAACACGTCCTCTACAGGAAGCAAGCTTAAATATGGCATTTTTCAGCTAATGTTAGAACACAATTTCTGTTTAATTGCTGAGTTGCAGAGTGAACACACTGGGGAGGGGGGTGTTGGGGCGTACAACATTCTCTTACCAACGCAACACACTAACATGCCACCATCACCTCAGTCTCACTGCAGTACTGAAAATGATCCACCACCCAAGTAATGCCTGCTCTGTGGTGGTCTTGTGGGGGTCCTGACCACTGAAGAACAGAGTGAAAGGCATCTAACAAAGTGTACAGAGAAACAGATGGACTACAGTCTTTAACTGTAGACCTACAAAGTGCACCTGTATGGTAAGTGGAGCCGATAAAATGGACAGACTGTAGATACAAGGTTGGTGTATAAGGGTCATTCTATGATTTGGGGTACATTTCACATCAACAAAAAGTACAAAAACTATGTTCTTTCTCATTAGAACAACACAGAAGAGAACAGAAAGGTCCTGCAGCGGGTGGTAAGGGCAGCAGAGCATGCCATCGGTACAACACCAGCCCACCTCAGAGACATTTACACTGGCCAACTCCAAAAGACAGCCAGTGGTATTTCAAAGGACCCCACTCACCCTGGACATGACCTGTTGTCCCCCCTGCCCTCAGGAAAGAGATTCCAATCAGAAACTAACAGACCCCTTCCTGCTCCTTCCTAAGGCTAAGACGAAGACTGAGACTAGACCAAGACTGAGATACCTTTCATTGTGCACTATATATAATTTTGTTTTGCACTAGTATGTTTGTATATAAATATAAGGTCTTATTGTGTTTATATTTGTGTCATTTGTTTTTTTTATTGTTTTTCACAATGACAGTAAAGATCTATCTATCTATATTTGTCTTTGTCATTTGTTTTTTTTTATTGTTTTCTATTTGTTAGTCACTTGATTAAATCCTGCACTTTAGAACACAATTTTAAGGGCTTGTGAGTCTATTCTGCCATTTATACAATGATGTTTTAAAAATAATTTGAAGAATTGATCTTTTTTCCAGATATACATGTGATATGTTCAGCACTGTCATTGAAGACAGAAATGTTTTCTATTCATAGCATATGGATAATTCTAATAGTTTTAAGTGCAAACTGTGTAGATGTGCAGTACATTAACAGATATCAGCAGCACCATTTGAGTTATTTTAAATTTTAAAATTGAGGTGTAACATAGTTGACAAGTCCCTCAGTGTTTTTGTAAAGGTTTCAAACAAGCACAGGTGGTCCAAGTGAAGCCTAACCTAAAAACAAAATATTAAAAAAATAAGTAATTTCAATATTTAAATAATATGTATAAAAATTAATATGAATGCGCTTTTCGTAGAATCAGCATCCTGACGAACGCTGTATCTCGGCTGTTTCTCAGGAAGTGAAAGTGTGCCCATGTGAATAAAATGTGTTGTGACATATGTAGACTGATAATGATAATGATGGGGTAATGATGACTGATGATGTAGACTACTAGGTAACTTAGTTGACATGTAACATAGTTCACAATTTCCCTATTTTGACCCATAACTTCAGTGGTGGCCCTTGACCTGCTGACCACATAACATTTTCTTAAATAGGGTTAATGTCCAAGTTAAATATATAATTGAATTGAAATCATTAAAAATTGTAATCAATAAAAATATATATGTAAAATAATTGACGGTCAATTAATGTACTCATTGACCATGTGCTATTATAGATAAAATATATTAAAAAAAAAAAATGAGAGGACGCTCGCCACAGTGTGTTCAATATGTCCACCACAGAGGAAAATGACCTCATGTGATGCTGGTCATATGGTACTGGGACACACCATGAGGGAGTTCTGCCAGTGACATAGTTGACAGAACGTTTGTGGACATTAATAAATTAAGATGTTCAAATTCTTTAGTATTAAACTTCTGAAATGAATAAAAAATAGTTGTTGTTGACTTCAATGGTTTTTATTCATTATTTTGGAACCAAAACACCCTCAACTGAAAAACGTGTGAATCTCTAGGCATCTCATGATTCGATTCAATTAGGATTCAGAGGGCTGTGATGCAATTCTAAAACGATTATCGATGCATCTTTTTTTCTATACAGTTTTTGTGTTTTCTCACTGTGTGAGGACTTGGTACTTTTAAAGCAAAATATTTATAATGATCCATAATGCATTTATGTCCAATATCTTTTATTAATAAATCAAATGGAAGTGATGTGGCAAGTCAACTGGAAGGCTCTTGTTTGGAGATGCTGCTGCCACTCATCTGTGATAAAATGCAGTTACGGTGACATAAGATCCTGTGGCAATGGATGTCCATGCATCACGTTACAGCCATCCTACCCGTTTTCTTTAGCGATTTTGGTTCTCAACGACTGAGAACTGCCGTGCAGACTGCAGGTCACATAGTAACGCAGTCTCGCCTTGCTAACAAAAAGGCAAAGAGAGAGATTTAAGATGAACATTTGGAGACGAATGGATTCATTCACATTTATAAGCACCACAGTTGGTTTCCTGGAAAGTTAAATCTGGAATGACTGTCAAACACTAAAAAGTTGCAAAG